CAACCTTTTCTACCTGCCGCTGTTTTCTACAGACACCCCCTTCATCTGCAAGACAGATGTAATGTCGGCCCACAGGAATTTCGCTGTTGCCAATCACTGACTGTAAAAATGTCTGTCCATTGGTGCCCAGACCATTAGAATTTGGTATATATTGAATGTAGTAAACAAATTTGAATATAAATTATAGCTATATTAAAATATAATAAAGATCAGCTGATGAGTCACCATAATATACACACATACAGTGTGTGTAAATATGAATTCGATACATGTACTTTGAGATATTTAATACCAATGCCACCCATATTCACAACAATATAAAGATGGGCATAGCATAATATCAACAGATCAGAAGAATCTACAGAGCCAAACAATCCACTGTTGTGGAGCATCACCTAGTGTGATCACCTGGGTTTTGTATTACACCATAGTTTCTGGGTTTTATGAGTGGTGGCCCTTGTTGTTATGCTCTTTTCTCACAAATTGCTTAGCAATATTAACACCAATGACCTTTGAGTTGTGACGTAACTTAGGAAAACTGAATTTTGCCGTCATCAGGCTGTTCCTCAATTTGCCAACTGAATCTAATTTTTACTTTATTTGCCGACTGAGATTTTGGCACAGGGGTGCCGCACCCCCAGCATGCCAAACATGGCTATGGCCCTGATAATCTCCATAAGTGAGCACTGGTCATCCAGGGTGGAATCCATGTGAAGCTCAAGCTGGACATACGCCAATAAACAATAGAAAGACAATGGGAAATCCTTAGGTGCAAGTTACCTGGATTCCACAATGGCTGGTCATCCTGTAAGCTTGTAGCAGACATTTCAAACAGGCAAAGCAGAGCAACACAGAACAGAATCCGTCAGTCAACTTTCTTATATCATCACAGACAGTCCCCAACAGGGTGGCCTCATTAGTTGATTATTATATTGCAAACAGATGGTCAGGAAAATAAAAATATTTTCCTTCCTTTAGGGCTAAAATATTTCATTTCCTGTGAAGGTCTGCAATAATTACAACAATGGAAAAACCTTACTGTTTTCATAGTAGTTTGTCTGTGATTATCTTAGGTACACTCCTGAAACAATTACCAATGAATTACAAATTATGAAAGCAAGCCTTAAGATTTATTTTATTTTGCCTTTATTAAATCATTTCCCCCATATTTACCTTTGAATCAGCTTTTAGGGCTGTTGTTCCTCCCTTATCACCGTGTTTTCGCTTTGATTCAATTCTTCTTCTTGCATCAAATGTTTTTGTAAACAGTTTTAAACTACCATTGTTTGATACACCTTGAGTTTTCTTAGAGTTGTTACTTTTTTGTTGCGGTCTGTTCAAAAAGCGTTGTCGAGAAAGTTGACTATTTCTCGAGGCGTTCTTTTTACCACCAATGGATGCTTGAAACCTCTTCAACTCAGTTCGTTTCTGAGCAAGGCCTTTTTTGCCAGAATTCTGATCTTTTTTTAAAACAACATTTGGCATGTTTTTACGTCTTTTCTGGTTATTCTTGAAACTATTAAAATCATTGGTAGACTTCCGTTTTATTTTGAAATTGTTTCTACCAGCAGCTGATTGATTATTGCGCTTTTGATTTTGTTTGCCAAATCTTTTGCCATCCATTTCCGAGATTTGCAGCAGCAATTTTTCACTTCTTACTGCCTTTTGCTAACCATTTTTGCCACTACAAATTGGTAATACTTCATTTTAGGATACACAAACATGGAATCTTTACTTTTCCAGAAAGAGGCCAAAACATGATGGAACTGGAAATGTGCAGCATGGCGGAAATGTTATGAAGTAATGTCTGCTCAACTTGTGTTCTCTTTGTATCGAAGAATACTGCGAACCGCGAAGATATGGGAATCTTCATCTGGACAGAAAGATGATACAAATACAGAGAGAAACTACATAAAAAATGAAGCTCAGCGACTTTTCCGTAAGAATATGAAGGTGAGTTAATATAAACATTAACTTGGTTTGCTCCAGGTTTTTATTTGTTTGACCCCATTAAGTAGTCTATTTCGTTCTGAGCCCTAATTTTTTGCCGGTTCTTGCTTTATGTATTTTCGTGATCTTTTTTCCAAGCTTCGTACACAAATTGGGAGAGTTTTTATTTTCTGCCAAAGAGACTGGTGACTCTTCTTAGGCCTATTTACTCTTCCTTTTAATTCCTTTCTGCATATTCTCACAAAAAGCATATTATGCTGATCTGTCGCAGTGACCAATGCAGGCTATTTACAAGACAGTTATATTAAACTGGATATTTATTATGGGTCAAATTTACAATCCTTTTCTTGGATATTTAAAATGCAGGAGGTGTTTCCTCTCATAGATCAGTGACCCAGAAGAAATTTACTTAGCACTCAAAGAGGGAGAGACACGACTTGAATTAGGTGCGAAAATTACTATGAATTGAACAAAAGTAGACACAATTAGAGATACTGTTAAATTGAATAATCAAATCAGTTGGAATGGCATTCACTTTGTCCTATTCCAACTACAAGTCTCAATCATTTTCATCATTACAATCGGATTGCTCCTCTTCTCATTAATTGGCGTAGGCTCAATATTGATGTTTAAAGCATTCTAAAAATTTGCATGGTTCAATTTATGAACCAATTGTGTCCATGCACCCATTTGAGATGAAAAGCAACACACCCTTCAATAGAACGCAGCAAACTTTGCAGAGAAAGACAAATTTCCTTGTTTTCAAACATTTTTAACATATTTTGTCTAGCCTATACTATAAACATGTACTAAAAATAAGAGAGTGATTAAACAGAAGACTACAGAATAATATCCATCAAAATAACAATCATAAGACAATTTTATTAGAATATTTTGAAGGTACTAAATTTTTACCAATAAGCACAAGACTTTTCAAGTTCTAATAGATAATTTTTGAAAATTTTTTTCTTTTTGATACTATGCTTTCTAAATTTTGGATTATGACTGTGTAAGGATAACAAAGTTATTCACTCATCTTTTACAGCTCTCCATTACAAAAATCCATACCCAAGACCAGTAAGTAATGCCATTAGTTGTTACAGTGTTTCGTAATGAAATGCTCCATCCTTTTGCATACTTTAGTTGTTTCTAAACAAATTTGAACCCTAGAAAAATTTATTATGGAGCAAATATGCTTTGAAGATAAGACACTAAGCTTTAGAAAATATGATTTTAAATCAACCTGAATCTAAAGTCATATAATCACAAATTAAACAGAATCAATTATGAATATTTTAATTTGTAACTTTTTTGTATGGTCTAGCTTTTTCATTATCAATTTTTTCATTCTGTATTTAAATAACGAAGAAACCAACAAAGTGGGCTACTTTTCCCTACATGGCCTTCTATTCCATTCTTTTAATTTGCAGGTTAATGTTCCTCCATTAGCAACAGCTCAACTTGCAGGCAAGAAGCTTGGGAAAGGCCAACAAAGAAGGCGAAAGATTGCCAAACCTATTTATATAAAATCTTATGAAGAATATGACAAAACTAGTTAAAGTTTTGCCATATTTGCTTTATGAAATTCAATGAGTTCTTCAGGAAAAGTGTGCAGTGACAATATTGTTGCTATAATTTTGAATGTAATGAAATAGACTTTTGTTTATTACTTTGAGAAATGATGAAAATCTGTCCAAATTTTTATAACTAAATTAAGTTAGAGAATCTACATTTTTGAGCAATATTATTTGCACCTGCTTTATCTTGTGACAGAAAAATCTTAGCTAAGCTAAGTTACAGCAAAGCAATGTTTATTTTAGATATTGATTGAGAATTAAATTCATTTTATCAGTTTCGTACATTTTCCAATCAAAATTCAAACTTTGAAAAGAATCAGAATAGGCCTAATTCTGACACATGAAATTTTTTATAGCCATCTGCTCTTTAGTCATCATTTATGTAAATTTATTCCTAATCTCATTCTTGTTTTTTAGTGAAGATTAATACAGCTTTTTTGAGTCAGATACAATATTTATCTGATTATAAGATGCCCTTGATTATAAACCACAGCAATTGAGGTTTTGCCACCCTTGATAATAAACTGCATCCACAATGCAGGGATTTAATTTGATATAACTGGTGCAAACACAGATAAAAACCTGATTGTGTACTTAAACCTTACCACCTGGTACATGTTCAAAAACTACTTAAATGTAAAAACAGACATCAGAAGTTCAACCAATAACAATTTCATCCAACATGGGATCATCAACATCATGCAAATTTGCATCATCACCCTCAGCTAAAAGGTAGCAGGAAAGCTTGACAGGATCTGGAGAACAATGTAAGCCAACCTTTTTACAAGCCACCCTACATTACAAACTACTCTGAAACATGCCAAATAATTAATCTAAGCTGCAGCGTTTAATCAAATCAAGGCATTATGCAAGGAAATATTGGCTTTATGCAGTACCATTTGGTGTGGAAACTAGGTGCCAGAGGTCTTCAATCTCAAGCAAAGATAAGAAAAGATGCAAAATAGAAGCTCAAAATTTCAACAAATCTCTTGATTTAATTTGGTTTCTAATGAAATGTTTAGTCATCATAAAAACTGGGAAAACAATTAAAACTGGAACAAAGGATTAAGTTTGGATAAACATTCTGCTAACATTGCTAATTGATTTACTGTACATCTGTTTTAAGAAAATTAATACACAAGAAACCTAGCTTTGCATTCTTTTACTTCAATTTTGGGATCAGGAATATCTTGCTTTGAGCCAAATATTTACTTAAAATGATTTTTTTGTTTAAGACAATAGGTGAGTTATCTTTCTTATAAACAATAGGTTAGAGAAATTTTTGTTATAAGTTATACAAAAATGATATTTTCAAACAACAGCCAACATAACTATTTACGAAAACTTAATGATCATAACTCTTATTCTAAAATGCAGTAATAATATCAATTCAAATTACTTTTAATAAATTGCTCTTACATGTTGAAATTCTAATGTGTTTGCCAATCACCATATTTAGGCTAGCAAGTGCTGACAAACTCTCATCATAAAGCAAGTTTACAAACATTTATAGTAAAAAAACTTTCCACAAAAGGATAGGTGTTTTTTGTCTCTTACCCGCTTACCCGCTTTTAGAGGGAATAAAATTGGGCTCTCCAAGAATATTATTCAATATTTCTGATGGGTGTGATAATAAATTGCATAGAACATTGATAAAGCTCAAAAATGTAGATACTTAAAGTCAGCAAGAATTAACCAAATTTTGAAAAAACCTTAATACAGATAAATAAACTGCACGACTTACATGAGTTGTTTGCACTAATTATACTTCAATATTTCTGTAACTGCAAACATATGATACAGCCAGAAAATACATCACAAATGACGGATGATATCAAATGTTATTAGGTTTATCATCAAATAGACATAAATCAAATAATAGGAATAAAAAATTTGTATTTTCAACCCTCAAATGATCACCAATGTCCCCAAATGCAAGTAAAGTAGCTGTTAATGATAGCTTAGATGTTTTTTGCTAGCAGGAGGAGCTAGCTGAATTAAATCCAGATCTAACTTGATTAAGTCTCTGCTGACAAATCTACAATGCTAAACAAAAAATTTAAATGCTGGTCACTAACTAGATAAGTCTGAAGCCTACTGAGTGTTGGTTGCACCCTCAATTTGTTCTAAGAACGGCTTCACAAATTCAGCTACATCAATATCCACATCTTTGTACTTTGTGATGAATGGGTGTTCCTAGAAGAGAATAAAAATGAAAATTTAGGTTTATTAACATTAGTTTCCTAAAAATCTTAGAGAATCTTAAAGTTTCCCTGCAGGCCAACTAAGATTTGAATAGTGTAGAAATTAGGCAAGATGTAAAAATGAAATAAAAAAATTTTTGCTAGAAAAGTTTTGGAAACACAACACAACCCTGATATGTTTGTTTGTTTATTTCTTTTATTTCCTAAAATTATTGCTTTATTATCCCTCTAAAATTTATTTATACTTTCTCACAAGGGGTAAGTAAAAGTTAGGCCAATAATTTCATCTGACTATTCAGATACTTTTGAGAGAGGAGGGAATATGATTAAATTTTTCTAAGAAGTATCATTTTCTAAAATCATGCAAGAGAATCTAGAACCAGTCATTAGAACACATCAATTAGGTACAATGGAATCCAACAGACTTAAGCAGGAACTCCAAAATTTGATTGCTGAAAAAGTATGAAATTCTAGCTAATTCAACAAAGACAATGTTTCTGACAAAAACAGGCATTTGGTAAAAGAGATAAATTATCTGCCCATGCAAAAGAACAACTTCTGCCTTCTCAGACATGTGTATGTATGCATGTATAATTGCCAATTAAAAGACCTGGTATCTATATAATATTTGGGTTTCACCTTAGGACTCCATTGGTAACATTCTAATAGGCAAGCGGCACTGATTGGTCAACCTTTACAGTCATGTGCTCCTGTTTCTGATTGGCCTATTTCGATCCACAACTGGGTATATATATTTCCTAGCGTAGAGTTTTCGATCTATGTTCTGACGTTTTAAACTCTGAAGAGCGTCAGACGAAAAGCTTTAGTTTACTAAATGTTTGCTTTTTTCAAAGCCATTTACAAGTTTTGTACCACCAAAAGATTGTTTGCATTTGGGTTTCAATAAAAACATGAAATAAAAACACCTCATTGTTAGGATAAGGGATGACTGAAATTCAGACTGAATACTTTTTCACACAATTTGGATAAAACTGCTTAGGTAACAAATTTTGTAGGAAGTGCTTACCAATAAATCTGTATAATATGGCCTTCCTTTGAAATCTTTCTTTAGGCTAAAAGAAAGATTTTATATAAAAAATCAACAAAATACATTTCTCATAAAATAACCTCAGGAACATGTATGGTATGAAATCTATGTTCAAATTGTAGTCCTTATAACTATGTAGGCAAAGCTAATGTATCAAAAATATGTTTGTGAACAAAAACAAATCATGTTTTGAAAATTTAGTCCTGCCTAATGAGATATGTTTTAATGTTTTTAGGTTCATAAGTATAATCATTGATTGAATAATATAAATTTTGGCTGTCTCAGAACAGGCGTATATAATTTCCAACAAAATTTGATAGGTTGCTCCAACAAAAACAAACATTTATCTGATAAAGAGTTTTTCTGCTTGTGTAGAAATGTAAGAAAAAACATTTTCAAACGTAAGTTACCATGAATCAACAAATTGATGAAGATCATCGGAATGACCAAGATCGACTGGGATTGATGGAGAAGGACTCTCAACAACTGCCCTAAGCTGATCAAAAGGTGTTTTCCATCCCTGATAGGGAAAGTTTCCTGTTGATATTTCTACCTGCAAAGGAATAATGTATAATTAGAAGTGCATAGTAGAAACATGATTTTTCTGCAAAATACTAGAGAGATGAAATTGCATTTAAAATGTCTTCATTTTATGTTGGCAGTCTCCCTTGCCTTTTCCAGCACCCTTATAAAAACGTTTGGCACAACCTAACTACATTCCCTTGAAGACAAGTCCAATCTTAATGAGACACGGGCAAGTTAAATGGTTTTTTTAATATTTAAATCTCAATATCAGAGACATTGCCTAAAAATAGAGTTTAATCATACATTTAGAAACCAAAGGACTAGAAAATCACGGTCTGATCCAGTTGACACTTCCATGCAGTGATAACACGCAATAGAAACACAAACCAGTGAAAGTGGGTTAAATCTAAAAAAACTTGCCATAGTTATTCCAAAACTCCAAACATCTGATCGAATATCATAGCCTTTAGAAGAACAGGAAGGATCAATCCTTTCAGGCTGAAATTCAAAATGATGCAAATCATTTTCATTGATAATTTATTATTCTTCAAAAACCAACAACAACAAAATTCAAAGAGAATGTCATTACACCTGGTAGCCACAGGTAAGCAGACAAACTTTATGCTGCACCAGAAATCCTAGAAACTGGTAGTTATTGCTTTGTTTCATTATGCTTCCTACTTAGAACAGATCAATTTCAAATCAATTAATTCCAAAGTCAATCTGACTTGGAGACACCACATCTTGCTTTCCAGGCAGACTTCTTTCTTTAGATTAAAATATTCTTATGCATATTAAAATTTACAAAACACAACTACAAACTACAGTACAATAACGATACCAATGACCTGGGGCATGAATTTTTATAACAACTCTGTGATGTGGCCATTCACAATAATCTCAAATTTGAGGAGAGAAAGTAGCAAACTCACTGCCATGTACGGCTTACAGCCTGCCTCCATTGTTTTTGCCATTGAGTCAACAAGCTGACCAGATATTCCAAAATCACAAAGCTTTACATCTCCATTGTAGTTAATAAGTATATTTGAAGGCTTAACATCTAAAAGCAATATGATGGTCAAAGGTGACAGGTGTTTTAAATAAGCTGTATTAATACCTTGTATCTCTTTCAAAATGGATGGGGCAGAAGATAAAACAGAGGAAGTTTAGAGATTTGAGTATCATGGCTCTAACATGAACCATACCTGGTCAGATATGGTACCATTTATTTAAAAAAAATCGGTTTGATTGCTCAATGATATAAATTAACAGTACCTTGTTACTTTGCAACTCTTTCACAAACAAAAATATGTTGACTTGAACTGCCCCACATTGCCATGGTACTGTTATGCATATTAAAGGACTTATTTTCAAATCAGTTGATTTTCAAAAAAGAACAAAAGGGGAACCGGGGCACACTGAGCATAAATATAAGCAAGGAAAACTTGAGAAACATTCATGGCTTTACTTATTAGGGTTGTTAACAGTTGACATTGATAATTGATGGATCATGATGATTGGCAGATGATTATTGATGATTAGCATTGTTGACTGATGGATCATGATGATTGGCAGATAATTATTGACGATTGACATTGATGATTGATGAATCATGATGATTGGCAGATAATTATTGATGATTGACATTGATGATTGATGGATCATGATGATTGGCAAACGATTATTGATGATTGACATTGATGATTGATGGATCATGATGATTGGCAGATAATTATTGATGATTAGCATTGATGATTGATGGATCATGATGATTGGCAGATAATTATTCATGATTAGCATTGTTGACTGATGATGATAAATGAGGATGATGATTATGATGAAGATGATGATAACTCATTTTGTGTAAAAACCATTCAAGTAAAATACAGTGAGTCTACTCTCATCAAAAATCAAAGGTGAGCAGTCTTCGCAATATGAAAATAGGCTGCGTGCGATGTTTCGCATGTCTTGATTATTTTGTGCATGCGATTGCTTGTGATGTGGACCGCTTTTTTATGGGTCATTTCTCATTCCTGTTGTCAAGAACTATAGGGTACTGCGTTCAAGGAGAACTTTTGCACTACAAACTGAACAGAAACCAAGGCAATTGACGGAGAAAATGTTATTTTTCTTCTTTAAAGATGTTAGATTTAATAAGTTCATAAATTTTTTAAGAAGTAATTATAGAATCTTTTTGTAAGATTACTTCCCCTTGGCAGCCCCTTGATTAAGTAACTGTTATGTTTAAAGCGACTTTTTCGTAACTTATTTGTGAGGCCTTTGCTAAATCCGGTATGGAAATACTTAAACAACACTTTGGAAAACGACAAAACTGCCTTTGAACTTGGCGACTTTGATTTACTGCTGCTTTAGAAATCTTCGAAACATAAGCAATTTTCAAGAAGTGTTATGTCAAAATTCTTTGTTTTGCGCATGCGATCGCACGCCTCATATTACAAAGACTGGGTGAGATTAATTGAGAGGTGATATGATAACAAAATACATTACCTCTATGAATAACACTAAGTTTACTGTGCAGATACTCCAGTGCGTTAACAACCTGCAACAAAAATGGTAAGATAATTAAAAAGGACTGCTTGTTTGCATTACAACAGCAACAACACAAGATTTAATGCTTGTCAAAAAATACAAATCGTATACAAAATACAATATAAACAGAAGCATGATCAATCTAGCAATTTAAAAAATTTATGCTGCCAATTCCCTGCAAGAGATCAAAATCTCAATTTTCTTGAATCTTCTCACTAGCAACCTTTGGTCTTTCAATTTTTAAAATTTATAATACTCCCCAGTGATATCATAAAGGAATGTATAGAAAAACAAAAAATTGTGACAAATAATTTTTAATAGAGGCAACAAATTCCTGGTAGGATAAACTCAGACACAAATAGGCCCTTCTATTGGCTGCTAATTATATCTGCTACATTTAAATGTTCTTTAGACAGTGAATCAAACTTAAAGGGCATCTCCAAGCAAAACTTGCAATTTTTTAATATTAACTATCTAAAAGAATGGAACCTGCTGATCATGGCTTTGCTACTTATTCGCAAACAATTTGTATATACAGTTTTGAGGTCAAAAGTGCCTGCCTTTTACAAGTGAGTTAAATTATGAGAAAGTAAATTGTTGTTTGGTGACACTGCCACCTAAATTTGTTTTTCTGACAACTTTCTTTTTTTATCTTAAGACACCGATTCCAACAATGGCAATTTGCATAATGCTTGTTTGAACTGGTAAAATTGCAGATCTGTTGCCTTTGATTGCAAATAGTAAGCTCCCAATTGTTTAGCAATGCTGAATAAGGCGAATAAATGCTTCCTATTACTACAAGTCAAGATGCTTGAGAGGAAAACCAAAATGCCTGGCCAAAATAAATTTACCCTGTGCAGTTCAACACGTCGCAATTGAAATCAAATTGATCAAATCAAACTGTCAGATTTAAAAGTGTGGTATTAACTTGAATCATTCTCAACCTGAGAAATATATTTTATAGGTAAGGCCCTTCAAGTCGTCTATAACAATTTTCAAGTAAGCTAGTGATTCAAAGTGAATAAGAGCCTAATATTGTGATAAAGCGATGTCCCCGAACAAATCAGCCTTTGTTCCTTTTTTTTGGAAAGGGGAAATTTTCAGCCAAATAGCTTAATGAATAATTGGAATTTTGCAAGAAAAGCAGTTTTATTAACTAGACACAACAGACACTTGTAAATAGATAAAAATGAATACAATGTTTTGTTCTGGCTGGAGTGACCCTTTCAGCACTGAAGCTTTCCCTCTGCACATTAGCTATTCGGACAACAGATCATCTTGTTGATCTATTTTTAATTAAATCAGGTATAACAGCAGCTATTTAGCTAGCAATTTGCAATGAGCAAGTTACTTACACAAAACGCAATCTTTCCCAAGATTGGTTCTGTTATCTGCTGCCCACTGGTGCTCACACTTTTGTAGAACCTTTCAAGTGATGTTGTCATCAGCTCCATGCAAATCCATACGTCACCCTATAATGCAAACATATGATAAATCTGAGGCAGTGGAACAGGAAAGATGACTAAAGAAAAGCAGGTTCAATGAAATTTTATACAAAGAATGAAAATGGACAGAGAAAAACAAAGGGAATAGGGGATGGATGCTTGAGAACAGGTGTGGACAGGAGAAGCAGGGAGAGGAGTTACGATTCAAGCGTGAGAAAACATATTTGTAGGAATGCAAATAGAGAAGGAAAATGATTGAGAAGAGGAACATGATTGAGAAGAGGAAATGACAGAAAGGATTATTAAAGGGAATGAAGAAAAGGAAAAGAAACATTGAAAGAGAGGGTTGGAGACGAGATCAGGGAAAGAAACGAGAAGAAAAAGGTGACTGAGAAAAAACGGAGGAAGGAGGAAGAAGAGAAGGCAATGAAAGGATTGAAAAAGAAATAGAGGATTAAAAAGAGGGCAGCATATACAGGAAAGGAATGCAATATAATCTTTGCACCATTACTGTAGCTGATAATCATAAAGGAAACTTCTGATTAGCTTTGCTCTAAAGGAGGGTGAGATTTGACTTGCAGGGATAGAGGTCTGTTTTGCTAAAAAAACTCAGGAGCCCAAAAAAACATTCTTTCCAACTGGGCTGACGCAGGGTAAGAAAGTTTGCACCGTAGACGCACCAGAGGTGGAAAAAGTATCGGAACCTGGGAACTACGTTCCCAGAAATTTTTCTAGATAAAAATGTTAGCAGAAAGTTTCACAGAAAATTTTTGTAAGTAAATATATGAAAAGTAAATATAAAAATCTTGTGACATAGGTTAAGTCAAATAAGCAGACGATACACCAACTAAGTATAGAGATATAGGCACAAACAGAAAGTTTATTTGTCTACCCCCTAAATCTTGCAGAAAGTTTTGAGCCAGATTCTTAGGTTCCCAGAAAGAAAAATTTTTTTTCCACCTCTGAGACGCACAAAGAAATCTATAACGACATATCTATTATCTTTACATTTCCGAACTTCAAAATTAGCAAAATCAAATCCAAACGAAAAACATAATATTCCCAATTTTACTTTTATTGGTTTTTTTTCAATAACCATTTCCTAGCCAAATGGTAACGGATTTAACTAAACCTCCCCCGAAAGACACCGAGGGTAGAAAAGGCTCTCACCAGAAAAGCAGCTTCAAGACATGGAGATGTATTAAATGCCTATTTATTAATATTCCTGATTTTATCAAGGCAATTTTTGACAAGCTAATAGCAAGGCAAATATGTGTTGCGTCTGCTTAAACAACAAGGGAGAAATTCAAGATATGAAGAAGTTGCAACAGGCATGTAACGTCAAAAGAGCATGAGAACTGGGGGTATAAATATAATTAGACAAACAGCGATCAACTTTTTGCATTGCAAAAACAGCAAATGTAAAACCTGAGTGCCTTTGAATAAGGGACAGGCGCGGGTTGGTGCATACGTCTCTGGGTATGGCTTGGTTTTACCAACTTAGCATTTTAGAGGTCTTGGTCTGTGTTTTTACATGGTCTAAATTCAAAAACTTCTAAAATAGGTTTATGCAGCGTGACCATGTAGTCACTCTACATCGCTCCTTTCAATCTACAGCAAATATCACAGCAAATATCGTAGTAGATACCATAGCATATATTATAACATATCTTAAAGCGAATTGATATGTAAACTAAAGCTTTTCGTCTGATTGGTCAACCTCAACAGTCATGTGCTCGTGTTTCTGATTGGCCTATTTCGATCCACAACTGGGTATATATATTTCCTAGCGTAGAGTTTTCGGTCTATGTTCAGACGTTTCAAACTCTGAAGAGTGTCAGACGAAAAGCTTTAGTTTACTAAATGTTTGCTTTTTTCAAAGCCATTTTCGAATAGATATGGTATACAAATATCCGCTAAAAAATCCCGTTTTGAACTATCACATCAATTCAGCAGCCTCTGAGGGAAAAGAGAAGTCTTTGCCAGCATAGACTAAGCCTGATAGGTCTTAAACATTTTCGAATGATAATTCAAAAATCGTTTTGCCTTTGAAGTAATCACGGAGACATATTTTCTAAGCGTGGCACCTTAACAACGAAAAGTTCATTTTTATACTTATAACAGTACAAATCCCGAGCTGTTTTCTATTGCAATTTCTTTTCCATCTTCACAACCTACCCTATTCCTGTTGTTGGAACAAATTCTATCATCACGGTCTAACGCGGAATGAGAGGCTTAGCAAACACACACATCGCTTTATTTAATCCTTTTAGATGGACGCTTTAAATAAGCTTGAACAGCTTTTTGATGAAAGAAAATGCTGTGTAGTTCATGTTTTGAGTTTCTTGCAGTAGAACGAAGGACAAGCTGAGAAAAGGGACAGGAAATGAATTGGGGGCATTGATAACAGGTAGAAAGCAAAAGATTTTAAGCGTTTGTCTTTCGGTTTCTTCTAAGAAGAGAGGCTTTTTGAGATTCTGTATAGATGTTGCAATACTTTTGATCGGATACTACAGCAAATTATACCAAATTCCAACTTAAGATAGCAGGAATTTTTATATCGGTGCTGGAGTGTGAAACGTTTTTGGTATGGCAGTTAAACTTGAATTATCTTTCAAAGTGTTAAAGGACGCCTGAAATCAGGGGTGGGTGATTGATTTTAACATGGGGCATCGTGAGAGACGTGTTGGAGGGCTGAACCAGTGATAACTTTATTTCTGAGCAGTGTCCATTTTCTCCTAATGTTAAAAGCACTAAATCATACTATAATTGGGCTGCCACTGGCTACAAATAATTAAATAACTATAAGTTACGGTGAAGGTCAATTGGAAAGAGTACTTCTATAAAAGTATGTTAAAAAAATGGAAAGATTTTCAAAGTCAAAGTAACACAATTGTATTGCATGATCATCATAACATACATTTTATAATACTTTTTCATTTATGTTCTGATCCGAAGAGCTGGATGAGACATACAGGCGGTAAGTTGCCCAGGTCTGCCTTTCATCAATTACATTTGTTAATGTTTACTACAGTATTGTCTAAAACTGCATTCAGTTTATCATGCCGGTTTATTGACATTTTGAATTGAATTTTTTTATGTACGTCTTATTAATAAGCAGCAGTCATTTTTTCCATCTTGACCGAGAAAGAGCAAACAAAATGGAGGAAGCGTCCACGTGAGTATACTCAACAAGACGATGCGATTAACTTAACAACGCTTTTTAACAAAAACTTGAGACCATCTAGAAATTACATAACTTGAAAAGGGGATTTCATGGTCTCATAAAAACGTACTTCGGCTTAATCGTGTGATAATTAAAGATGAGAAGCTTTCACAAAACAAACATTCAATTTAATGAAATAAAGATTTAACTCATCATAAAAAAGAGAAAATAACTTTTCTTTTTCTAAGATTTTTATTCAAATATTCAATTTCAGCAAACATGATTGACAGACAAAAAGCAATTCAATCCGGTCTAAGCTGATTATAATTCATCTGGTAATCGATGCAGTACTTACCTCTTTGAAGAGAGCACCGTAAAACTGTACTGTGTATGGGCACTGAGCTAATCTCATTGAAACATCGAGGTCCATAAGCAATCTCTTTTGCTCAGTTGTATTAACGCTTGCTCTAATGCGCTGTAATACGAGAATTGCACAGAAAATTACTGGAAGATTTGTAAAAATTAGTCTGCTTTTTTGACACAGTTTCAAACAAACTCGTTAAACATAAAGATAATGCTCTCTAATACCATCGATAAAGGCATCAAAGAAACAGAAAACAATACAGCTATTCAACTGACGGCTTAGTTATGGAAATTACTCCAAACTTCATTGTACGACCTTTTTAAGCTCAGATTTGGTTTTATCACCATAATTTTAAACAGGATACAAGTTTTTGTATTGCTAGTGCTTGTATTTTAGATTTTACGGAGATATGTAGTTTGAAAAATTGTTAGGGATTTGACTGCAAAAATCGTACCGGGTGAAAATTTATCCTCTGATCATGGTGAAACCCTTTATAAAATTTGTATCTTTATGTCGTCGTAAAATCGATATCTTGAGCAATAACAGAACGAAAACTCCCAGGTAGACTTAAGTTTCTAGCTCTAAATTATTCAATTCTGGCTAAGCATTTTTCAAAATGAGGCTGTAAGTTGAACTAGTGTATTAGTAAGATTCTAATAAGGTTTGATGTCTTACAATCAACATGGTCTTCTTTTAGGCACAACAAGAAAAGCCCTATAAACGACACACGGTCGTTCTGCAAGGAGGTTTTGTTTAAGCAAAAAAACTGCCAGACAATCATTGATACTAACTTTGACTGCCATTTCATGTTTTGATTTTTGATGAACCATTTTCTCCACAACACCATAAGCTCCACGCCCCAATTCTTTGACACTTTTTAGGTCACTACAATGTGTTTCGACCCTCTTTTGAAAAAAGAAAAAATCATTTCAAATAAACAAGCTTCAATAATGAAAAATGATTACAAATAAAAAAATAAATTTGATTAAGTAAATATCGACTCTTTTTGTCATTTACTATTACAATACATTTCTCTAGTCAAGTTGCTTCAGGAATATTCATCAAAGAAAGAGAATGAAATTTTACGGGTCAAAAGCGGCATTAACAGAGAGCATATAGAGAAAGGGTGAAAGGAGCCTCATGTTGGGTTGGTTCTGGTAACCCCGTAAGAGCGCCAGATTTATAAATAAGCCGAATGCTGACTTCATTTCGGTCAGTTTTTACAAAGAATTTGGATGGAATTGCTTTTTAATCTGCAGCATATTATTATATACTAAATATTTATAAAGATGAACTCAAAAACGGCTTCCAAACAATAAGCACTTTTGGAGATACTTTAGTTTTTTGTTTGACGTTCTTCAGAGTATAAAATGTCATAACATTGATGAAAAACACTAAGCTAGAAAATATACCATGGATCGAAATAGGAAAATCAGAAACCAGAGCACATGACTGTAAAGGTTGCCGACAGAGTTTTAAGGTGAAATATGAACATCATATGTGCATGATAAGTAAGACAGTAAGAAAAACGTTGCTGGTCAATAAAGGTTTTTGCTTAGAAAGATGTTTCTATAAACAAAAGGGAAAAATCAACAAGTTTTGCTCCTTCTCAAAGCTCGACAGATAGAAATGAATGGTTCAAATAAGAGTGAAAGAGTCCGCTTGTTGAACAGTTTAAGGTCATTAAGACAGAATTTTTGCTATTATAAACAATTTTTGGTATGTTTCTTCTTGGTATCTGCTCTAACGCATTACAGCAAAATTTTCGATAATTGTCCAAAGGAAAAAACTGTAAAACTAACTTTAAACTAGCAGAAAATTCGAAAAAAATTCAAAATAATTTCTTACATATTCCAGAGCTAAAGATATCTTGGAATTTAATTTCCGCCCAATCACTGCTGGTTAGCTAAATGTTTTCCTACTCCAGGCAATTTTTAAATAGCTACAGAAAAGCTTCTCCACACCAAGAAGACTTGGCGCGAAAAAAACAAAGAATAACGAGAGTTAGAGGACAAACCTGTCCATCGATTGTCAACGTTGTACTATCGGACAAATTCCCTGGTGGTCTAAAATCAAAATACAAACATTTCAATTGGATGTTTCAAATAATTGGTCGGCGAATAGAAGGTTATCAGAGTAACTCTGTTTGGAATTACATGGTGGTGGTTGAATGATAAGCTATATGCACCAGAAAAGAGAAGGAAACCTGCCATGTCCCATGCAGTCTCTGATCAAAAAACAAGAAATATCTTGCAAATCTCGCTTGTAATCACTAAGTTGTTTCTCTATTTTGGCATTAAATATCAACCAAGATATTTGTAATGGTCCAAACCCCATGTGACTTCTTGATTGGCAGTTTGGTCTTAAGAGACAGGTGCATGTCCAACTTGCAGTTTGATCCACTAGCCGATTTCTGGCAGAAGACACGCGACGGAAAATAAGATTTCCGACCTGCCAAATTCTTTGTGTATGGCTGAAAGGTGAATTTCGCCCACTCCCAAACCTTAGAATTAACTAAATTCATCTCATAAAGCAATCCCAATTTGATTTCCTTTTAACCACAACTATTGTTATAAATCGTGAAATTCATAAATCTCAGGAATGTGGGAGAATTTGAGAAAAGCTGAAATCACTTAACTTGTGGACTCAGGTTTAATGGATGCATCAACAGTATTTCCCGACTTTATGCCTTTAGGTTTTGCCTTTTAGGGGCTGTTTCAAGATTTTGCAAACAAACAAAAACACTGTACAAACAAACGGATATTGTGCTTTTTCAATAGAATTTGCCCACTAAGCTAATGGCGGAAGGTGTTTCGATAAATCTTTCCCTCGCTAGTGAGACAAGGGACTGTTGCACCAGTAGGGAAGTGCTTAACAAAAGCACACGCACAAGAACATCAAAACATTCCGTTCTTATTACACGCGTGCTTGCGCTGCTGGTTTCTTCTGTGAGAACATTCAAAGCACAAGTCATCTACGTCGTTGTGAAATTTTCTGTCAACTCGGCTCTCCGTCACAGTAAACTCTCAAGTAATTCTGTAAACAAAACAGCTGCATTTAATTTCAATTTTGCAAAGAAATTGGTCCCTAATGCGTGAAGCTCCAATAAAAGAAAACATCATTGCGCAAGACAGGCCTTTTTGTGGGAAAATTTCCACAAAGGCAGCAGGCTACCTGTGGGGCATTCGCCTAAAAGAAGAAAATGAAGAATCTCCTTAAGGTCCCAAGGAGCATATGAGTGCATGTACACACTGCTCCCTACTTATTGACGTCCGTTTTTAGTTCACTTTTTTTCAAACAGCTTTGATTTCAAAGTTATCCGTATTTAAATGAGAAATATTGCAAAATTTATGAGCATTCATTGTTTTTATACGATGCGGATGCTCTACATTTTCATTTTCTAAACGATCTGAATTGTTCTATAGGCCAACTGGTGTTATAATTTTCCCATCTTTATTTTGGTACCAAGATACATATTCTTAAGTATCCGTTTTCTTTGTGGCGTTGTGTGGAGGCAGGGCAAGAAAGATGCAAATCAATCCGTTTTATGTGAAAACAAATTAAAGCGAATTTGGGCCTAGGGGGTAGGTTTAACTACAATTTCTCACTCTGGGTTTCTAAGTTTGTATAAATCGTTTTTGAAGCAGAATTATCCTCAGTGTTGAGGTTAAAATGAACGTACTGAAAAAGGATGCTGTAAAACGTTAAAGTTTAAGCAATTATGGTTTCATTACAATTTGACCCGTCAGCACGGCAGAACTCAAATTGTCCGAAAGTACTTGCACTGCCATTTTATGTTGTGTCTCTTAGGCCTGGTTTAGACGGCGTGTTATTCATGTGCCGTATCATGATTCTATATTCTATAATGGGCTATTTGATTCGAATAAAATAGAAAATAACGCAGTTGATTCAAACGCCGTATTAAATGCAAACCGTTTTTATTTGGTTGTTATTGTTCTACCATAAAAAATTCGTTGTTATGAAGCATTGTTGAGTGAGAACCGCAACCAAGATGGGGATAATGAAAAAATTGAAATTAGTACTGCTAAACAACCGAGATAGAAGAAGAAAAAGAACTTTTAGTTATACTACAAAACTTGCCGCATTAAGGAGAGGATTTGTTTTCAGGCCATGTCTATGCATCCCTGTTTCTTATAATTTGTAACCATAAGATGTAAGGTCGCCTGCATCACAAGGTCATGTCGCAGGGTTCAACGGAACGAAAGCTGGTTCCTTTTCATTTAATACGGCACATGAATAACTAGGCCTAACGGGTAAATGACTTTTTATGCCAGGAGCCATCATCAAGCGCAAAAAATACTTGGGCGCTTGCAAGGGCACTATTGCATTCTCTTTTGCTACCTTGCAAGTTAGCGGCAGCCATTTTGAACTAGTTAGGCAAAGTGGAGTTGTACGGAATCTGGCAATCAAATTTAAAGTATCAACCAATTCAAAAATTTGCAGACAGGGTGCTTTCTAAAAACTTTTACACTGCAGTCTGCAATGGCAGGGAAAAATTACAATTTTTGATTTCTTGAGAGCGTTGGCAATGGACAACTATTGTCATAAACAAGGCAATTTAATCATAAAGCACAATACAATAGTTACTGTGATAATCACAGCGTTCTGAGATGATTGCCAACAATGACACCACACCAAAACCAGCTTTAAATTCAACAGTGTCATTGATTGCTCTCATTAGGCCAGCCATTATTGACAGCTGTTGCAAACACAAACTGTTGCAAAAAGAACACTGGCAACAAGGCCAAAGGTTAACATTTCTCAAAAGATAACTTTGAAAACACACAAGTATGCATGGTTCAATTTTTATTGAGCCATTTTGGAAAAACAGTATTTAGGAAAAGTTAAAACAAAATAATATTACCTGGCTTCTTCTTTTCCATTCTTTGATAAAGGTATCTTTGTTGGCCTGTACTTCTTTTCCTTTCCTAAAAAATAATAAGATTACACTCAACAGCCACACAGAGCAGATTGAACACATGAAATTAAGTTTGATTCAAGTTGCAAACAGCAAAGTGAAGGCAGCTTCCTTGCAAAGCACACTTAATTCAAGATTGCATTTTCCTAATAGCTATTTCCATGACAACTTCGTATGTTAGTTTAAGACAATAACACTTCAAGAGCAAGGGTTCAGTCAGTTTCGTTCAGTTATCAATTGTGTATTAACACTCTGATTATTCACACCCTGAATTAGTCATTGACTGCTACACATAAGATACAGGATGCACTCTGATTGTCCAGCTTTAGATAATTCAGAGGAGGGAGGCAATGCTTCATTTCAATTTTGAATGATTGGTTATAGTTACTTAGATTTTTTGCCTTTGTTTAAGTGAACCGTTGTTTACTGATAACTAAAAATTATATACCAAGGGTAATAATGAAGGGCTAATGATAAAATTGACAAGGATGTGATGATGATGGGTGATTCTTAGTTTTTCTTTAAAATTCTTTTACTAACTGCCTAAGCCTTTTTACTGGATGTATTACATTTTGTTAAAAAAACCAAAACAGACTGAGTTTCAAAATGTGGGTTTACTATACAGAAGATTGCATTGTAAACCAATTTATGCATCCATATATGCCAGGGGAGGGAGGGGGGAGTGTTTAATTGACCAAGGTAAGAAGAGATCTGTTAGATTCTAATATCCAACGCATTGAGGAACATTCAAAAACTAAAAAGGATCAGCTTTGAATGGTGAGGCAATATAAGTTTGGTTAAGAACAAGTTCTAAAAATTGAAAAATTCTTAAAATCATATACATTGTTGAAAAGTGTTCAATGTTATCTTCACATAATAACCATAAAATAACTGAAATGACAATTAATTATTATAAGCACTTCTTATTGAAATCAACAAAAGCTTGAGAAATATGACATCTTTCAATTCAAAAATTTCTAGGTGATATAATAAAGCTTTGAAAAGGCTTACATGGGGTGCATTGTTTAGGAGATTAGGGTCTAAAAGATGTGCAATAATTAAGAGATCAAGGTCAAAAAGAGGTAGAAATAACTTCCTTCCTTCATTGAAAAAATATGATAATTTTATATGGCTATTATGAGCATGTTATAAACAAAAAAGCACTATCACAGTTCTTTTTTTAATATGTTTGCAGAAACATTCCAAAAGTATAACACACAGGGCTCTTTTTACCATTCAAGACAACCAAACTGCTAACACAGCACACTTTATCCTTACAACCCTGGCAGTTCTTTAGCAAACTTAGAGTTTGAAAATTTCCCTCTACTGGGCCCTTTGGGCTACCCAACCACTGAGAGTAAAATTCCAGATTTTGGCCAAGTACCTGAGGCCCTTATGAACATCTACATCATAAATGGTGCCATGGTAAAATCTGCATGGCAACCTAATCTATGTGGAAGATATTTCAGCAGTTGAAAAGCTGACGCAAGACTCTTGTTGCACTAGCCTTGGGCTAACATTGCCTGATTGCAAAGAAACAAAAAATGAAGAAGAAGAGATGGATAAATCTGGTGCACATTACGCTTTGAAGTCAGGACAAATAAAAAATTGGAAACTGCAAAATACTCTAGAGACTACAGGCTGAATTCCTAACATGGACTCCACATAGTATGACTACTAAAAGAGCTTGGTGTCACTGCAACAACATGAAAATTTCAAATAGAAAAAGGCTGACAGAAAGCACCTTCAATGCAGCAATGCAAATTCAATAAACTGTATAGAAACTGCAACAAATAATCAAAGATCAGCAGTGTTTGAACTTTTGAAGCAAAAAGAGAAAAGAAATAGTGTTCCTGATTATTAGCCTATACAAAAAACATGCTTTTGTAAAAAGACTTTTAAGATAGCTTGCCATGTAGTTAAAGAACTAAAGGTTCATCAAATATTTGTTGTTGTTGTGATAATCACTTTCTATTCACTAGATATTTAAGAGAAAATATGAAACTATTATTCTTAGTATATTGATGATTTTGTTACTCTGTCTGATTTACAATTTGTTAGATTGTGCTATCCAGGTACTTGCTGCTATTCTTCCCAACACGGAAATGTTCTTAAAAAATTCCCTGCCTTGATCTCCCCCTGAAACAATGTTGGTTATCAATTCATTTGCATTTGATTCCAGAACAACTTTGACAACAACAGTTGTGTTCCCAAAGCATTAATATGAAATAATATACCATTGTTTGGGTAGTTGGGCTCAGGTGTGCGATGTTTCAGCAGATACTTTATTTGCTTTGGAATTGATTATCATTTATTGAGCACTCAAAAAATTTGAAAATTCATACAATTCAAAATTCAGCCAAATCATTGTTTACTTTTTATTGCCGTTGTAAAAACCAACTTCCTTAGAATGATTAAAGTTTGTTTTTTGAAATTCTTGACAATTCTGTGGAATTAACATGGTCGCTTTGCTTTTCTGGCTCCTTAATTTGTGCTCATATATATATACATTTTTCTTTCAGATGACTTGTGACATGTATCTAATTCTTGAAGGGGTAAAGAAATAAAACTTAAGTTGCTTGTTCTAGCTTTTATGCTTTTCCTATCAAAGATCATAAAAACCTATGATTAAATGGTTCAAGCAATCATCTTTGCTATGAGCTGACCCCCTAGTGATTAAAACTACTATAAACAATCCTTACTTTATTATTACAAATTTAAATTAAATTTAAGAGATTTATATATATATATTTAAGTAGCAAAAATTCAAAAGTATACATTCCTACCAAAAACAGTTAAATATGGATATTCAAATAAACATGGTAAAACCTAGATTTCTTCTAAGGAAAATTCTGTTCATTGTAACAGTTGAAAAATCACAAAGTGGGTAAAAATAACATAGCAAAGCTGAAAACATTTGCCAGTTTCTTTTAATGCCAATCCAATCTCCAACATGCTCTATGATGCTTCTTAAGTTTACATTGCTAAAATCTTCAGGCTAATTGTGTATTGCAAATTTGTAGTCCAAACGTTTTCTAATTCCATACTATTTTTAGTTTATAATTAAATTACTCTTTCCAGACTCTATGGTTATTTTCAATAGAGTCCCACTTTGATTATTTTGACCTTCCAGTAGTTAAAATATTTTACACTTCTCACTAGCATGGGTTTCCATTAACAATGACCAGAAAATTTATGTAAACTTGGATTCTGCAAAAAGGCTTTATATAAATAAAAATTTAAAACGGATTGTAATTTAGAAAACTTTCTCCTAAATTAATATTCATAGGACATGTTAGAATGTTAAATGTGATTTCAAAAGTCATTCTCCAACAACCTCATTAACTCTACAACAGCTGACATTTCACACATATTCAGAACTTGAAGCACACACATGTTTGCAAAACAGCTGCATGCTTCCTAATATCTCCATTTTGTGCAAAATATCAAGAACAGACACCATACAAAACATCACAAACCAAGTAGCCCAAGGTGAAACCAATGGACTGATGATAAATTTGTCTACAACTGATTGATTTTTTTCAAAAAATGAATCGATTTATAGACAAACTTTCTCTTAATAAATAAGACAAATATATCATTGGGAAATATTTCCTCAAACACAGTTTCATGGTTTATGTTGGCCCAAAGCGGATTAAAATTAATTAGTTGACTGCCCTGGAAACGAACCAAAACAATACCATAGCTAATTGGTATATCATATGACACTGTCTATGTTAAAATTGCCTGACGAAAGGCTTGCAATTTTTTGACAAACAACAAATATATGTTTACCTGGGTTCGATGTTTTAATGATGAATAAAATTCAAATTCATGTAATTCAGCAACAATAATTTTGGTTTAGAATTGATTTTGATATTTAATACGCTGTGTATAAAATATTAAGATAATTAAAATAACAATGTTTTTGTTAGTATAGTTACCTAGGATGATAAGAGAATCGGGACGCTTTTCGAGCCCGATAAAACAAAACAATACAATTGTAATTTATAAATAATCAACACTCTAAATATCAAATATTTCTTCGAAAATCAAGACTTGGCAAAGGATGCAAATAGGAGTGAATTTAGGTTTTCGCAAACAACAAAACTTCCTGACAGCACGAAATAAAAAGGCATATCTCTTTTAAATTAAAGTCCACTTCAGGGAGTGCGACATGCCGATTTGGCTTCAACTCCGCGACATTATTTGTTACATTTCCTACCATGATTAAAAAAACCGATAAATGTTATAAATAAGCAGAACAATGAGGTCTCTCAAACGTTACTTGAATAATAAAGCATACAATTACCTCCTGGATGAGAAGCTGACATAATTACAGACTTTTATTGAGCAATGCTTTCTAACTGCAAGAGTACTTGATTTCGGACAAGGCTGAGATCACTCGTCTGCGATTCAGTGACCAACTTCTCCGACTGGACAGCTGAAACTGGCAATCATAATGCGGAAATACAGCAATTATTGAGTATATTTTTTTCTCTTGATAGCACTGGATCCATCAACAGGAAACCAATCGACAACGTACGAGCACAGCCTGCACCATTGACAACTTGCACCTCGAAAGAAGGCGCGTTTGTTATGCGCCCGCAATACCTTTAAATAATGGCACGCGGCTTCAGTGGGATTTCCCCTGAATTCTTTCTGGAAACGAGACAAGGAAGTTGGCAAAAGTGACGTTGCAAAGGAAATTTTCTATGTACATACGAAGAAAAAATTAAACTGAAAGAGTTTGGAAAGACCAGGAGTCGAATCCCCGAATTGGTCTTAATATCCTTAACTGTTTCCCATCCAGTGACTGTGAAGCATCATACGGAGAGAGAGGGGGCCAAACATTTCCAAAGTGTGAGATCAATTATCCAAAACATTTCAGTTGACGGCGTAAAGACCTTTTGGTGGTAATTATTTGGGAGAGGGGGCTGTGTCCAGAATTAATATTTGAATTAATATTTGAGTTGCAACTCTAAGCACCCGATTAAATGTATTTTCATAGACGTGGAGACCAGGGGGCACGTGCCCCCACTTTTCAGAAACAGTGGAAGAGTACCTACTTGCAGCTTTCAGAGAGGTGCCCGTACTTTGACTTCAGGTGCCCCCCCCCCCACTTTTGAAATGATTGCTACTGGCTTCCTACGTCTATGCGCACTACGTCCATATATATAAATTTCCCTAAACAAGCAGTTTTGTCTTGTTTAACTTGTACTGTAAATAACAACATCTTGAGAACTTCATCTTATAGAAAATGCATCATTTATGTTGCTTCAATGTTCAAATAAATATGTAAATTTATTTTGTTTATTTTAACTATCTTGTATCTTCTTATCTTACAATTTACCATTAATTATTGTAATTAATTAGCTTGATATGCTGAAAAAATTGTGTTTGAGTTTGAATGCCAGTTGATAGGATAGACAAATAAAGGAGTCGCATTTACCGTTAGATGATTTAAGATAATAGCACGCACAGCTTATTTTACGACTATCAATAACTCACAACATATGCTCACAGAGTCCCAATCAATTTTCTTGCTGCTGCCAAAAATTTCCGGTCACATGAGTTTCGGGAATGTCCTTTCACTTTAGTGACGCAATTTCACACGATGCATCTGGTAAGTTCAATATTCTGAATTATTAAAGCATAAAGCTTTATTATTCTTGTGTTGCAAAAACACTAAATACTGAAAGATTTAAAAAATCTTCTTATTTTTTGAGGCACAGACCAAATATAGATGCAATTAATAGACCAAAATGTTAATTTTCTTCCCCTCGAACTGAATTATTTTCTATGGCCATATATATTTTATCAAATAAGCAACAATTTACTGCTATTTATACCACATTAGAAAGGCACACCCCTTCTACGGAATGAGGAACGCCCCTGAGTTTATTAGCACTTTTGTTTAATTTCTGTCTCAATTTTTTTCAAATATTTATATGAAAATGATCCACCAAAGCAATTACAGTAAGTTGTAACTCCCAGCGCCCGTTGAACAGTCTCTTATCATGCAGAACTGACTGTAGGCATTGCAAGAAGCTTTCACGGATCAGCCTTAAAAACAAATTTTCTTATGAAAAATTATTAAGGGCATTCTCTACCCAGCTTTGATATTTTGTCACTGGCCTTTTACAGATATTCAAGGCCAGTTCTGAAAAAATGCTATTTTGGACTGTATTTTTTGTATTTTGACTGTAATTTTTTGGTCATATGCAATTTTGGACTGTATTTTGGTATTCATCAAATATTTCTGAGAGTAAATTCTTAAATGTTATCAATTTCAAATTTTATTTTCAAACCATTACCAAAAATTGGTTTTTCACAAAATTTTCAAATAAGATTGCATTGCTGTTTAACTTAGCCGAAAAATTACATTCACGTTGACACCGATATCTGAATTTAAGTCGGTAGAACTAAAATGCACAGCCTTGCTAAACTACAAAATCTTGGAAAACCACAAAAAAGGAAACATTTCTAAAATTCTACAATGACATTTTTGGATTAAGTTTGCAGACAAATTGCTTTTGCTATTCATTATTATCTTTAGTAGTTGACCTGTGTGCAAGCGAAATATTATTATTTCCAAAAATGATCTTTCCTCATAATTTCCTAAAAAAAGGACAACTGCATGAAAATGGGTCTCCGAGGCATTAAAAAGACCTGAATAATATTGAAAAAGCCAATGGGCTACGATTTTCAGTGGTGGAAATAAACCATGGGGAAAATACCCTTACCCAGAACAACTTCCTTTTCACTGCCACAGTTGGTGCACGACTTTTAGCATCGCGATGGAACAAATTTTCACAGGTGGCACAGATAAAACAAAATCCACTAAAACACGTTGAAAACTGCAATCGGAGGTGAGCAGACAAAAACAACAAAACAATTAGATGTAGATATCAAAATGTTCGTTAAATCTAAAATAGCGATTGTATTCTTACAAATTTACTTGACATATAAGATCTAGATATCGGCGCTTCATTCTGAAGTTTCATCGGTGTTGCTCTGACGCCGTAGATATATAAGTAAATGAATAACTTTGAAATCTTTGCGCTCGAAATTCCAGATGATTAGAGCAAGTTGATTAAAAAATAAAGCATTTGTGTTTTGCGCATGAAGTATTTTGATGGAAAGAATTTGTTTTAACATGTATGAAACCCGTGCAGTCCGCCCTAATTCCCAGCTTTCTGAATTCATTTCACTATAAACAAATGAAAACAGCATGGCCTAGGCACGACATCTTGTTCAGGTCTTCAATGGTCCACAAAGAGATTACAAATAACTGCGAAAATCTGTCCATGCTTCACCATTTCTTGAGCCTTTCCGAGAATAAACGCACAGCTTACGAAAAAATGTGAAAAGATGTATTGAAATCAGGGATCAAAGGACTGCAGGTGTAACCCCATTTAAGCCCCCAATCTACAACAGAAAAGTCAAACTATTCTGCACTGTCATTTTGCCAATCACATATGTTACGAGAATTTATTGAATACAGGTCGATTTTCAAAATTTCTATTATTTGCTGAAAAAATCCCTTAAATCTTTTTGAGACAGCCCTTTGAAGCTAATTTTAAAATTTGATCAGTTCATTTCTTCAATCGTCGTCCATATCATCATCAGCCTCCTCGTCGTCCTTGCCTCGTCTGCGTGAAGTAGAAGAGATGCCACCTGCACCACGCCTGTTGAAAGAAGAGATTCTTCATTTGTCATTCAGTCATGCAGCTTTGTCAAGGCAAACCCGTTGGGGAAGAGACAGTACATGTGTCCGTTTGAATATTGATCATTGCAAAACCCTTTCAGCAAAAACGTTAAATGAGCATTGCCAGAAGCCTTTGAAGACAATTCTTTTATAAAACTTTTATAAAACTTTTATAAAACTATGAACTTTTGAGAAGACATGTTGAAAGAACATCATTCAACTGCTAAAATACCGAATTATAACTAACAGCCAAAGCTTATTCGTTGAAGAGCTGCAAGCAATGAAAATAGGCCTTACCTCATACGCCCTCGCAGCTGAGTGAGTTCCCTTTGAGCTGCCTCGTTTTGTTCGACTTGTTCGTCGAAGTCCCTCTGCAACTTGCGCTTTGCGGCGTTCAGTCTTGTCACTTCCTCCTCCGTTTCATCAAGTTGGCGTTTAAGGTGCTTGATTCTCTGGTTGACTTTCTCAACCTGATGTAATTAATACAAAACAATCAAAAATACAATAAATTATTCGAAATTTCAGCCACAATACAGTAAATTGGAACCATTAACTGCAAAACCATGAAATGATGACTCGAGACCATTAACAAAAAATTCAGAAGATTGATATTTACTTCCACTTTTTCAATATATTTCTTTACATTAATTGACATAGCAAGCATTTTCAGACGTTTCGCCGTTTAGATGAAAAAAAGAATTTTTCAGAAATTGATAGCAAGCAACATGCTTTTCACCGAAGGATGAGCCGAAAAATATCATGCCGGGAAATTGATATACAAATCTTCCCAAACAGGAAATGCCTCATATTTCTAGACACAAATGAAGTTGAATGCAGCTAGTCAATAATTATGGATGAACTGGCCTTTCCTTCAAGATAATAAATCAAATCCTGGGAAATATGCGCGTGGGTGCATGCCAACAGCGGACGATTCTCAAGGAAAAGCCGCTCTAATGATCGCAAATATGTTCTACAGTGTCACCGTAATAAGAAAAGCTACGTTTAAATATATGAAAACACAACAAAAGCTATCTGTGACTCGCCCCAGATTCCGATTGGAAATTCTGTTTGGTTCTTCCGAACAGCTGCTACATCGTCTTAAAATCTTGATCAGATCGATTGGCCTGGCTAAAATATCTTTATTTCTATTAGGGTGGCGAGTATCGCAGCCCTAATGTGGAAACAGTAAACAAAACTTCAAATACAAAAAGGGTTTCTTTGCAAAACCAGTGGAAAAAACGCAAACCTGGTCTTTGTACTGATCTGTATTTCGCCGTTCCTCCTCCACGCCCAAAGCTGCTTCTTTTAATTTCTTCTCCAACCTTCTGTTTCCTTTGGTAAGATTGGCTCTCTCTCTGTATAATAGAAATATGGCCTATCGTCAAAAAATTATCCACCAATTTACAGTTTTGATTTCATTCGTTGTTAGCAAATTTTAGCGGAATGCAGCATTTTAAGTATGCAAGCGAAAAAAGACAAAGCTTGCGAGAGGTCTAATGCGGAACAGAAAATGCATTGGCGGTAGCCCTTCTCGAACCGCAGATTCTTGTCTGTTTTTAAAATAATCATCGAAATATCATTTGACTACATTAAAAACATCCGAAGCTATTTTCCCAGATCTGACAACGATTACTTCGGGAAATGTCAGGTTTCACGGCAACGCACAGAGTAAGCTCTCTTGGAAAAAACATCAAAGTTCCAAAACAAAACCGCTGTAAGAGACTCACTTTGTTTCTTGATCAAGTTGGTCTTCCAAGGTGACAATTTTTGCTTCCAAAGCTTGCACTGTTGTCTTTTGTCTGGATCTGAGAGAGGACTCCATATCAGCCAATTTGGCACGCAGCTCTTTGTTCTTTGAAAAATAAAACGCAATTCATAACTTAATAGAACTTGTGGCTTATAATGAGGTTAGAAGGTTCGAGCTATAAAACCAGCAGAAGGCAAAGCAATTAGACTTTTTGAAAAGCACAGAAAGATATTTTGGTTTCACAACGCTTGGAAATCAGACGTACAGGTATTGCGTGAATATATGTCAACAATCCGTTACCAGACACAAGAAAAAGGCAGGGCCTAAAATGATGCTGACAGAATCAGACCGAAATATATAGAGGAACATAGTCTTTGAGGAGTGGATTTATATAAAGCCAACAGAGATTAAATTAGAGAGAGGCGGACAACATTTATATGTCGGTGCCCATCCAAATGTAAAAATACTGATACGGATGGGGAAATAATTGATGAAATTTTTTGTCACTTCAGTTAAAATAAACATAAATGAATATTGGATAAGAGCGACCCTTTCTACAACTCTAGAAATCCGGGAGGGGGATAAGGAATACCCTTACCCCATAAGGGACCTGGCGTTTCCCTGACAGTAATGTTGATAAAGGCTTGATTTGATTGGTAACTTTGAAATCCAATTAAGTCTAAAAGCCCATAGGGCTAGCATTGAATTACGGCATATCATGATACAAATTAACAAGATAAATGCAACTTACTTGGCGTTCAAGCATCATCCTAGTGTTGTCAAGTTGTTGAGCAGCATTTCGCTCCGATGCCAAATCTGTTGCCATTTGTTCCATCTAAAATTCAATAAAATTCAAATAGACGTTAGAATAAACAAACAATCGAACAAAACCCCACAAAAGGAAAGACAAATACACTGTTTTCGATTGTTATATGAAATTACCTGAAGATTCGCTCTCTTGACTTTCTCTTGCATCAGTTCATTCTGAGTTCTTTCTTCTTCAAGATCTTCATCAAGTTGATTGATTTGAGCTTCAAGCCGCTTCTTCTCTTCCGCCATCAAGTTCCTGGAAAAGGTTAGCAAGATCATTTCCAAGAAAAAATTTCTCATAACCAGGCTATAGTAATAGCTAGGCTTTTATAACTAGTGATGATCTCTCCTTATCGAAGCTAACCAAAAACTTCACATACTTTATAAACAGGCAATTCTCTCGTAATAGGTTTAATATATTTAAGTTAAAAAATAGAGGTATCTCCATGTAAACAAATCATCTACCTGTTTGTAGAGTTATTGTTGATTTCTTCCAGCAACTCATCCCTCTCTGCTTCGATGGCCTTTCTGGCCCTTTCGGCTGAGCTCAAGTCCTGCAATTGCAAAAATGGAGTGAGCATGACGATCAACCAAATAATAAAACGCTATGAAAGTCGGGGGACCCACTGTGTGAAATCATGGGCATTTAGCCTAGAGGTTTATGACAATTCATTTCTCCAGCTAAGAAAATACTCCATAAAGCTAATATCCACTACTATTAATGAATTCAAAATGGAGAATGAATGTCATCAAAGTTTTAAATAGTGGAACGCGTCAGCGGAAAGAAAATTTGATTAAGGACACCACACTGATATGAATATCTGACCTACTTTCCTGTTTTTTTTTCGGTTGACGCCCCATGTGCCCTGTTTTGCCTTAATTCTGAATCTCTAAAGGTTGAGTCAACAGTTTTTTAACCAATTGGTCTTTGGTTCTACCTACCTCCTGCATCTGCATGAAATCTGCCTCCAAAGCTTTCAGTTTCTTCTCGTTGTCTCTAACCTGTCCAGTGAGTTCATCACGCGAATGTCTCGCATCTTCAAGATCACGCTGAACGTCCTTCATTTGTCCCTGGAACCATTAACAATGCTGTTATAGTATATACAAAAAATCATCTGGCGGAAAGCAAGCAAAAATCTGCCTAACTCACTGCTTATACAAAAGCTTTTACATCATGGAAGAATTAGAAGAAAAAAAAATTCAGGATTTGGAGCCCTTCGTTAGATAAAGACGATTAGATTAAAGAGCTTTCCATGGGCAGCAGAGTCATCAAAAGGTACATACAGAGCACAGGTATTTAAATGCCGTTATGCACAAACTAAATTTGTAACTAACCCTAATCTTGTAATGATCAACAACTAGTACTCTAATGGACACAACCAGAACCATAAGATCGCGATAGCATCTTGCATTCAGATCACTTTACATGAAGTACTTAAAACAAGGCACAACTTGATGAGAAATATTCTTTTAACAGTACAGCACTTGTCACTTGCACATGAAAATTTTTATTGAATGCAAGTTGTAAGTGTTATTTTGGCCCGGAACATATTTCTCGTGATATATCCCAAAGTTTAGTTCAGCTAACAATTTACAGATATAGTCGAATAATGACAGAAAAATGTAATTCCTACGTGAATGGATCTTTAGTTCCATAATCAAGGTAAGCAAGATGCCTAAATCACATCAAATAATAATTTAATGCCTTGTTATTTCGGCATATCAAGGCATTCAATAGCATTATTAAAACTCACCTGGTACTTCTTGAGTTGCTTCAAGCCGTCCTCTTTGATCCTGTTCGCCTGCTCAAGTTGCCCTTCGAGATCTTTAATGTCGCCTTCCAATTTTCTCTTTGCAGCGACGGCATTCGATTTGGTTTTCCTTTCCTCCTCGAGTTCAGCTTCCAGCTCCCGAAGCTAGTGAAAGGATATTATCATATTCACAGAAGCTGGGTTGTTTGCAATAGAACCAGTCTAATCAAATTTTCTCAGGGTTTCACGTATAAAAAATTGCCAGTCAAGTTACTCTTTCCTTATTCAGAGACCCTTTCCAGGGCAAATATTGGGCAATGCAACATATCTACCCCCACCACCACCACAGAAATTGCTGTTTCCTGGTATCATCTCAAAACTATTGCCCCCTTGGCCTTAAAATGCAAACTGCAAACCCACATGCAACCTTCTTTATTAAAACGCTCTTGATATGAGAATTTGGACAGTTCTTCGAATCATCAAAGAATACACCGATATTGAGGACAAAACTCAGTCATCGACCATTTTCACTTCAGAATAGCGACAAAATGATTCAAAAATTAGAATTTCTTAAACCACCGGAACAATCCCATGACAGAAAAGGGCTTAAAACAAAGGGAAACCTCTGTGTAATTGTCACAAGCTCACCTGTTTAAGAACACCACGACGAGCCTCTTCGATCTGTTCATCCTTGGCTGCGAGGTCGCGTTCAAAGTTTGCCTTCTGCGCTTGCATGTTCACTTCCAATCTCAGCTTGGCATCCTCCGTTGCTTGCAATTCATCCTCTAATTCCTCGACCTGGGTTTTTTGTTCCTGTACCTGTTGTTCGAGCAGACGCTTTGCCTTCTCCAATTCATGCACGTTCTTGCCAACATCGTCCTTGCTATCAACTAACTCTTGTAATTCAAACTGAAGAAGGAAGGAATAGGTCCTAAACCAAGGGCACGGTAAGGAAAGCCACTTGTTTGAAAAACAATTCACAAAACTCCTGGCCAAAAAACTTTTCAGTTCTCTAAGATATTTGGTGTCTTATCGTGAAAAAATTAGGACAGACTAAACATGCAGATTGTAGTATTTGAACGTAAAAGAGACGAGTCGACATAATTTTTTCACCCTTTTAAGAGAAAAGACAATTTCGCTAGCTGTCATTTCCCATTTGCCTGATTTTGGAACTCCCAAGGATCTTTCTTGTGAAAGAGACAAATAACTTTGTTTCCCAACACAAGTTTTTGTTCAGGACCTGGACAATTCAAATTGGCTGAGGAGTAAGGGAAATGACAAATTCGAAATTAAAAAATAGAAGAATAAAAGCTTTGCGCATCAAAAAGTTCAATGATACTCACCTGAAGTTGCTTTCGTACTCTTTCACTATCAGCCAAGTTGTCTTCGAGTTCCTCCAATTGGTGTGTTAAAGACAGGACCTAAAGAAACAGAGAGATCAAGCTTAAAAAAAATCCTTAGTAAGAAGTTTTTTACAGTCTAAAAAAAATCCTGATTAAAGTCTAAAAAACCAATTTTAAAACTTGCAGCGAATAAAAGAGCCCGATTTTTTAACATCTATGTATCATAAACTATCCGCCATTCAATTATTTGCCAATAACTCGCTATGGTTTACGATGAAGACAAATATTGCTAATGATTGATGGAAGCTTATGGTACTCTAGGTATTGATTGAAAAAGAGGCATGGTTTCGAAAATGAGGCATATAAAGCACGAGTAAACATACCTTTGTCTCGTTTTGCCTTGCGTTCTTCTCAGCATTGTCTCGTTCCTGTGCCAAACGTTCAGAGGCATGTTTCTCTTCAGCAAGCATCTGAGAAAGAAATCAGGTTGCTCAAAGCATAAAAAATACAAGAAAGAAATACTTTGCTTAATTTTATACCTGGTTTTCTTTGCGAAACAAAGAAACACAGTGTGGATTTTTTGGAGTTAACTCATCTGAAAAATTAACTTATCTACCGAAGCTTATTAGTGTTTCGAAGAATGCGGGAAGAAAAGGTTGGTTATTGTCAATAAACGAGATTTAATTTGAGCTTTTACAAATGGAAACATTCTTACTACAAGTAACTTCAAAACACAAAAATTAAGTCGGAGCTGTCTAGTTTCCATGCTGCTCGACCTGATGACGTAATTAGTTTACCCTAAGCCTAACCCTAACCCTAAACCTAAACCAAATCCTAACCCTAAACGTAACCCTAACCCTTTACTTGAAATAATTAATCATGCTAATTTATGACTACTAATCATGCTTATTTATGACTATCAGATCGAACAGTATGGAAACTAGACAATTCCAACTAAGTCACCCCTAATGATTAAATTGGCTTTTTATTCATCTTTCTGGGCGGTTGGCGCTTTAAAGTGGCTAATTTCATTACCTTTTTGTTTGCAGTAAACGCCAAAGTATAAAGAAACACGAGATGTTCGTACTTCCGACTACACAAAGGACACAGGAAACAAATCATTGATACAAAAAGTGAGATAACTTCAACTGACCTGGTCGAATTTCTTCTGTTTCTTCTCATAATTCAAGGCATTAGCTCTTTCTTTTTCAAGATTCAAAACAACATCTTCGTTCTGCAATCAAACGAATTATAACATCAATCATCTGCCTTTCTACCAATGTAAATTTAAATGCAAGCAAACAGGTCGATGCTACATAAAAGCAAAATCACACATGTTGGGTTTTTATTCTTTGAGTATATATCTACTTTTTCAAAAAATATATATTTTGGTGTGTATAAAGTAACTCTGAATCCATGACTTCAATTTGCAAGTGGCCCTTCTTTAAAAAGGGTGGGCAACCCTGCTAATTTGACGATATGTATTTTTTGTTAATTAGCTCCAGACTCGACTGCAAGACGTGGTGCAGTCATGCATCTGCCGTGTTGAGTTGAGATGAGCAATCTATTCTTGTCCTTGAAATATATATCTGTATAAATTGCAATGGCACTTTGTTGCAAATAAAGCTCACACCCTCTAACAATGTTCGAATTATTTGACACTCAAACAAGATCGAATTCTTACCTCCTCCTGCAACTTCTTTCGGCTCTTCTCAAGCCGTGAATTTTCCGCCAGGAGATCCTCTTCTCGTTGCAACAAGCCTTCATTTTCCCGCTGAAGTTTTCGCTTGGCTCCCTCCATGTCTTCAAATGCAAGCTTGGATTCTTCGAAACTCTTCTTCACTTGATCCAACTAAATTTCATGAAAACAAAAAGATTTAATCCATCGAGAAAATAATAGACATTTATATCTAGAAACAAACGAATATTGATAAATAACATATCGAGTCTACATATTGACAATTGACAAAACAGGATTTCATAAAAACAAGCTAAGTGTGGGGGTCCCCTGTATTTTCATTTGCCCCTCATATAATTTTCTTTATACTTTTTTCATTTTTATTCAAAATGTCCTAGCATTCGGGGTTTTTTCAAGATGATAGATCGACTGACTGAAATTAAGAATTAAAACTTGAATTATCCATGCACAAAACAGGAAGAGATGGATGAACTACAAAAGGGTTGGATAATAATTATGAAACCAACAATACGGGGAAAGTTCTGAATGATTTGGAATCAACTTTAATGATTAAATATGTAAAGGATTATTTTACAATAAAGAAAGGTACTAACAAGTGAACAATACAAATCATAGAAATCATAAGACACATTAAGAGGATGATACGGAAGATCATCCTTTTAGCTGTATGCTTCATGCGATGTACCACGTGATGAACCCAACATGAAGAGACTGTTAAAAACACCCTACACGCAAATAATTAAAGGACCGACAATACACACAAAAAAGAACCCACTTGAGATTGGAGGGTCTGAGCTTGTTTTTGCGACGCTTTCTTCTCATCTTCCTCTTCTTCAAGTTGTTCTTGGAGACGATTGATCTCATCGCCAGCTTCCCTGAGTTTCGTGTTCAATGCAAGCTTTTGTCGCGTTTCCTCTTGTAACTGATCCTGCACTTCATTCAGCTGGTTATCAAGAGTGGATTTCACTCTTTCGATATTCGAGCACCTCGATTCAACTTCTTCTAGCTGCGCGTTGAGATTGTCAACTTCCCTTGCTGATTTTGCGGCCTGGCCTTCCAAACGTTGAATCGATTCCTCGTTTGTAAAACGAGCTGTGTTCGCCTCGTTTAATTGCTGCTCCAAGCTCTTTGCTTTGCGCTCGCTTTCAGACTTGCCGCCCGTTACTCTCTGCAATTCCTGTGCTAATTCAGCATTTTCTTCCTCCAGAATGGTTTTGTTCTTCTCCAGCGTTGATCGCGCCTAAAACCAATACAAACAGATTTTAGAAACAGCTCAAATAAATAAAGCCATAAATATAATTACAGCACATATTCTATAATGGATTACCGCTGGGCTTTGTGCAAAGCTAAAAATAATAACCCTAACCCCCTAAAAAAGGCTTCAAAATAGAGTGGGCCTATATGAAATGCATGAGGCTCGCGGGGGTTTTACATGGTCCGGCAGATTTCTACAGTTAAACGAAAGGTCAGTTGTTTTTTTCATTAGATAAAGAATTTAAATCTTAGTTCATGGCCATTACCAGAACAAGTAAATCGAGGCTTAGGGTGACTGTTTTTCATTTTTCAAAAACTTTGTGGCAGGATTTTGTTTTTAATTTGTTGTTTTGAAATAATTAGGGTGCAAGCAGGGTAATATTATAGGGCGCAAGTTCCATTCGCGGACAAAGTGGCCAAGCCATTCCTAACTTGTCAACAAGTTTGAAAACCCGCCGACAAAGCACCAATAGTTGGCAAAAAACTTTTCTTTCTCTGAAACCGATATTTTTGGTAGGAAGAATTTTAAAAACAGTATGTAAAAAAATTTGTTTAAAATCACATTTTACAGTACTTAAGAGTCAGCTTGTTCTTCTGCAAAATGAGACCTTAGATGTTTGGCTAAGGGGGTACTCTTTCGAACAGTCGCTCATGTGTAGGGGAACTCGAATTTTAATAATTTTGATTCTGTTAAAAAATATATTGTAGAAATTCAGTAACTTCCTAGCTTTAATTTAAATATGCAAATGATTCACCTTTTTACAACTGATTAAGTCCAAAACCAATTTTAAGTCTTTGTTTTTGGCGATGAAATAGCAAATTCTAGTTCTAAACTCACTCATAATATGAAGTAAGAAGAGATTTGCAGCCACATTAGGTCCAATACGGTACAAACTACCTCCCCCGGAAATAGCACTAGCTTCAGGTCGTATTTTACAATACAGAGCTAAAAAGGAGTGAACAAGTTGCAAACGGCAGAGGGGCCAAATAAAACTGTTAAGAAAAAGAAAACTCTTTTTTACCCTCTTCATGTTATCCAGTTGAGAATTAAGCTCTTCCACGAGGTGAGCGTGTTTTGATCTCAGCTGTTGCATCGCAGCTTCGTGACTTTTCGTCTCTTCTTCGATATTTCGCTTTAAATCTGTAAGTTCGCCTTCACGTTTCGCTTGCAAATCTTTAGCGACAGCCGTAGTATCCATTGACATTTCGAGCTCGCTTCGCAAATTATCGAGTTCCTATGAAACAGAACAAAAAATATCATAATAGAAGATGACAATATGAAATGCTTTCCGTTCTGAATGGTACAACAGTAGAAAAATTGGATGTGACGAACTTAGGTTCCATAACAAGACTTTGATAAAATTTTCCTCAAACAACTGCAGGAAGGTGATGGCAAAATCTCTAAATTATGTTCCATGTTAAATTAAGATATTTGCCGATATAACTTGGCACAGGGGGCGGTCGCCTTCTTGCCATCGAAAAATTTAGAAATTTTCTTTATGTTACTATTGTTTTGTTCCTTTTCTGTGCGCTTTGCCCCTTGCCCTACAACCCTTCCAGCGTCTCTGCATAAGGTTTCTGACACTTAAAACCTACGAGGTAATTAAAAGACTTGATACCTCAGCGAGTTCTCTTCTGTGCTTTTCTGTTCGTTCTCTGGCAGCTCTTTCAGCCTCATAATCTTCCCTTAGCTCCTCTAATTGAACCTGCAAATCCCTTCGCTGTTTCTCCAAATCACCCCTTTTCGTCGCCTCTTCTTCTCCCCTGGCACAAAAACAAACTTTGTAGTAAGCCCTTCGCCTCGTCTCATACAAACATTCGGTTTTAAATCAATTCAAATGGGCAATTCAAGTGATACAATTACAGTGGTAGCAGAAATTGGCAATGAATAATTAAGCAATAGATCGATAAAACCATTAAGACAATAACAATAGCTTGCATTTGAGGCCTTTTAGGTCATTCCAAACCCCAGCAGGTCGGCAGGCTACCTCATTAATCATTAAGCAATCACCGGAAATTCTCTAAAAACCAAGAACAATATCCAAGTGTAGTCAATCTAGCCAAAATTTGTCGAAAAGAAATCCAATATCGTAAGCTAGGGTGCAAGATCTTGTATGATTTCAATACGAACATGTGACATGAAACCACTGTTGTAAATAAGCTCATTTTGCTTCCGCTAAACAGGCTCCTTTATGATGGCCCGTAAGCGCAGGTCAAATGAGGAAACTTTGCGTAAAATAAGAAAGTCATGCCCAATGAGAGACACCTTCACGACAATAAACAAAAGAGCTTCTAGTCAGTAAAAAATTGGAATCCTAGAGTGTAACAAAAGCTTCAAATTTATAGAGAAACCTTATACCTAAGCATCAAGCGTTGAGTGCTAAGTGCCTTCTTCTAATATTCCTTTTTTAATCAGGTGTTTAGCTGGACTTTGTGGGGGACAAATTCAGAGAAAACCGTAACGATGATAGTTAAAATTGAGTTCTGAGTAAATGACCAGGAAGAAAATATCTGCAGATGAGAAAAGGATCTGAAAGGATCCGATACAATATTGCTGCTGGTAATATGTACCTTTTCAGGGCTGCAGCCAACTCTGCTTCCTTTTTGGCCAATGCTTGCTCGAGTTCAGCAATCTTTTGTTTGGCTTCTTCCAATTGGTTCCTCAAATCCTGCAGTTCTTGTTCAAGTTTTCTTCTATCTTTTTCAAGATCATGACGAGTCTAGGTGAATTAATAGGGTCTCGATGAATCTCGAGAAAACAAGTGAGTTTTTTAGAAAGAAAAGGGATAGGAATGTGCGACAGGCACGTAAGAAAAAATATATATTATTTAGGAACCTAATTTCAAGCCATGAACAAAGTAAAGTAATTTGAGGCGTAAGAATCACGAGGTGTGGTCACATAGAGAGGCAGGACCAGGACACTTCTCGATAAGCATAGCTTCTCAGTGAGCTACAAACAACCTTCAGATGCTAGGTAGAAACAAATACAAATAACAAAAATATATAATCAAGAAAAATGGTTATTTTGATATCTAGAGTTTTGCTTAATTTAGAATGTGAGTAAGAATCTAGGAGACAAAATCGAAAAGCTCGATAAATAATGAAAGTTTCAGAGCAGCACGGACCTTCTCTCCCTGTTTGATTTGATCTTCGTAATCCTGAATGATTGCTTCTTGCTTGGCTTTTGTTTTTGCCAGTTGTTTCCCTTTGTCTTCTTCATCGGCCAGAACAGACGTGTACTCATTCACTTTGTCCTCCAATGCTTTCTTGTCACGGAGAAGCTGCCAAGAAAAAAGGTCTTTGAAAATCTCATTTTCTAAACCTACTTTTAGAACTTTGCCTTATAAATATCGAGTGCAAAGGCCAGTGGCAAGCTGCATCATACATTTTCAATATACACATGATTTCATCAAATACCTTGGTATTAGCATCTTCAACTTGCAACAAATCTTCTTCAATTTTTTTAAGCTTTGCATCGACTTGAACCTTCTCCAGTTGTATTTTCTGCTTCTGCATTTCTTCCTCTTCAAGACTAAAAATTAAAAATTTCAAATCATACACATTCCTACAGCTGAATCGCGTTAAGCTGGACCTCCAAGGGGTGTAAGGAAATGGTCTGGCTTAGCGAATGCCTAATTACAGGGAATGACTTTTGACTTCGATCGGGTAAGAAAATCCAGTAGCCTTTGAAAATTAATCCAATTTAGTGAAAGTATTAGTTATCCAGGGTATGTATTAGTAAATTCTTCTTTTCTAACAGCAGTCGAAACCTCGTTGAAAACCTATAAAACACTCTATGACCTGATATTATCACCATAATCCCTCGATACAAAACATTAAATAAAACTCACGTTTCTTCCAAATCCTGAATACCAGCTTGCAACTTCTTCTTCTCGTCTAGCAATTTAATAACTTTGTCCTCTTCTTCATTGAGTTTCGCCTCGAACTCGGTGATAAAATCTTCCAGCTCCTCCTTTTTGGCTAGCAATCTGTTCCTGGCCTCCTCTGCCTCTTGACATAACTCAGTTTCTGCCTGCAGTTGCTCTGCAAGGATGTTCTTCTCGTCCAGTATTTGCTCGTGTTTTCTAATGAGATCTTTGTATTCAACATCAACTTTGTCAAATCTCTCTTTGACCTACGCGTTTTAAAAAGAACAGATCGTATATCAGATCCAACGAATTTAGGCTTGAAATTCTATTAGGTCTTAACGTTTAAGTAAAAAGATGACGAAGAAAATACCAGGATACAGCCGATGTCAGAAAAACGTGTCGCTACACTGTTGGAAGCTGTCAAAGTTACTGTGAACGTTAGATTGAGAAGGGTGTGAAGATAAGACCACCCTTTTTCACGAATATTGCAAAAGAACTGACATTAATCTGTAAAAAAGCATCTTACACCCTCCCTACACAATTTATAATATAACACAGGGAGGCTTAACCAATCTTAAAACAGATTCATATCTAACTTTCTCTTTTTTTTGTTTTATAAAAAACCCACTACAGCCAGCGAGCTCCGCATTCGAATAACTGAATCAAGACCCCTTATTACCTTTCGAAGCTCATCCTCTCTTTGGTGTAGCTCATCTTCTTGTCTTGTGACATTAAGAAGAGGCTTGACTTTGGTGAACAGCCTCCACCAGGCCCAGTTGCGCAGCTTCATGTAGCTCCTTCCATTTCGCTGGATAACTCTAATGGCGGACAACTGCTGGATGCGCCTCTTGTAATTGCGTCTTGCAATGTTTCCTCTCGCATATGCTTGGAAAACGGTGATAATCTCGGTCAATTTGATATCTCTTTCTTCTTCCAAGTGTGCCAACACCCCAGTCCTGAAGAAAATTTTCGACTGCCCTATTCTGTAGCAGTTTGGGTCCAATTCCATCGCTTCGACCTTAAAATCGCAAAATCGCAATTGGAGCCTTTCAAAACATGCTTTATGGAGCAGGTCTGATTACGTATTCAATTATCGACTTAATAAATCAAATATTCTATAGATTACAAACAAAAGTTACGAAATGTCAATATATATATGATGTTTATAATAAAAAATTTTATGAGGTACAAATACTCTGCTCATACTAAAATACTAAAAAATCTAGATTCTGAATTAAGAATTAAAGTCGTCCCCATTGAACCAAGGAAAACAATAGCTTCAATACGTTAAATTGATTAGTCAACAAAAAGAATGTTGCTTGTAAATTGCCTGCGACATGAACGTTTTTGCTTATTTCAGTCATCAACATATTTCTTACTTTAAAATAACCTAGTGGGAGATTATCAATAGACTTGATTATAAATGAATGATTTCTTATTTGTTCTTATCACTATATTTTTCTATATATTTCTAACTTCAAGCAACACTCGTATTTAACTGGCAGTCATACCTACTAAAACGAATAACAAAAGACAAAACTGAATAACAGTAACTAAAACCCTTACCATCTTTTGGGCAGCTTTCTTGCCATCCATGAATCCCTTTGGCACAACATTTGGAGTCAAGATCTCGTACCTGACAAAAGACAATTGCAGCTCAGCTTTCTTTCTAACAAATAGGAGGTGGCATGAAGATTATCTTCAATCATTTTAAACGCCAAACTTTCCTAGCAAATTTAAGAAACAAATAAAATACCTTTGCCTGAATTCTTGGAAAAGAATTCTGTTGGGGAAACCCTGTCTGCAGATCCTAATACCTTCGAGTACACCATTGCACCTCAACTGGTCAAGAACAAGGTGTGCGTCGATTTTTCCCGCTCTTTTGTCGTGATTTGGGATGATACAACGGACAAAGTTTGGACTTGTGCAATTCAGTGTGTTCATTAAGTTGGTCAGTTGTTCCTGCGCATCAAAGGAGATACAAAACAAACGTTAGAGATGCTACATTATTTGGATACTATAAAAAACAATTACTTAATAATTGGCCTAATCACAATTTGGCTAACCTTCGTCTGGCTAACTCCGTAATTAACGATTGCTTTCTTTCTTTAACATCAAAACTTCCAAACTTTATATTTCAAAGCATTATAATACACAATGACAAAAAAATTATTCAATTTTTACTTCAGTGTTCACTTTCATCTAGGCATATAAAACACACAAAAATAAAAACTTTTTCGATTTTCGAACATCCAGGACTACGATGAAGAAATGGAAGCTTGTGAAATGTTGAAAAAGAAACATACACATATTTCATGACATACAACACACCACTATTCGAATCAACCAAACAAGGTCTTTAACCAGAGTCTAAATTTATTCAGACGCGACATGTATAAGAAAACGTGTAAGCCAGTAAGTCATTCACAGAGCAACTTAAACAAAAGCACCAATACAGATGTTACATAATGCTTGAAAATTTGCCTTACCTTGTACAGCTGTGCAACTGTTCTAAACATGCCCTTTCTTGTTCTGGTACCAAAAGGTGTGTCTGACCCTTCTGTGACGTTCAAGCCAACAATGTTGTCTTGGTCTTTCCACAGTCCGCTAATGAAGGCTTCGGTTGAGTTTGCCATCAAGCTAACAATGTTGTCATTCAGTGGATCCATGTTCTTCATCAGCCATTGATTGGCAGAATAATCGACCTAGGACGAACATTCCCACAATTATCAGGGGGTTTTGTTACTATATTGAAGTAAGTTACTTTCCAACAGCCTTATTAATCGTTTTCTGATTAATAAATTGACAAGGAAAAATTTCAAGATCTTAAATTACTTGGAATGATTTCTAAGCGATAAGTTTAAAGGGACGTATTGATACCTAACAATAAAAGACCATATATTGTAAACATTTGGATAATTAGAAAACTTCCCTCTTAATACTTACAGTTTATCAGGGATCTGTAGCGGTGGGGGAATTATTAAAATTTTGAAAATACAGTAGGAAATAATACAGAAAGACGAAACAAAAAATATGAAAGCACTAATATGGATATAACCGAAGAATAGACGTAGATGTAGAGATAGAAGTAACAACCTAGTATTATTTGGCCCATGCCTCTCTGGCAGCACAAAATAAATATTAAATATTCTTAACACATTCCCATACACACCTGCCCGGCATAATGAATAACCAGGAAATCGGCAGTGGCTCTGAAATCCGGCTTCAAGTACTTTGGATGCTTGCTGTGCTCCTTGTGCAGTTTGTCCACGTATGTTTTGTCGGTGGCTTTAGGGAACCAGCATTCTTCGTCAAGCAAGGCAAGGATACCCATGGGCTTCTCGATCAGATCGATGGTCGGTTGGAGATCAAGGCCAAAGTCGATGAACTTCCATTCTATGCCCTCTTTCTGGTACTCTTCCTGTGAAAAATGGTATGAATGGTGGGTAGGAAAAACACACATTCTGATGGGAAGTTTAATGGTATAGAATGTAGACATCTATACCCACACTAACAGTCTGATTTAAAAACATAAATGCTATGCTATATCAATAAAGGATCCCTAACTCTGATAGGCACTCTATAACAAACGGTCATTCATGCGCCTTTTTTGGCTATGAAAATTCGTTCAGGACAATAGCGTGCAGGCTGCCTTTAAGACTATGAATTTGTACAGCAATAAAACACTGTTACATACTGAATATAGTTAACTGTTCAAAGATAGGAAGTAGTTCGACATCGTTACTCACTACCGCAAGGAAAGATGTCAATGTCAAATCAATGTCAAATTAATGTCAAGAGAATCTCAATGCGAATGTCAATCAATCAACCAGTCAATCAATCAATTTGACGATGAGACCTACCTGTTCCAGAATAAACATGGTATGGTTGAACAGCTGTTGCAGTTTCTCATTTGTGTAGTTGATGCAGAGTTGTTCAAAGGAGTTCAGCTACAAACATGAACAAAGTGTTAAGCTAGCTGGTATAATTAATTCTATACTTGATGTGGTCAGAGTTCATGATAAAAAATAACACTTACGACCTCTTCACCAGAAACCTTGTCATTGATAACCGCCTTCAAATAATTTCAGCAAATGCCAGATAAACAATAAGAATCGTTTACAAGAACATCAAACATTGTCTGATCACCTTATAATTTGTTCCAATAACATTTTTTTTACATTTAACTCAAAAGAATTTATTCTCAAAGTTACATATAGGTAAAAAGAGTGATATGCCTCAAATCAATAACGAAGACTTTGAATCAAATTTCGAAACTCACATGGAAGATTTCAAAACCAGCGATATCAAGAATTCCGATGAATGAAGATCCTTCTCTCTTTGATCTGTCCAAGCTTTTGTTTATTCTTGCAACAAGCCATTTGAAAAGTCTTTCATACGTTGCTTTTGCAAGGGCCTCTACAGCAAACTCGACCTACAACAGGAACACAGTTATCTCAAAACCGATGTTTATTCCAAAGAACTGACAGCAAGATTTTTCCAGTTAATGACATCCAACTGTCAAAATCCATCGCAATTGGCAAAAAGGAATCTCAACATCTACAGAAGACCAGATAATACCCGGTTCTTTAAAAATTTGAAGTCGTGGCATCCTAACTTTGCCATTGATACAAAGTACAAATACAAATAATAAGCAGTAAAAATAGCAAGCTGATTAAAAATCAAATTATTTCAAAACTCTGTTTCTAATTACCTGTGTTTTGGTTTGGGCTTTGTGTGTGAATTCTCGTCCCACTTTGACTCTTGGTTTGAGCAATGCCTTTGTGAAATCAACAATGCTCATTCCAAGCAAATGACAGATCTTTTGGGCAACTATAATAAAATAAATCAAAATGAAAGAGGAATTAGTTTGTGTTAATACTGTACATCTACAGGGGGATAAAAGCAGTCTCTTAAAGGCATTGTCTCCCCCATTGTTCTCAGATTTCCTTTCGTGGCCACGATATTCATGCATCATTGGTTTAATACATAAATAGCCAATCAGAATGAAGAACCACAACAGCGTACTCTCCCTGAGCGAGTTGCTGTGAATTTTTTTTTGGTGTCAAAAGTCTAAGTCAGTTTCGATGATATAAAGATTAGGGACTTTTTGTCGTGTCATCAACAATAACTAGTTTTTGATACGAAAAAGGCAGAGACTCTCTCTTAAGGCGAGGCTTTCAAATTAGAATTTGCCAATCGCGGAGAGGACAGACTGCCTTTAAATAAAATTATTTGTCCCTTAAAGATATTGCTCCAAATCATGGGTAAAAATCCTGCCTGGGGTGACCATAGAACGCGTGCAGCATATGCAAGTCTCTTATAACGACTATCAAAGCGATGTATCGTAAAATGTCGTTCTGGTATATCATGTTGCCAACTTTTGAACATGCTTAACTGTTTTTATTGATCATGATGGACACAGCTAACATGAAGAACTCCTTATCTGTCACAGCGCAGTCTAACCAAATAACTGGAACTTACCTTCATTATTGGGAAGTGTTGCCTGGTCAGAGTTTCTCTCTTGTTTGAAAACCAAATTTCCAAAGAGAAGAACAGCAGAGATGATCTTGAAGATGGCTGCCAAGAAAAAACATTTTATTACATTCGAAATTCGCATCATAGCGACAGAGGATTATCTTCGAAAATCTTGAAGAACTCAGACGAGAACACTGACCTACATAGATGCAAAATATCTATATACGTTGACGATACCATCTTACAATCAAATTGTGATGATCCATCGAGCTCACTACAATGTTTGTAATTTTACACATCAAAACAATTCGTCACCAACAACTCTCTGCTGGTCTTGCTTCGAACCAATATCTTAGCCGTCAGTTACCCCATAGACTGAAGTGAATGAGTACCTGTACTGACAAATGCGGAAATGCGGAAATGCAGCCGACAAGAAGTATCCCCAACACCTATGACGTAATGATCCAACTGGCCCACAGTCTCGCCTAATATACCTTGCGATCTACCTCGTAAATCTGAAATTATGTCCCAATGAAAGATGAATCAATTATAAATCTTTTTATAAGCTACACGCAAGCACACAGGGACAGGACAGAATCGCAGTCAAAGCTACTTACCATTCAGCTCTTCTTGGGTGATTCCCATATCGCGCAAGGCTTCCTACAAAAGCAAAAACAAAATATGTAAAGCAAACGATACGAACACAGGGTAAACAGGAGCAATAATTACTTTTTTATTAAAAAGGGTGATGAGAATTTATAAAAAGTTATTAAAACTTACAAGCGTGTTTTTGAATTCTTGCTTTTCATCCATGTTTGGCACCAACAGATTTGCATTTGACATGAAATTATATTGCTTTGGGTCTAACAGCAGAAATTGCTCTACAAAAAATGCGAGGAATAATTCATTGTCAATCCTGCAAACACTGCATACTCAGATATATCACATAAGTTCACATACATTTCCGTAGAAAATAATTTCTGCCCAAAAAACAGAAGATGAAAACACCTGAGACTAAATTCAAATGGGTTATTAGCATACTCTGATGATTTCGAACACTTGCGGAACATCAATCTTCAAGAAAATAGGTGACAACTTTAAAACACCAAATACCAATACACAATGGACAAATATATGGGCAAAACAAACATTAAAAAACATAGCATATAGTGAAGTTGGTTTCTTATACATCTTAAGCTGCTCAGTATCCTCAAACAACCTTCCGAAGCATTCCATAGGTAGTAACAAATATAAATGTCTTTTTTGCAGACACAAACAGTATAGGCTTGCATGATCAAGAAACACGTGAGAATAACCAACTAATGTATACACACAAACTTACTTTTGACTTCAGCGCTTGCTCCATTGAGCAGTTGGTAGAAAAAGTGGAAGATACGCTCGTCTTTCGCTTGGCGGACGACACGAGCCTTCTCCAACAAATCTGTGCCCATGAATTAAGGGCTATCATGACTAAATGAGTTACAATGAACACAAGAACAGAGTCAACAATATCTTGGGACAAACTAAGATCTTAAAACTTCGTAGTGTATAACTCTGGATCTGGATACTGGATAACTCTGGACCATGTTCGTGGTAGGCCCAGTCACATGTCATCTGTTTTTGTGTCATTCTTGCTTTATGAGACAGCCGACTACTTTGATCTTCAGAAAAAAAGTCTAGAAAAATTTGTCAGTCTACTTACAAGACAGGTTTGCATTTCAAAGCACAAAAAATCCATTTTTGAAGGCTTTATATGTACATTAAAGGCAATTTCAATATCAATTATTTGATAAATATAATTTAGTGAAACACTAAAATAATTAATAAGGAAAAAATTAGCAGCAATGCTTCCAAAAATGTTATGTTCTGCAACATAATTTTGGCAGCAATTTAATAGCAATGATCGTACTGGGCAGTTGTTTTCTTGGAAATCGTAACTTGCAAGCACTACTTCCGTGTCTATATATTCAAATAATTGTTTACCAGTTTGTCACAAAGTGTTCGATGACGTATAGACATACCTGTTGACGCTTTGGTGTATAGAACAAGACTGTTTTAAGTTACAACTCCAAGTTTCACGCTTAATGCGTTCATCAGACAACAGTTAAGCCGATTTCTCATTTTAGAGAGAAGTACAACATATGCCTGTCCTGTTCTATACACCAAAGTGTTCATAATTTGAATATAAACATGCTAAAAAAGTAATATATCGTTGAAGGATACAGGTATCAATGCAAGCTCCGGCAATGAATCCAGAATTGTCAAAGTTGACGCGGATGAATTTTCCCTAAACAAAACACGAAAACATTATTACTTAACATTTATTGTCATTTCATCACTAGGTATATACGGAGGATACGTAAGCATAAATAAATCAATTGTTCACATATCTATATATTCTTATGCTTAGAAATTTCTAACTTCTCTCATTTACGATGTTTATAAAATTGAATTCGACATTGAGAGCTTTTTAAGACACTAAGAGAGTAAAGAAAAGAACAACAAAGGAAGAGGGGAACTTTTAGAAGACAGTACCAATCATAATGGTGATATCAGATCGTCGTAGGCGAAGAGCAGTTTCGTTCATGGGTTTGATCGATCGCCGGGGACCAAGGAGCATATTACAGTTTATGGGGGAGGTTGATAACAGGTTTTTGAGGGATAAACATGCAAAAAGCCAAAAGGAAGATAGCTTTTTATTGTTTAAACAGAGTTTTGAAATTAATGAGGGCGATTTACTCCTCTCCAGCTTCAACGGTTCCAATTCATCACTATTTCGCAAACAAAAGGATCTTTCTAATAGGAGAGTGAATCTACAAACATAGAAAATATTCAGTGGGTGGCACCAAACAATGGAACCAAATGTTTTTCTTTCAATATTCATCAGTGTATTAAATGTTGCAAGGTTAAAAAAATTGACAACAAAAAGAATCAGATGGACTTAAATCAAACAGGAAATATCAAACAAAGTGACACTTTCTGGAAAACTGATCCAATCTGTGTCTTCTGCCTTTCCAGGATAATTTCAAAGCATGGTCTTGGTTGGAGAAAGCTTCAGAACCTTGAAGTGATTCCACGGGGGTTTCAATCACATTAGCTGACAAAATACGGTTATTCCTGCTTAAATTATCATAAATTAGGAACTTACGAAACGCGATGAGTTGTCATTCTTCACTGTTTTTGCATTTCCGAAGGCTTCCATAATTGGATTGGCCTGCAAAAGCTGAACCTCCAGTTTGACCTAGAAGAGAAATTCGATAAACTTTCAAATCAAAGTGAACGAATCCATATTCTGTTCTATCCAATCGGGTGAGGGAATCGAGGGCTTACACTTTTCAGCAGCGTAAAAAAGCCAGTCAAGTCTAAAAATACAAGAAACAAATTTGCCAATAAACATCTTGTATAAGGAATTTGAAAAGGAAACAGCAAGCTTCTCTAAAATAAATGAACGCAATTGAGAGCTGATATTTTTCCAAGGGTTGATTGTATTTATCGAGCTACGTTATAGGGAGAAAGCAAAAGCTGATGCCGATCTACGTCCATCCTGTGCATGACTAAGCTTTTTAACTCGAATACGAAGACTCAAAATGTGACGTCATCAATGCAGCAAACTTGGCAAATAATTGAGGAGCCAAAGCCCTGCTTCCCAAAAAGGTGGTGTTTCTCGAAATCAACTGACGAATTTCGATTGTTCCTGTCAAATTTTATTGGGATTGGGGCAACTGCACCCCTATCACAAACAGTCCACAGCTGATCAAAAAGATTTATATTACCATCCACACACGAACAGTCAGTGTTACCCACCTGGCCAGATTGATCCTTGACCTCCTTAGAATTGTGTCTTCCAGCGATGTTTGCAAGATACTGGATAACTTTTTTCGTATTTTCTGTCTTTCCTGCACCCGATTCACCACTGCAAAGAAAACGTGCAGATAACATTTAAGAATGAACATTACAAAGAGACTGGGAAACTTGTAGTTTGCTTCAAGTGCTAAATTTCTAAACTGACATACTCGTACGTAATCGGGAGCAGGCCTGGCCATAAGACTTTTACAAAGGGAGCAGTTAACAGCTCTCCTAGTAATTTCCAGGTTGAAACAGATGAATAGAAACAAAGGAAAAATTGATTTCAAGAATAGCAATTTGCTTTTTAGAGCAATTTAGAAGAGCAATCTGTAGCTAGCAATCTGTACCCAATTTGTAGCATTTGAGGGGATCCTGGAGGGGAGTAAGAGCTATGGCTCTCCACAAACGGCCAGGCCTGATCGGGAGGAGCCAAAGTATTTGAGCGGTATTCTCAAATCAGGACCACACATTAAACGTGTCTGGGGCACTGAAGCACATCGTTTTGGTTTCGCTCCCAGACTGACAACCAAATCCCTCTTTACACGGGAACGGAATGGGACGATGCGGAACTAGCCGTTTCGGACGAAAAGAAACGGACCGTTTTACTACTTTTGACCATTCAGTTCCAGCTTATGTTTTTTTCGTGCATTTATCATGAAGTAACAAAGACAAGGGCATCCAAACGTTAAAATAATTGCCAGGGTCGTTTTCAAAAAAATTATGAGTTGCATGCTCTTTTCACTGTTTTGGTGCCTGTCATGCTGCCTAGTGAAGGCGGTGAGAAAACGGTGGCAATTTTCAGTAAGCGAAATGTCTCTACACAGGCGAGTTGCTGTACCTAGAAACATTACGTGTGAATTCCAGTATAAACGGTAACATGTATATTTTGCTAATGTTGAAGCTTGCTAGACAGATTTTGGTCAACCACTTGTTTCAACAATCCTCGATATCTAAATCTTATCTTAAATCATACTTAAAAGCGGTAGAAGTTAAGAAAATTTTAAATATTTTATTCTCTTTGATCACTGCTGCTTAATTTCGAAGAACATTGTTAGCCTCGATTTCGGTAATGATAACAAGAGAAAGTCAAACACCGACAAGCCAATGCCTGCATAAATCCGCTGGTTATGACGTTCTTAACGCAACTTCGGGTATGCGGTTCGGCCACAAATTTGTTTTAAACACGGTAAAGACAGTCGAAACATCTAGGGATTAAATGCTCGACATAGCTGTGGGAGCGCAATCTCAAAAGATTCATAGCTCTATGAAACAATCGGCTTAAGAACGGCTACCAATGCGAAATGGAAGATTAAAACTTGAAGTAGCTGTATGTATGTGCTTTAGTATGTCTTGAGATAAAGCTGATGTGGGTGCAGTTGTTGCAGTATAGTCCGAAACAAGATGGTCCAGAGGCATCAACGTTTAGCGACGAAATGATACGTTCATTTACGTTTAGAAAATAAATTAAAGAATTGGAAATTTATCTTTGGGGTAACGCTAATGGAGAAAACTCAACATGGGATGTAGAGATCCGGAAGCTCAGGGATGTTGTAGTCCGGGAGATCAAGTGTATAGTTGTCCCGGAGTTTTGTTGTTGGGGATTGCAGGGGTGTAAAGGTCGGACAGCTCAAGAGGTTCGCTTCTAAAACAGAAAAACGAGAGACTGATAATGAGACATTTCTGGCAAGAGGTCCCCTGGTCTATTTATAGTACTACATGCAAGTGCCCCACCCCTTCTCTATTCATAGGACTATGTCCCTGCTGGCATTGTACTGCCACTATCATTAATGCCAGTGTACAAAGGCTTCTCTAATCATTTCGACAAAAGTTGTGGATGATGCTCTAGAAGAACCGGTGCAAGGGGGTGTTGGACGTAAAATGAGGCTTTCTGGAAAAGAAGCTTTCTCTAAGGGCCCGTTCACACTACTCCGTTTTCAACTGAAAACGGAGTCAAACCGTTTTTGCCTTGCGTTCACACTACTCTTCTATGAAAACGGAGTCGTTTGAAAACGCTGATGAATACGGATACTTTCGAATACGGTGCGTATTGAATACTCTCCGTTTTCAGTGTGAACACCGAATACCGATACATTTGAAAACGCTAACAAAAAACGTGCTTTCTAGCACACCAAATTTCCAAACTTTTGAAATCGAGGATTCACAATGGACTGGTAGCTGTTACAAAAATATTTTTCACGATTTGCTTTTATTTAAATTCATTCATAATGACGCCAGTTTGATGAGGATTCGTGAAAGCCTCTGTTCCAAAATGAGACCACCATCAGCGTTTTTGTTGGAGCAGTGTGAACACTTACCGTATTCAAATCGTAATAATTTGAAAACGGATAAGTGTGAACGGACAGCGTTTTCATTAACGAAAACGGAGCGAAACGAATAGGGAGTAACGAGTAGCCTAAGGCCCCGTTCACATTGCCCCGGATTCTAAAAAAAATGGATAAAAAGTATCCGTTTTCACCTTGCGTTCACACTGCTCCGCTGCGAAAATGGAGACTTTTGAAAACGCACTTTGAAAAAGGAGATATTCGAAAACGCAAAACGCAGTGTGAACACCGAAAACAGATACTTTTGAAAACGATAACAACAACAACAACAACACAGCAAGATGCTTAGACCGCGCCAATTTGAACAACTTTTCTTAACAAGGCTGATTCACTCGAAGTTAGTACACTACTTGGAGGAATATTAGTGGCAGCGAATTGTTTGAAAAGTTTATTAGCAGTCGCAATGTCTGTAAACCAGTTCGTGGCGTTTTCCTCTTTCATCCAGAGCGGAACAATGTGAACGCTTCATCGTTTTCACACCGTTATCAAATGTATTCGGAGCAGTGTGAACAGGTAAAACGGATCGATATGAAAATGGATAAAAACGAATAGGGAGCAAGTTCGAAAAGTAGCTCTACTGACATACACAGCGGTAAAAGGGGCCTAAAACGTAATGCTTCGGGATAGAAAATGGCTTAACTCATTTTCAGGTTTTAAATAACTGACAGTAAAAGACAATTATGAGGTCTGCTGCAAATCCAGGAAAGAATCTTTGACTATTCGCTTTAACCAGCCAGCTTTAAAAGATTAGAAAAAGAATTCCAAACCACATCCGAAATTTCATCACTTTTACGCACGATTTAAGAGATAAGCATTGAATAACGAGAACTGCTGGAAACAAGTGATCGTCCAAAGTCGGTCACAGAATAGCTGGAGGCATCTATTGCTAGAATCCAGACAAAATGGCGGTTACACAGCCCGTGACTGGGGAGAAGGTCATAAAAAGCAAAACAATTACCTAGATCACGCTTTGTTTACATTGCTTTTCAAAAAAGTTTGAAAATTTGGAAACTAAAAATTTCAGAAAAGTCAAACTCCTCGTGCTTCTAGCAGAGCTTCTTCTAGAGCAACAATAGGCCAAATCAAATCAAAAAGCTTCAGTAAAGCTTTAAAACCAACCATATTGTACCTGACACGAGATCAAGAGAATAGACCTTGGACCACATCCTGCTATTTCAAAACAGGAATACGATGAAGAAAAGCTTTTAAAAAGTCTGGAGGATTAGCCAGCGTTTGCAAAAGCTAATAAACGATCGCCCAAATAAGTCAGCTGAAGGGTTTCTGAAAGTCCCAGCATGTTTACAACTGTGTGTTAAATCACTTTCATTCTTTGCGATGACTTTGGCCATAGCAATGTGAAATGCAGAATAGATCCGTCAATGTGATTGTTTGCCAAATGACTATCTTTAGAGTGGTTATGATGTCAAATCCGGTATAAAGTCAACTAATTCGGTACAAATGTGGTATTTGTAAAGACAGAGTCTCAAAATAATGGAAGAAAATCGGTTGTTTTTGTCAGATTTAGGTGACTTAAGACTAAGTCTCAAATCAATGGATCTCTTGAATCAATGGACAACAAAACAACCAATCAAAGAGCAGAGGAAATGCTGAGGGTCTTACAAAATTTCTACATTTGAATCATCCATGAAGAGATAAACTAAAATACGAATGCAAGATGGATAATGGTGATATTAGGACATCCTCAAGACCTGATTCTGATGATCAAACATAAAACTTTTGTGAACAATAAATGAAGGGAAAACAACTGGCTGTTCAACAAGCTTGGGGCCGTAAGATTTATGTTGTAATAAAAAAAATGAATGGGGGAGAGTTCACTTTTTTCCCTGAAAATTTGTATAGCCATGTAGTCATTTGTAACTGGTTTCTCAAAATAATCATGAGTTTATCAAAATTAAAACTGGGTTTCTTTTATGTAGCTATAGATGATATTCTTTTGAAAAAGAACATACTTCTTATACTTATTATATATGATTAAAATTTATTGTGGTTTAGCCCCTGAAAAGCAAATACCAATACTTATAAAATGATAAAGTAATTATCAAATTCAAAGGTGCAAATGGCTAAGAACAAAAAGGAAAATTTGGTAAGATAATTTAAACTGGTGGTAAGTTCTTTTGCAGGACACTAACAGACTCTTCATGACGGAAACATCTTAGCAATATCACATATCAAGATACATGATGACACCTTTGTGTTCACTCAACACAATGATGTCTAAAAGATACAGAAAATGTGCATGAGGCAACCAGCCTCTACAAGGGAGAAAAAAGATCAGATATCTTAACAAAGATCGACTTAAAAGTCTATAAAAACCACACAACCGAGCTTGTCAAGAACGTGCCTTGGAGTCAAACCAAGGTACCAAACAATTTCTGTCTTTATTGAAACCCAACACAAAATCTACACTCAACACAAAGGCTGATTATATCGGAATCTGTCTGCAAAGCCACAAAGAAGCTAGCAGAAAAAGGATTTATTAAAAAATAATATCCTAAGTTGGAGGATGAAACCAACCAAAATTCTTCGACCATGGAGGTCATTGACAATAGAACAAAACTTTATTCATAGGCACAGAAGCCAAAATAAAGATGCAAGAAAACTGGGGGTTTGTTATTTGGTTTACTTGGATAAACTATTTTATCAACAAGCAATTAAAAGGTAACAATTTGACATGAAGATATTATCTTGTATTGTACACTTGGGTAAGAAAATTAACAAGCTAAAAACAACATGTTGAAGTTTGCAGCAAAATAGCACAAAAAGATTACCAACCAAACATGTAAAATGTGAAAAATCATTTTTCTCACAACAATATGGCATCAGGATGTACCACATGTATCAAATACTTTGAGAAAGCTATTGAACTTTCGATCTCTTAAGTCAATTCATTCATACAGGACTTATCTTAAGAAAATTACAAAAAATTGGTGCTTCTAAAGTTATAATAAGTTTTGGCTCATATGTTTTCATGATGCTGTTAGAAATGTGAAAAAGCAGAAGAAATGAGCATTGTTTTAAAGAACTTTCAGCAAAATTTAAGGTACAAAAATCTTATGTACAAAAATTTTATGCACAAGTTGGGGCATAGAAGGCAACACTGCTATTCTACCCTGCTTAAATCTTTCATGAGATTAATAACAAACTAAAACTTAGAAATATATATATTTGGAATCATAGTTAAGTGATCAGTCAATTGCCCCGATGGATGCATAAAAGCCATAAAAACTTACGTGCAAAGAATTGACTGGTTTTCACGATCTGTGGAGAATATGAGATTATTATTAAACACTTAAACTTCCCAAAAAATGTCAAATTATCCAATTATATACCAGAAATCAACCAAACGAAGTTAAAAAAACTTTGTCATTCGCATATTATAGTTAAAAGCTCTTTTATTGCAAATCTTTTTGTTCCAACAGAAATTCCATGTTATAGCAAAGAAAAACCTTTAGAAACAAATATAAGTTCTTATAAAACAATTCTAAATTCTTGGCATTTAGAAACAATTGAGTTATAAGTTAAACGAGGTATCAAACTTTAAAGACCCACTGTCAACCAACAAAGAAGCCTCTATAATTTACAGGGTCTTCTTTTGTTTATCAACATCACGCCTGCTCAATTTCACGAATTTCTGTGTCAGAAAATAGAATATGCACAGTTATATACACCAGGAAGGTAAACATAACAAACAAACGAAGCTGCTGATTTCAGTTAGAGAGCTGTTTTGTAGAATGCATGCTAACGAATAGAAAGTTGCTAATCAGCCACATCAGATTCGACTGAGAGAAACAAAATATTGCCATTTGCAAAGTTTGAAAACAATTTGCATGATGAAAGCTATGGGGATATGTGAAACGATTTTTATTATCAGACATTCTATACAATCATGTCCTTGGATACAGCTTAATGCCTATGCAAATTGCATGGAATTTGAAATTAATTTCTGAATGCCAGCACTTCAAGAATCACACAACTACGTATTCTTTATTTTCTGACACAGAAAATCAAGAAATTGAGCAGGCACAATGTTGATAAACAAAAACAGACCCTGTAAAACATAGAGGCTTCTTGTTCGTTGACAGTGGGTCTTTAAAGTTTGATTCCTTGTCTCATAAATAACTATGAGGCCAAGAGCGATCCCGCACTTGAACACTGTTCATATAGAAAAAAGCATACATACCCTGCAACATGTTTCTGTAAGCATTGTCTGCAATGGCATACACATGAGGAGGCATCTCGTGTCTTTTCTTTCCCTTGTATCTTTCAACCACATTGTCAGTGTAAATTGGCAACCATTTGTAAGGGTTGACAACAACACAGAACAGGCCAGAGTAAGTCTGAAAAAAATTGTCCAAAAAAATTTGATATATATATAGAACCACATATTAAAACTGGGCAAAATGCTTGCTTACTTACATATATACAAAAATGTATATAGCATCAACTCAATGAATAAATATATATAAACATAAATACACATGGACATATTACTCTGACAAAGTCTTTCAAGACAAAACAGGAGAAACAACTGCTTGACTATGGCAAAATCCCTAGGGTAGGATTTAAAATTCCATTTAGAAACCATTGATTGCACTGTTAACTGCAAGTGCTATTTGAAATATTACCTTAAAAGATTGATAAACTTATTGCTTCACTGATGATTATACATATGAACAGGCAATACAGAGATATTCATGAAAATTTAGTTTAACTTTGACTCAACCATAGAAATAGAAATAGTTATATGCTTAATTCAATGCAGAGAGTGTTTCAATCTAAAGCTGGCAAATACACTGAGTAAAAAGAATTGTTTGCATAAAACATTCTCAACATCACATTGGGAATATTTTTATTACAAAATTAGAAAAGGCCTAATTGTTTTGTTCAGTGAAAAAAAACAATGATCTACCAAAACATTTGCTTAAAGAGGTATTGAAAATAAAAATTTAGAGTTATATATTTAATAGAGCTTTAGGAATATCAGTAGTTTTTTACAAGAGATATAAAAATAGCCAAGAAGCTGAAAGTTCACCAAAACACTACACAACAAAAAACTTAAACAACAAATTTATGGCTTCTAAAATTTTGACAGAAAAAACAGGTACCAAGCTTTGATATATATTTGCCCTGAATAACAAAATTCAAAAAGTACAACAACATTCTTTAAGCCATCATAATAAGTTCTGACAATAAAGGTGGTTATCACATTCACTAAATAAACAATGGGACAGGTAAGACTTAGAAATGATGTCTCGCCTTTGAATTGAGTTGGCAGGGACAAAGCATTAAATGCACAGTTTTACCGCTGGGTTTAATTACATATTCAACGACTCCTCTGCATAGATGATGAAGAGATCAATGGACACGAAACCGTTGCATCAAACTGAACTAGCAGGAAATGACTGGGAAAAAATCATGGGAAGATGTGCCATTAAAAAGCATCCTGTGATTAATTTCCATATTTTGCACCGTTGTCAAATAAATTTTATAACCAATATATTTCAAAAACAAACTTTTTCCCCAGGTGCATTAAATTCAACCTTGTGAAAATTATCAGCCAGTCTAGGTTTAGCCCTGAGTGCGCCGCGTCTGTGGAATTGACTTCCAGGTCACTTTCGTATATTTCAAATAAATACCCCTTGAATCTTTAACCCTTTTTGTCTAGCCTGTGAAGACTGATTACATTGGGAGATAACCCTAGATAGCTCCGGTAATGTTAAATAAAGTTTGTCCCAAAGGCTGGGATGGTTTATTTCGGATAGCCTTGTTTTCCTTACTAACGGCCTTGCATACTCACGTAGATCAAGTTTGAATAATACCGATCCCTGAGGTTGTGCAAGACGCTGGCCTCATTAAGGCATGTTAAGTCTGCCATGTCTTCTACTTTCTCGAATTTGGGCGGATTCATTCTTTGGATATCATCTTTGTGGTAAGTTTGTCTCCTTCCACCTTCAATTTCACAAACAACTTTGTCCCCTTTCTCCTCTTTGACGCTTGCAGCAATAAACCCATGCTCTTCACTTGGCACCCAAACTAATTTCTTTGTAGCCCATTCTGCATGAGCAACTGGATCACCAACGCTGGTCCTATCAACCTTCAAAAACTTAAAATCGGGATCTGCCTCCATATTTTACACTGTCACTGGTGCAGCGAAACAATTCGGGCCTAAGCCACTCTCAAGGAAGTAAGTCAAGTCCTTTTGTATGTTTGCTAGCGTTGGCGAAGGCTATCTACCTTTGCTAATATCTTCTCTTGCGCCCTTCTGAGAAGTATAATATCCGTATTATAGCTTTAAGGAGCCAGATAAGCGGCTGCAGCTTGTATCGAAGGTGAATCCCACGGCAAGGGAGAACATGGAAATTATGTACAATACAAACGCCTACATTTAAACCAAGCCCAGCTCCAAATGTGATTGGTTGATTCTAAATTATTCTGGCAATGCACTACGGAAGTAACACCCAACCATACATTTTGCAGGGGGTAAATACCAAAATAATAAACATAAAATATGGAACAAAAACAAAAAAATAAATTTGAACAAATTACAAAACATTTTTATCGTCTTACATTATAAATCTCAAACAATAAAGAATAAAATACTTTTATTAGATTTCATCTATTGTCATATTTTACAGTATTTATACGATGATATTTTTAAACGAAAGATGAAACGTTGCAAAAAGTTATACGTTAATATTTCCAAATAAAAATAATAGTTCTGTTATTTTTCTATATCCTTCGCATTTTCAAGCCATTTCATAAATATTCCAACGCGATGATTTTGTGGTTAATATAAGCCTTGAACCAATGATTAAAATCCAATGTTTCACTTGTGCTTTATGTGCTATGCTGTGATTTTAAATTCATCTTGTTTTGGTAATGATATACCCACAGATACTTTAATGACATAATTAATTCAACCACATAATATTGCTGTTGACGCCGCCTCTACTTTACGAACAGGCGGGGGCTCCAGTGCAAGTTAGAAATTGGGGGTAAGAGCAGATTATGAAGAAATAATTAGATATTTTGCAAAAACACTATTTTGTTTTGCACATGTAAGCACAGAATAAGAATAATTATTCTTATTCTGTGATGTAATGGCGATTATGGCCCTCGACCCCCGTCCTTTGGGCCCTGATGGGCCTCAATAAAAGCAATGAATTGGGATACAAGAACAAAATATCACCGACCAATTCGCATTTTATCATTCCCTAGCACACAGCTTTTAATCCACCTTTGTTCCACCATTCACAATATAATATTTTCAACAACTCAGACAAAAGGAGATCTTGATAATGTTATTGATGTCTGATTGGTTACCCCCGTCACAACGATTTCCTTGTATGTTACACGCCCCAAGAGGAAGACACTACTTCGCAGAGGGGGCAGGCTACGCCCACGTGGAGTCGAATTATTGAATGTCTACCAATGACGTGTGCTAAATGTTTCTGTGTAAACCTTTCCAGCGTCTTAACGAAGTCATAATAAAAACTTGTAAGTAAACGATTACGTTCTGCGGTCGGTCAGTATTGAATAATGGAATTTCAGTTCTTTACTGTCAAAAAGTCAATCCAAATATTTTGAATGCTTGTGTACAGTGGCAGCCCAATGTGATATTAATTCATTTCCTTTTTTGGTGATTTTTATATTTCCGCTGGTTCTGTCCAAAAGCTTTGCGTCAAAGACTGTTAGCAAAACAGAAGCTATTGACTCACACAGCTTGAAGTGAAATCAATCTAGTAATATTGATATGCTAACACCCTCCATTCTTAGGCCTATAAAACCTCATTTACCTAAAGATAACCAGAAAAAATATCATACATATATAATCGACATGCAAATTTAATATTGATTGATCTTCGCCAATTTATGGCTAATTATTTTAATGAAGAGTGTTGGGCCACCGAGAACGCCGCTAAAATATGATGCTTTGGGAAGCCGGGGAAGCAAATAAAATTAAAGATAGAGATGCCACATTAATTTAAATACAGCAAAACTTGGGAACAGCCAAATTTTTGTAGGCTGTAACTGAGAAACTTGTATTAGAATTACATTCTAGAGCTGAGCTGGTGCAATAAAATCAAGAATCCTTTCCATTGTTACCAGACTGGTTAGGATAAATTCGATACATCCTTACCCCGAGCCCAGGAGAAACTTCCTGGGTGAGAAGGGGCTAAAAATTCAAACTATAATATATATAGCACAAAAACCCAACAATAGTCTTTTTATCCATCTTGGAGGGTTAGCCCTCCAGCCCCTTCCACCCTCGCGCCTGATACAACCTTGTCCTAGAAATTTGTGAGTACCTGAACGGAGTGGGAGACAGCCCGATATGTGCTCCTGCACTACGTCCCACTTCAAAGTGAGTACAGTTTTATATAAATATGACTGTGACATGCTTTTGCCAACCCCTTCGAGTGCTAATTTTTCTCTATATTCCCTGCCACAGAAAAGAAATACACTGTGTCCTTGCTTGACCAGAGAAGAAATTTGACCAGCAAACGTGCTTTTTATATAGCATATTTCTATAACCTTTCCATAATTGGAATGAAATTTTGTCGTTTTTAGGTTAACCTTCAAAGTTTGCATATAGGAGCTCACACATTTGCATTGATATTACCAGTGAAGCAAATATTTCAAACGTTGATTGAAATGCAAGTCTTCTTGTGGCTACTTACTGCTGATTCTTGTCCTGACAGAGCAATAGTCAAATAAAATGAGGAAAACTTCGGAGGAAAGGAGAAGGGGGCTGCTAAAGTCCTTTGTTTTGATGACAGCGGTCAATCAACCTACGCTCCGACAGACAAATAACTATCTGTGCTCACCCACTTTACCCCCATCCCGCTTTACCCCCATCCCGGTAGCCAGGTATTTCAAAAACTATTAGGTTGTGAATTCGAAAGAAGACAGTTAACGAGGTTGGGACCTTCAATCAGAGGCTGAGACCAAAAGAGTACAGTTACTGGCTGATAGTGACGTAATGCATATAATCGCCTCACACTCATAATCCGAAAGGAGGTTTCTTTACGTAAGAGCACACGCCCCTATTAGCATTAACGATTCAGGCAATTTTATGACTAGGACTCAGTTAGAACTCTATGTATTACCCATTAAAATGTAAACATTTTTTTCTCGTATCCTTTATATATTCCTCATGATAGATAAACTGCAAAGCTTCATCGATTTATGATCATTATTAAAAAATAAAAAGCATACATACGTATATAAGACTTGAGTAGTAACGCTCCCTCAAGTTATTGAGAACACTGGCTTCGTTTAAGCATGTCAGATCCGCCATATCTTCCACTTTATCGAACTTTGGTGGGTTCATTCTTTGGATGTCATCTTTGCTCATAGTAACTTTTCGCCCACCGTCGAACTCAACAACAACTTTTTCGCCCTTCTCTTCTTTGAGTTTTCCAATAATAAAACCATGTTCTTCATTGGGAACCCAGACGAGCTTTTTTGCCGCCCATTCTGCGTTCGCAACTGGGTCAGCCAATTGTCCCTTGTCGGCCACTAGATATTTCATTTCATTCTCCATGCTGGGAGTAAAATACTGACGAAAACAGGACAAGCTTCAGACAATATTTCGTGTTGTAATTAGTCTCCTGGTCAAAAGAATCCTTAAGACTCGTCAAAAATAAGAAAGAGGCTCCGATTCTGAGCTATCTCAAGTCATAAGTGCAAGCAACAATTGACAAACTGGATGGCCTACAACGGCCTCTGCATTCCAAGTCAAGTGTTGCCTCTCCAGGTTAGGGCACTTACGGACGTCGCCCATCTGCTCGCTATTTGAAAGAGCTTAGCATTTGATTGGCTGAGCAAGGATCAGAACGCCAGTGCTTCATAAAAGACACTTGAAAATTAAATTATGCAAAAGCTCAACTTATTCAAAGAGTTTATCCGAAAGCTGTAGAAGGCATTATGTATGAACGCGAGGAGCTCTTTATTCTCAAAATATTGGTCCTGTTTATAAACAGGGCTTTAGCAGTGAAATCAATAAGGTGAAATTCCAAAGCTTCTTTTGACAAAAGACTTTAAAGATACCTTTCATGGTACATTTGCTTCTTCGAATTAGAGCTTTGCATCAAACAGATTGATCCCAACAATATTATGAAGACACACGCATTTCATGTTATGCAAAAGAACAAACAAACTGGATGCCAGACACACAAAAATGCAATCCCTATCTGGTATAATTTGAAATATTTCAAAGCTGTTTAATAACATTCTGGTGAAGTAATGCAAACAATTAAAAACTAAAAAATGTATACACATTCTTATAATAAAGGCATTCTGTATGAAAAAAAAGTAGTGAAGCGATTTTATACATAACACACTTTTATAAGAACCAGTAAATTAAACTTCTGGCTGGCTGTTTATTCGAAAATCTGGGGCTGGATTGTTCTTCATTGTTCTTAAATTATTATGCTGTAAGCAGTGCAATTGCTGGCTATTGTGCTTTAGGGGGGTGTTCAGGCGTAATTTGCCAACAAAGTGAAATTTTCTTAATTTTTGACTCTCTATCAAGCCTCCAATATCAAGCAAATCCTAGCCTGCGTGCAGACTCGGAAATTTAAAAGAGGAGAGTCACTTTTTCTCCTATTTTAAATTTTGTCAACAGAGTCTGCGCGCAGGCTAGCAAATCCAGGATAGGATGTTGTGGATGATGGTCAACAGAGGGAGCACAAGCAGCCCACCAGGCTGAATGACAGCTGATGATAAAACAAAATTTTAAATACGCCCCCCTCTCTATTAAGGTCCCCCTCTTTAGTCCCTGATGTCAAACAAAGGAATCATGTGCATTGAGTGGGTCTCTTGATGGGTGTGATGATGATAAGATCATGTTGTGCCTTTCAGTCAAGTCAAGTCAGTCGAAATTTGTTTAGAAGATGTCCCAGGATTATCAATTGAAGGACTATCAATTGATCCTGGTGACTGTGATGAAGATGAGGACATTATAATTAATTAATTTTAATAAACTTCGAAGCTGCTAGCAAAGTTTTTGAGAACATCTGTATAACAAAGAATGTAAAAGGGCATTTTATAACATTTTTTACTTTGGATTATAAATAAGCCTCCTCTCTAATAAGCCTCCTTCTCTTTTAAACCCTCCTCTAGGACTCAACAAATGAATAAGCTCTCCCCAGGGCTTATCAAAGCTTTTACGGAATTCCTGTCTTACATCAGTGGGCTTTCGGAGCTCTTTTGAGAGCAGGTCTCAAATTATTTAATTATGCCGAACCCATTTTGAAACTATGCCAGATTTTCAAACATTATACTAAAATCCAAATAAAGACAAAGGTTTTTAAAAAAGAGGCGAGTACAAGACCTGAACGGTGAAAATGTCATTTGTTATATATTGTGGAATAAATAACTAAATTAATGAAAAATCAAATAAATGATCAAATTAAGGATCAAATAGGAAAATATTAATATCAAAATAATTTGCTTCAGAAAATTTATTGTAGCTTTTACTCTGCGTTAAAGTTAGAGTTTCTTACTTATTAGCAAGACTAACTTAGTACAGGAAATTTTCGTTGTAGACTAATAGCTAGAGAACTGCAATCAAATACATTCCTTTTTATAAGAAATTTTTTATAAGAATATTCAGACTCAGAAACATACAATTTTTAAGATTATAGTAACAAGAATATTTCTCAGTCTCAACTGGTCTATTTGTGTCTAATGTTTCAGCAGTAGTTGCCTGTATTGCTATGTTCATAAAAAGGAATCTTAGAATTGTCAAATTTATTTCGTTTCTTAAAAAGCGTGGCTTTTATTCAAAAGCAGATGGTGTTCCCCTAATACCATATCAGATTTGAAAAAATATGAATGCTTTAAGAATATATTCAGACTAAAAACGAAAATTTTTTGAGAATATCGAAGCTTGAAAAAATTTACAGCTTTCTTATAGAAAAAATCTTGTCAAAATTACTAATAAGATTTTTTCTAACAGCAAGGTTAGGAAAAAGGAAGCTTCCAGAGACAGTGAGGGAAGCAGATGAATATAAAAAACATTTGTGGTAGGGTCTGGAACACTGGCTAGGCTAGCTATGTAAAAATATGCTGTGTTAGTTTCAAGAGCGAGGTTTTTCGGTAGAAGTTGGAAAACGGAACCAGAAATTCATGACCATTTCCTTCCCCACTAACTTCAAGCTAATTTGAATGCTTTGTTACTGTTGCAAAATTTTATCTGTGTATCGTTTGTAAACGTCATCAATATCTGCCACGTTGGGCGCCATATGTTGTGATGAAAAGATTTGAGCCAGAAATCACACTTTTTGACAACGTTTTTTTGAAAATCTATTTACAAAGTAAGTAACAACAGTAAATCAATTGAAAATATAAAAATTTAATTAACTTTGGCGGGCAAGTTTATTGTACCACCAAGATACAACAAGAGAAAAATAAGATAAAATAGTTCTCTTATTTTATCTTGGCACTACCGAAGCAAAGGAAGGGTTGTCGGCGCAGTGACTAATAAGAATTGAAATACTGAATTGAAACCAGTACCTAGGTCTTCAAACGATCATACGATTTGAGAGCATATGTGGTCAAAATTCCCTTTAAATTTCACGAATTTTCAGCGCAGTCAACCAGAAATGCTATCTACAAATAGGTTTTTGGGAAAAGGGACACTTAGCTTTAATTTCTTTTTCCTGCGCAAGACTAAGATTCTTTTTTCTGAAGTTAATACCCTTAACTTTTTGATACCTAGAATGTATTAAGAATGTGAACTCAGCGAACATATAAGTAATGATGTTATTATAAATCAGGAATCTTCGAAAAAGGGCTTATAAAATAAAAAAGCACCGCCAAATTGACGAGAGTATTCTGGAATGCTCTAGCATTCCCTATTTATTCTGATACCCCTCTCCTCATACCCCTCTCCTCATACCCCTCTCCTCATACCCCTCTCTTCATACCCCTCTCCTCATACCTCTCTCCTCATACCCCTCTCTTCATACCCCTCTCCTCATACCCCTCTCCTCCCTATTTATAGAAATATAGTGAAAGTCCAAGGAGTAAATTGAAAAAATTATTTATGAATGTAAAGCAACATATTAAGCGAAATGATGTTAATGTTGATTTTGCAACGTACAATTAGATATCAAATAGGAACATAAACATTTAACCGAAGAATAATAGCATATATTTACAAAAAGATTTTTAAAAACAACAAATGTATGCATATGATGTATATAAGGAAAAATGCCTGGAGCAAGTGCCCGCCGGGACTGGAGACCTGGGCGTGTGAAGGTGAAGGGCTTAAAATATAAACAGAACTTTTTAGCTCGATGGTTGGAAAATAATAATTATATCTTCAGCTTTATAGCCGAGACAAGTTATTGAACGAGTGAAAGTGGATGGTGACTTAGAAAGAAATACTGGTGGGTGAGGAATTAAGACAATGGCATGTAGCTAGGCAAACTAAATCTACAGAATAAGACAACACGGGAGAGGTTTTGTTAACCCTAGGAATTGGGAGTGTACTCTGGAGTGCATACAATATTAGGTCGCCTCATATGCCCATCTCCACTTGGTCTTTTCAGGCCCGGGCGGTTTCCCAAAATTGAAAAAAATAAAAGGGGGAATGTAAAAATTGATATGATACCGTGACAGCATTTTGACAAAAATCTAAAATAACAATTAATACAACCTCGAAATAACCCAAAACCGTAAAGTTCAGAACCTAAGGGAAACCCGAAAGTAAGAAAATTTTTTAATGGCCAAATACACACTCCCGAACGGAAGCGCTCAAGAGAACTATTCGTTTGATAACACAATTCTAGATTTCAATGGAAAGAAGGGCACCCGCAATTTGCGATAAGGAAATTTTGGTTGACTGGGAAAAGCCTGCGGAATAAGGGTTTGTGCATAGATACACCCTGGCGATACGAATCTTTGATAAAAGTAGCACAAAGAAATATAATAAAAGGAACTACGAGTTCCTTCGAATAATCTGAAAGTATTGAACAATCTAATGATTATTGAGGTATTGTTTCCATATCTAAAATTCATTTATGGGGAAGTTTTTGTTACGTTTTTCTTACGTTTCCATTATAATCAGGATACAATAGTAAGTAAGTTAGTGCAGCGCCCACAGATGCTTCTAATGTGAAAGGTAAATGGACCGTTCATATTCGGAACTTGACGGTTTTATACCCCTTTCAAATAGGAATAAATAAATTATCGTCCATAAAATCCATATTCAAAATTTTATCAACTTCTTCTTCAAAATCCATATTCAAAATTCGATCTGCCTCGTCCGATAATAATCAATATGGTCATAATTATTGAAATAAAAAAAATATTAAATACATAAAAGAGGCCTAGATAGAAAAAAGAGCGAGCCTCTTGAAATAAATGAATGTTATTTCTAAGGTGATAATAAGAGAAATTATTAAATTAAGGTGAACCATCAATGGAACCCACAAAGAGGAACATGGAAATTTTCAAGAATTCGCCAAAAAATCTAATGTCCAAGGGTAAAACCGTATAATACCCTGTTACATTTTTAAATGGGACTCAATTACAGTAAATCAATGGATACATGTTAAAGGAATAAATATACCGGCTAAATAAAATAAATCGTGACGAGTTCCTAATAAAGGAGGGGGTTCGTAAGAGCGAGAGTTCGTTATACCGGGGATTCGTTGTACAGGGAACACCTCAGGAGGAAACATTTCTTAATAGCGAAAAGTTCCTAATAGATGGGACTATATGTAGGTTTTTATAACTTGGATTTTATAACTTTCCTCTTTCAGTGATTTTGCCTAAAATTTCCCTAAAGTTTCCCCAGTTGTCAGCAGAGTGAGAAAATTATTAAATATTTTACAAACTGCTACTAACTTACCTAGCTAGTGAAAAATATTGCATACAAAAAATCTATAGGGGCTTTAATCCAGCAATCTTCCGTAGTTGCTCGAATATGAGAAATGTAATTATAGTATGAGGTCCAATTCTCATCCAATTTGGAATAAATCCCTTGTAAAGTCCTAAAATCCCTTCAAATTTCAATGTTTTGTACAAACAATCCAAGGTCGACTTATACAGTAATCCATTCTCTTTAGCCATGATCTTCTGATTCATTATCCGCGTCTTTATGACGTCAACAGGTGAAGTAACAATAGCACAAACAAGTCCTGCAACCATGGACGACACGAAATGGAGGCGTAAACCTTCATGCATTACCTTGTTGTTAAGTAGTGCATGTTTCGTATGGTCGTAGGAAGGGATCTGGGAGGCAGTTATAATGGCAGCTCGTTGCACAGTGGGGCCAACACCACGCCACAGTCCGCGCACCCCTTCTTTTCTTGATATTTGAGCAAATGCATCAAACGTGCTTTTATATCTTGGCGTTTGACCTAGAAAGTTAGACACAAATTTTGCAAACAGCAAATGAGCTGCATCTAAAGAACTGATTATGTAAACAGGCAGAAAAAATGCATTTAGATAAAAAAAATGTTCACATCTTGCTTTGATGCATTTACTTTTGTCTGGGATGGTGCTATATTTCTTGAGAATCTGTTTTCTAATTCATCGAAGTTTGATGGGAAAATATGGGAGGCAGGGTGGATTCACTGGGTCAACTTACCGAGACTGGTTGCATAAAACAATGAGCCACAAAAACTTACAACAAGTCACCTTAGTGACCACTTTAGTTGTTGGCATTGTCGTTATTAAGAATGAGTTGATTTTATGGCAAATGCTAAGCTTTACTTAACTATTTACTATGGATTTCCATTTGGATACAGACTGGGTTAAATCATTGCTTATGTTTGAATAACACATTTAGGTAGCAAATATAATCATCTGTAACAAATAACCAAGAATGAGTACATCTCCCTTGAGTCGATCTCCCTTGAAATTTCTTTCCTAAGCTATCCTTCAAATGCTTTGTAAATACCGAATTTATTTGAATGAATCCCTTCAAAAATCGATCTTTTTTAATTGAAAAGAAGCCAATGTGGCATAAAATCACTTGTAAAAACCAAAGCCCAAAATGACTACATCTTAAAGCAAAATATAACGTGTTCAAGAATATATTGGCTTTAGATACTTTCAATACCTAATTCATAAACTTATTCAGGTATCTGTCCCTGTAGCCCAAAAGTATATTATGTATTATTTCATGGTCCCCTGCCTAAAACAGCACAAGGGCGTATCAGATACTGCTCCAGACATTTAGGGGGAAAAAGACCAGACATATTTAAATGCAGGGCAGACAAAACGTTTTTGAACATTGAGGTTTCAAAATTTTACAATTGCAGAAAGGTTAGAAAAGGCCGTCACCATGGTTGACAGGAAGAAAATTGTTTGAAATGTGGTGCTCTAGGGATGGCCAGTAGGGATGGATTTTGACTGAAGGACAATTCAAGGCAACATTTTAAAACTTTCTTCAATCACTTTGTCCCAAAGTTTTATCTATCTTAGTGTTGAGATGAAACAGGAATTCTCAGATTGTCAAAAATGTTTTTCCTAGTGCTTTCCTTTCACTCAACAAATGCTATTCACTTTTTGCAACATTTTTGTGAGTTTGTCAGCCAGATTTTGGCCATACAAACATGGAACTCCAATATTTGGATTTGGCACCAAGTTCCAATATAATATGATAAAGACATAGTAACTAAACTTAAACTTAAGCAAGGAAATATTGAGCACAATAAACACATTTCTTTCTAATATTTTCTAAAAATTTTATTTAGGTCTGTAGGGAATATGGGGGCCCCCAGAAATGCTAGCCTTGAAAAGTCTACCAGGTATTGAGAAATTTTTAGTTCTGTGGCACAAACAACAGCATGCGACAATATAACTTGTGAAGCCACCAGCCTATTGGTAGTTCACCATATTTTATTTGGTTGTGAAGATAATGAAAGCTGTAAAACCCACTTCATAACTCTCAAACTATTTCTATCAAGATGAAAACTAAAGTAAATTATGTATGTGACAACTTCTTGAATTAGTCAAAGTATTTTCCAGGGGTACGCAATATGTCTTCATGGCAGATCAAACCAATGGATAACTAAAGTAAAGAAACCTAATACATTTGAAAGAATGGTTGAGGAAAATTCTAACTATGCAAATTTTTCTGGACATTAAGCTACCTTAGGCACATTACCATAAAATCTTAGAGACAAGTCACATAATGTAACGTGTCTCTTAACTAAATATGGACCTAAGAATAACCTCTTTTTTTGGCTAAACTCAACCCTGAATTTTCTACAAAAACCAGAGCTTAACGTAATACAATGATTAAGCTTACACCCATAAGGCTTTTAAATAAAATGTCCTACCTGGCTCTAGCTTGCCTTCAGCTTGTAGTCTAATTTTAACAAGATCTGTAGGATTGGCAATTGCACTTCCAATTGATCCTGATAGAGCACCTGACATAATCTTTTTATACAGAGGTGTTTTTGATCTGTCTTTTTCTCCAAACAATTCTTTGAATGGCTCATAGAGTCCCAGTCTAATTGTACTGTAGACACCTTCTCTCAATGCTGATGCATACACTCTACAAAAAAACATCTACTTTCAAACCGCGGGCTTTCTACCAAATAAAAATAGAATATTAAATTTTTGAATAGTTATGAGCACTTTAAGTGTCTAATGATAGTCAATAGTTATTGGTTTAAATAGATTCCCTAAGTTATAGTTTACAGTTTGTACTTTCAACATTAAATTTTTGGTTGAGGCTTGCCAGTGGAGGACAATATCTGGAGAAAACAGAAATCTGTGTCTTCACATATTTTTTATGATTTTATGTTTTGCTCATTTGCCAATATTCAGAAAACGCAGTGTGCTGATTTTGTGTTCAAATGTTTGAACAAAACTGCTATGATTTTTATGACTATTTTGAGAGGGTTAACCACCACAAAGCTACAAGAGCCAATGAATGCAACTTAAAAGTTAAATGTTTGAAAAAAGAATTTTTCTTCCTGGCAGCAAAATCTCCAGCTTAGACAAAGTTTCCAGCCACTGAAAGTGATACTTTAAGTCGCTTGATTTGTTTAAATATTTATTTTTAAAATGACTACTAAAAACATATTATACAAAAAAAAGAACTAATTGTTTGTCTTCAATGTTTGATCATAGATATTTGAACAGCAATCATTTTGTTTAAACTGTATTGGATGATCGAGGAGAACGCGAAAAAGCACATTGCTCATAGTTTGTTTTTAAGGTTAATGTTAATATGAAAATCTCTAATAACTTTAATTAAATTTCATATCAGAACTAGCAAACTAGATAACATTGAAGTATCAATGTATCCTGCATCTTGCTCTGGATCTCTTTTTTTCTGCTCATTTTAATCATCAAAGCTAGTAGTTCATACAACATGTAAGAATTCTTTTTATTTTCCAATGGTTGAAATTAATGTTTTAAACCAGGGGTGGTGCTAGAGGCAAAGATGTAAGCCTGAAATGCTTACATTCTATTAAGCTAGTGATGAAAAATATATGGGAATGCCAGTAGAAAAGTATATAAGGGACAGATCAACACATTTTTGTGATAACAAGATTGGCTGTCTCAAAGTGCTTTCACTTATCTGGATTGGCTAATGTAAAAAGAGAAATGAAATTTGTTTTTGCTTGCTTGAATTAAATTAGTCGCTGAAAATCATCCCCGAAATTTGGTATAACAGATGCTGATAATACCAGATGATTGTATTTTGAGAATAAAAATTATACAGTATGTATGTATATCACAAGAAAACAGCGTTCCATAGAAAGAGAGTACCTAACATAAATTACATAATAAAATCAAGCAATGAAGATTTCTCGCTAAAAATTTCCTGCCAAACAGCAAAAATTTCCTGCAATGAATTTGTGCTAAAAATTTCTTGTCGGACATTTTCCAGCCCTGGTTGAGTTAATGTCTATAACACACTGCCAAAAAATTTTAAGACAGTTAAATTTTATCTCCCATTCAAGCAAGCACTCAGAGAACATTTTATGGATTAGTTTTTTTTAGCAAAATTGTAAACATTTTTTATATTATAGTATCTATTTAGGTCACAGATCTTTTATTTCCTATTTGCTCTAAAAACAGGGCTTCTCTTGATAGCAGCTAATTGTGCATTGCAAGCTGATTGAATCACCTTGTATAAAAAATGTATTATCATTATTATTTCATTTGCATAATGCCTGAAAGATAGGAGTTAATGCAAATGGTTTGAGTAAAATAAATTGTTAGATTTTTGGTAAGAATCTTTAACTTTACTTTCTGCGGCAATAGCAATCTGACAGAGCTGCTTCTGGTCTTTTTTGAAAGTATATTCAGTAACAGCTTTTCTATGTCTCTGTTTGAAACCCCATCATTGTTTGGCTTTGTACCATAAGTTCATAAGTTTGCTAGATAAAGATCTTCCCTAGATATCTACTTCAGTAGTTTTGAATCTAGCGCAACCTGTTATAAATCCAGTTAATGTTCAACCAATAGAAAGAGTACTTTCCACCAACACTGTGTGGTCAAGGGCCAAAAAATCTATGGGACCCTTGCTTTTTGACAATTTTTAATTTTTTTTCTTTGGTGCACATCTGCTGTACCCTTTCTGGCTATTATAAGCATAGGGCCTAAGGATGTGGCCCCCTAAAGCTACACCACTACTTTCCATTTTGGCCTGTGGCATCTCTAGAAAGAAGACCACCCCATTACTGATTGTGCATTCTGTCCATGTATTCTATTACTTTCTGATTAAATATCTTGAAACAGCTACTCAAAACCAGAGCCACCTGTTAATCTTATTAATGAAACTATTATGCTTGATTTAGACTTAGAGCCCAGGGTCCTGACTACATTCCCCAGTACAAATAGCGCTTGACATGTTTTTTGTGTGGGTTACCTGCACAATGCAAGCATGTGTTTAGAAAATAGGTGTTTGTGTGGTCACCCTAGGAGCATATTCAGGACACTACCAGTTTGATTTCTACACAAAACATATAACTGTTGGTGTAGGTGTTAACAAAATTCAGACTTACCCTTTGTACAATCCCCTAACTCCTTCTTCTTGGACAATTCTAATTCCACCTTGAAAAAATCCCCTGTATTTTCTGTCAGCAAAGATACTTTTTGAAGCACTCAGCTCGTTGTCTAGTTGAAGTCTCACTTTAATGACATCTATTGGATTTGTAACTAAATGGAAGTATACAGATCAACATTGCCATGAAAAATCTTTCTACTCTAGTAATCGATCTAGAGATGTCTACCTATCACTTCTGAAATTACATCAAAATACATGGGTGTGGCAACGAATATTCGCTGTCGTGTGCGGCAATGCACTTAACATGATACAGAATTATTGCTTCAGGGGAGATAAAAAACGTACATTCTATTTGAAGTTTCACCAGAGTACCACACACGTGAATCGAAACTATTTTATCCGGTTTTACCAAACAAGAGATCGGACAGTTGGTGTAAATGACAAAGGCCAAAGGCTGGAACAAAACTGTATTTTCATCTGGTAAGTGTTTACAGAGTTTTAAATGGATGCCGTCATAATAAAGCTGTTAATAGGCAAAACCCACACAAAGAGATGAGGAATACATAATTCCTTCCCGTTCCCCCAGGCGAAGGAGAAAGTTGGCGGGCGGGCTTGCCAAGAGGTCAGACTTACCAATTCCAGCCGACATGCATGATATACCAGACAATGCAAATCTTGTGGCATTTTCATTTTCAACCATAATGCTCTTCTGAATAACAGTGAATGCTTCTTCTTGCTTTGAATCCAGAGCGGTCATATCTGCGAGATCGTTAGGCCATCGACTGACCCCTACCAATGCTCCGTTGAGATGACCAGTGTGACGTCACAAGAACAACATAACGCAATTTTATAAAGCACGTGTTCACTTATTACTTTCCAAGTTATGTTATTTTACATGCTCCTTCACAGCAAATCAACAGATCCCAGAACATAAAAGAGCATAGCCTTTCCGAAGGGAATTTGGCAGAGCCTTTGTCGTTGTTTATATAAAGAGGAGGACAATACAAAGGAGAAAGATTATCTTTTGTTAAAATATTCCAGTTAGTATGTTAAAAAAGGTCCTGCAAAGGAGAAGCAGGTAACATCGGAGCAGGTGGAGTCCCAAGGGCAAGCACGAACAGGGCCCTCACCACTGATTTTTAACCTGGAGGGGCCAGCAGTGAAAAAAATGTACCTCTTACCACCCCCTCAGCCTCAATTGTGGAAGATATTTTCCTGACGTTGTTTAAATTGGTTCAATGCATTTGTGGTAATCTACAAGATTAACTAAATGAAATGGTCCCTTATCTCCCCCTGAAGCAAATGAAGCGAGCAAAGGCATGAAGCATGCTTAAGGCAAAGATATAACAAAAATTTGATACATTCAAGCGTATTCTACATTTTTATTTAAAAAGAATCCGAAAAATTACATTAAACTTTCCTTGTAACTATTCAATTAAAAATGTTTTGTAAGGAAATGTAAAATATATGCTCTGAGTTTAATGTTCTCAACCAAGGGAATGCTCTCTCCCCTCTCGTTAGTTTCGAACTACTAGGGGAGCTCCTCCTTTAAGAAATTCTAGTTATGTGCAAATTAGACAGTACTTTTTTGTATATATTCTAGTTAACATTTGCTATTTTGGTATTCGACTTATCATTCATCGCAATTTTATTCATGGACTTGCATTCATCATTTGTACGATTTCTTCGTATGCTTAGATTTGCATTTATGTTTAATTTCAAATAAACAATCAAATGAAATGAAATTTATTCTCATAAATGTTATAAAAATATATTTTTTCTCGTTGATTTAAATTTCTCTCATCAAAATTTTCCGGACACGTGGCAGCTGCTTTCGTCTAGGTATTCTACACTTTATAGCAACAAGTATCCTACCCAAGTTGTCAACCTTTGAAGATATCACAGATTTCCTTGGTTGATACCTGATATACCGTTCATTTGAATTCGATTTTGGAATACCATACTTTTATATCAGATTTAATTGATTTTCTGATGGATGTATAAACGGCTTACTTCATATTTAACTTCATTTCTTGCTTTCACTTCGCTTATTTCAGGCCTTAATTCACAAGTGCGAGGCTTGTGGAAGCCAACGTCCCTTCATTTGATGATTTGTCTTTGGTAGAGGCAAACCTGGTGGTGTTTTCCACCGCTAGTAAAAAAAACCATAGAAATACACAATAAATAAACCTCTCACATTTGTCACAGCCTTTTTCACAAATGGCTCTCCCGACACAAATGCGCTTCTCTCTTCCACCTGGTCTGCAATTTGGGGGAAAACACTCTGAACTGATGTTTGACATAATCTACCCTGGGTACCAGACTCACTATATATATTGAGTCTGGTACCCAGGGTAGACATCATCATACCTCTGCCCCAAATTTTAATGAATTTATAGAGAGTACAAGTGATTGTAGGGCAGAATGGGTCCGAGAAAACTTTAAAAGAAAAAATTCTCGCATTTCCGGAAATTTTTTAAGGTGCAACAAAAAAACAACACTTTATTATTGAAATTCATAAACTTCTTAATTCCATCGAATTGTTTACATAAAGACTTCATTATGTATATCAAATACAATCTTAATAGTATAATTGCGTTTCAATACCTTTTGAAAATATAGACAAGGGCACAACACAAATTGGTTTCTAGTATACAAATAACCTTTACAAGGCGCTTACAATAGACAAATGGCTTACAGCCAGATACATCTTTCAGCCTTATATGAAAATAGACTATTAAGTATACAAAAATACCCTCCATGAATTTATTTATCAAAGATAAAAGCTCTATCCTTGACCTGAAAATCGGCCAGAAAAGGTACTAGCTCTAACATACAAAATATCTAATTTGTCTTTTGTAATTTCTCTTCCACCTGGCATAAATGCTTACAAATTTGCAAAATATCTAACTGACTTTGCCAGCGAAAAAAAGTCTTTGGAGATAGTGTGAAGCAAATGGGTTTCTTTTTAAAAAAAGAATTACATTAAAAAGTATTTTTCAAAATGTCTTCTTTTTACCAACTCAAGGTAATACTTTACATTTTATGCGAATGGATGAGTTCTCTAGGAACCTAGAAATCGATCCATACTACTGTAATACAAAAATTAAGAACAGGAAAATCTAGATTCATAGTATAACCTCAGAAACAAGCATCAAACCGTATGCTGTCAACGAAGGCACCAAACTCTGAAACCACATCAAAAGTTAAACCCTTCGAGATTCTCACATTCGTTTAAATTTTTAAGAAACCAACCTCTTTTGTTGCAAAATTCGTCTTCAAATACCGTGCTTACATTTTGAAGTCTGGGAAGTTTTTCGACTTTTTTACAGAACATAAACTCGATAAACAATAAAATAAAAATTCGTCCACAAAATGTAAGCTCCTTCTCTTTTACAGAGAAGTAAATCTGAAACGAAATACTGCATTGCAAGTCTTTGCAGAATGCTTACCTAATCGATAGCATCAAATTAAAAAAAATAATACCTACATATATAAATTTTATATATATATATAATATTATACATATATTTTTTGACTGAAGAAAATGGATTTTACTCAGTTAACACATTATAAAGTCACCTAATTCAGCAGAAAAGAAGAGACAAAAATGAACACAAATAGACAACACAAAGAAAAAAAGTTGAACAAGAAACCTAACTTACTTGTTCTCTTAAAACTATCATTAGTACGATAATACTTGCAGAATCAAGGAAAGATATAAAGTGAAAGAAAGGAAAAACAGGTTCAAAGTTAACCCCAGAAAGACTCTAAATTTAAGATGTTTTGGATAAGATAATTAATTAATCTATATTCTGCAAGAGAAGATTAATTGGACCTTAAATACAAAATTAATGTTTAAAATGAAAAAATATTTTATCAAATTCTTAACAATTCAATAATTCCACTATTTCATAAGGTCTGACCTTACTTAATTCAAAACGAACCTTACAAAATCCAAAGATCCTCGGATAGTTAAACATTCGCATTTGGAGTATCAGATAGCTTGCAATTCAGTAGTCCTTGGAAACAGAAACTGATTTTTAGACGGATATTCAGTACATATACAAAGTTTTATCCGTATCCACTTCTTTAAATATTTGAGAAAAAGAAAAAACGCTAAACAGTAATCTTTTCCTTGGCAACACTTACTTTGCGCTACTAAGAGCTTCTTCTGAGCAAAATTTTCGCTATTTTGTTTGGTGTCAGAAAATATAACAGCTGCGAAAATGACAGCTCGATGTTTCAGCGAGGTAACTTTTGTTAGAGAGACAGGTCTAATGAGCTCCGGGGCTTAGCTTATATCAGCTGTGAATAATTTTGCAGAAGGATGCTGCGAGTACAGTTGAGCATTTTTAGCAAATGGGCTTTCTAAAGGTGTCACCTATGCGGTGAACAGAATACACCTCATTGGGTGTCACAAATAAAAATGCAATACAAAAAACGGAGGGACAGATGCCAGCTCTGTAAGAAGTGGTATAAAATGGAAATGACTTGAGGCTAAGGCCCCGTCTACACGAATACGTTTTCAAAAAATTGCGTTTTCATTTTGATGAAAACGGATAAAAGGTTTTCCGTCTAAATACACGTTTTCACATTGTCCATCCCGTCTACATGAAAACGCTAAAATCTGCGCAGGCGCATGTTTTTGCTGAGTTTTTGTTGCATCGTTTTCGGCCGTCTAGAAGGAAACGATCCATTTTCACGTAGACAGTAAGCTAAAACGCAAAAAAAAGTTGCGTTTTCATTTGAAAACGTACTCTTGCAGACGGGGCCTAAGGCAAAAAGGTCCCCAGGGCCAGCACCTTTGTCACCAGCTAAATATAGATCATCACAATCCTCAATCACAATCAGACCCATCGCTAGCTATTGTGCTCAAGGGAGTTTCCAAGTCCCATTTGCCGACAAAGAAGGTGAGCCATCCTTTATTTGCCGACAAGTTTGGAAATTTGCCTACTAAGCACCCCTAGATGGCAAAAACTCCACGTCTTTGAAATGGAATTTTTTTTCAAGGGAGTTTCACACCCTACACGCCCTCCTAAAGCGACGAGCATGATAACAATAAAATCGATCACAGTGTCTGGTACTGGTCAGCTGGCTGGTATGGAGCATTAGCAAACACCGAAAGAGCATCTAAACAGGACATCTTAGTTGTAAACAAATGAAAGTAATAAAGAATTTTTATGTTAAATATGCCAATGAGTTGTGTCTGGGAATAGTTGTGCCTGTCTGAGTCACCCAGGTGAAACTCTGCAAGCCTGCATATGAAGCTCTTTATCAGAAATATGAGTACGATTTAGAACATTTCTTTAGAGGGTAAACCTGATAAGCCTTCATAGGAAACCTTACTTAAGCGCAAACCAGCCAGCCAGTGCCTTGTTGTCAACTGTGAAATGCAAAATAAAAGGTTCCTACACTGGGTCAAGGCCAAAGTACAATCGGAGCTGTTCGAACAAAATAAAAGTAGTGATAGTATGTGGACCAAGTCGAAGCCAGTTTGGAATAAAGCCCTTGTACAATCCGAAGATACCCTCAGAAGTGAACGTCTTCACAAGGCAGTCTCTAGCATTCCTGTAGGTATTGCCATTCTTGTTCTGCACCTGTTGGTTCATGATCCGTGTCTTTATAACATCAATTGGAGACATTATAAAAGCAGTTATGAATCCAGACATCATTGCAGAGACAATATGAAGGGGCAGCCCCTCTCTTATACGATTGGTGTTCAGCAGCCAGTGTTTAGTGTGATCATATGAAGAGATCTGAGCAGAGGTTCCAATTGCAGCACGGTGAACAGTTGGGGTAACACCACGCCAGAGCCCCAATGCTCCTTCATGGCGAGCAATCTTCTTAAACGCATGCATTGTACTTCTGTATCTTGGGGTTTGGCCTAAGAAATCGAAAAACTATGAAATGGAAAAAAAACATAATAGGTAATCATTGCAAAACATTTGAGATAAAAAGCTATACTGCAAAAAAACATTTTAGGCCAACTTGTACCTCAATATTCTCTATTCTTGTTGAATAGTTAGTACATTTTTAAAGTTTATGAAAGATTGGAACCAAAGTTTCTAGTATAAGTTTGTCAAATAGCCAACCAAAGTTGAGCAGTTACAAAAACCTGTTTTTTTGACAAAAACCTGTCAATGTGACATTACAAAAACGACTAAAGATCAGCAATGAGCAACTTTGGCACAGTTACCAAACCGTAAGGTGAAGTGCAGACCCAGCCTTGAAAACGCCGGAAAGTCTACTTTTAAACAGATACCTGTACATAGTCCTATGCTAGGTCTTACTCTATTCTAAAAAAATTCGAGTTGTAAGCCTTGACTTTATGTTTCTGGCATAATTTGATATGCAGAAAAGGATTAGAAGCAGAGTCAGCTTTGAAATTTAGACACAGGTACTTGTTCCCCACCCAATCCTCTGTTTTGGCCTTTTTTGGCGTAATTCAACATGAAGACATATCAATGCAGGAGGAAATGCAGACCTAGCTTTAAACATGCCCAAAGGTTGTTTTATGACAGGGATAGCTTTACCGATTGTACCTAGTCCGCTATTAAACCTTCAAAAACTCAAAAAACTCAAAACATTTCATTCACAGCAATAATTAACTACTACATTTCTATTTAATACTTGAACCACAAATAACAATTATTTTTTACAAAAAAGAAAAACCAAATACAGTAGATAGTTCAAAGTTTGGTATGTTTGCTGTCGGACATATGAAAAGAACTCACAAGGAGCTATCTAGGTCATATGCCCGATTGGATGTGTATAGGTGTAGATGATCGATTTCAAAAGAAGAATGTAAATGAAAAATAAAAAGGAGGAATAACCTTACTCTACAGCTTTAAAATTACGCTATTAAAAAACTAAAACTCCCAGCTTGGGTGACAATGCTACCATTTCATCCCCCGAGACAATGAAAAGATGGGTATGTAAATTGCGAAGTGACACACAAAGGCAAAATGTCATGTTATGTAGCGATTTTCAAGACCTTGTTCAACCCCTGTCAAGCTTGGTACCATTGGGGTCAGAAAGATGGAACATTAGAAAAAGCACAAACATCATCATAGTAACCTAGCAGCTTAAGCACATTGAATAAAAAACCAGCTTAACGTCAGACCTTGTCAAAATATCACCTTTTATCATCCTTCAGAGGAATCAAACTGCATTAAGGGCTAGAGACTGGACAACTTCAGTATTGACAATAAATGAGGCTAAGCAATATCTGATACCCAAACCAAAATAAGGCCCCCTAATCTAAAACTGCCTGAAAAGCAAAAATATTTTAGCACTGTAATGTTTAGTCGTCTGACTATTCTAAAAAGTATGATATGTTTTATAATGACCAAGGTAATAACATCAAGCTGGGAATAAAATAATAGAGGATGACCAATGTGATCCTGATCCAAATTTGCATTATTTTGATATGTTTTTTGAATTAGTAGAAAGTGAGTCTGGTTTTGGTAGCAAAATCAATAGAAAAAAGGAAACATAAGTAAGGAGAAAAATATGTCACAAGCTTCAAATACCAAAAGACTGGCAGAAATGCAAATCAAAGTAGACTGTTCTCTTAGGAGGAGAGTTTTGTTATTGATGCTGGAAGGGACATACTGTTTAATTCTATCAAATCTTTGGGCTGTGCCTCCTTTAATTCACACAGGCACTAACAAACAAATTATGATCAATGTGCAGTTGTGAGTCATCAGAAGAAAAAATTACTGATGAAGACATACATGGAGAAGAATTTAGGTGCTATTTCAACGACTGATAGATGATTTTACCATCAAATGAAGGATTTTGTAGACAAAGCAAAGATTTACTGATGAATTCATGAAGTATGGGGGTTGTTACACCCCCTGCTAGCTATGCTCCTGTCAGTGTGGTTATGGGACACTTGAATGACAGTCTGGCATACAGATTCAATTCCTGAAGAAAAAATAGTATAAGGTTGTGGTCCACAAATTACTCACCAGGGTCAAGGGGTCCTTCACCTTGCATCCGAATCTTGACAAGATCTGTCGGACTTGCTATAGCACTGCCAATTGTACCTGAAATTCCACCACAGATAATTTTTTTGAATAATGGGGTCTTTGCCTTGTTCGTCTCACCAAGCACTTCTTTAAGAGGTTCGTAAAGACCAAGTCTTATTGAACTATAACTTGCCTCTCTCATCAATGAAGCTGATATTCTGCAATTTCCAAAGAAAAAAGAGAGCGAAAATTACTGAGGGAAACAAACACAGTTTTATGAAGATAAATGCCACAAGGTCTGATAGATGCCAACAATTTACCCATTTTCAGACTGGCATATTCTCTCCCTTGTCAATTAAAAATACAGTTTGAGTACTATAATGTAAAAAAATGTCAAAATCTGACAATGTCCAAATTTAAAATCTAATTTATAAAATTTGATTATATTTACTAAGGTTTACAGGACTTGCTTGCAATATTTTTGGATCAATATCAGCTTTAATCAATAAAAAAAAATTTATCCGAGTTGTCTGTGACACTTTGTATGCTTTATCTAACAACCATTAAAGATGCTGCCTTAAACTTAAATTAAAAAATATTGATGCTTGGGGCTTAAATCAATTACAATCCTTTTCAGGCTTGTAGTGATTAATACCATTCATATATTTCATTCAAGTGAAGATTGGCAGAGAGTAGAGGTATTTCCTGGAGGACATGCTACAAACTGTTTTGTCATAAAAAAATGACAAATTACCTAAAACTTATGATCAACAGTCAATACAAATTACACCTTCATACCCCATTTGAAATTTTGGATAAATTTGGAAATACAAAGAAATATGCTTCTACAGGTTTGCAAAATATTGTCTTGAATCTGGTTTTGTTAAATATTGTCTTAGCTAGCAACAATTTTGTCACAGTCTTGATAAAATCAAGTTATATCTTTTTTTTCAATTACATCATCAACTGGAATTAAAGTTCAGCTAAATTTCGTAGAGTAGGCTATAAACTTTACGAAATGTTTATAGACTATAAACTTTACGAAAAGGCCACTCCATGTGAAAAAAATTGATTTCACATGGAGTGGCCCTTTTGCAGATCTTCATTGTACCCAGAGATTCCTATCCTTGCAGATCAGCATTAGGCTATATTGACCTCAAGTCTGTATTACACATACCTGATGGCAGACACGAACCATAAACAGCAAAATATAGATATTGAATAAAAGACCTACCCCTTGTAAAGGCCATTAATACCCTCCTCCTTTAAGATGAGTGATCCTCCGGAAACAAATCCTTTATATTTTCTATTCTTGAAGATGTTCTTCTGGTCTGACAATTCATTGTCCAGTTGAAGTCTGATCTTGATGACATCGATGGGATTGGTGACTAGAGGAGGTTTGTTATCATTACCATGATGTAATGATATAACAAAAGCAATGTTCTTATTTTGCATGAAATTTATCATGAAAAATCATGATACCTTGAATACCTGTAAAAAGGTTATAATCCTGCTTTAAATCAAGGACCCCAGAGAAAATTGCTAAGAAAAGAATCTAAAGAGATAAAAGACTAATGCCATGCCAAAGAAAGCTTAATTGAGATCCAAAAAACTGAAACATTGCATACCCTCAAATTTGATGAAACATATTTGTGAATGCCTCTTCTGGAGGGTAGTTTAGAAATCAAAGGTGGGGCAAGATATAAGTGAAACAGGAAAAGAAATGAATACTTTATGGTTCATAAATAATTAACTAGGTGCCCACTTTGCCAAAAACATTATCAATACTATTACAATGCTGTTTTGCACTGTCTTTATGCAGTAGAAGTCACTTGTTTAACAACAAAACTTAAGAGCTTTTGGATTTGAGAGGAAGTTTTCAACAAAATTTGTTTTCTAAGTTTGCAGGTAATCTTTATTTCCAGTTTTGGCTTGCAGGCGATTTTGGCAATTTTAGCAATTCAGGAAAAAGCCCTTTATCATTCTTTCTAGAACACTAACTAAATTTCATCTTAAATGAGCAGTTTTATCCAAATAATATTCTTTAGCTTGGTTAAAAAAGCTTGGATAAGAATAAGAAATTTGCTTTGCAGCAACTTCTTTATCTAATTGCGAGAGTTCCTACAATTCTAAAAAATAATCGTTGAGCATTTCAGCAGATGATTTTTATAAGACAAAAATGTTTTTAATGATAAATTAAAGCTTCAGTAATACAAAATTCTTCCATCTACAATTTTAAGATGCTGCATAGACTGAAGCAATATCCAAATTTACTGAATAACTGAGAATTTTGTGAAATTGCAAACAAACTCTGATTGGATAAATTGTTGGAGCATCAAAGTAAGAATACCCTGGAAAGACACCCTGGCCAAGGACACAGGAGCATCAAGTTGATAAATCAAAAAGGGGCTAGAGATTCCAAGTATTATCTTTCTCCTGGTCAACTTTGGATTACAATGTAGATTGACATCCTGACAAAATTGGTTTCAAAGCCTTGGACAACCTTTCACAAACTGTACAACAGCTTGAAAAACTTGACAAATGGCAGGCAACAATTTCCATTCCTGTCACTCTCACACACCTTCCTATCTTGTTTGCCAAACTCAAACATTTGTCTGCCTCAAAGATTTGCACCTTGCTTTTTCAATAAAAATCCTCTGTATTCACTCAAAATCTTGCCATTTATTGCAAAAATAGAGTTGTGATGGATCTCTCAGTCACAGAGTCATTCAAACCAAGGGGCTTAAGCCCCTCCAATAATTGTCAAATTGTAGCATATTTCCTTGATAACAGTGTACTGAATGGGAAAGAATACAAAGGGCAGCCCCTCGCCCAAATATTAATTTCATTATCATGGCACTGCCACCAAACCATATGCCTCACACCAAAACTTAGGACCAGGGGCGGTCAAATATTGGGGGCAAGCCTATTGTTTTAATATAGGATGACGTCACTTTTCTCATTGTTTTAGAACACAAGACCATTGTCCTCTTAAAGTACTGGGGGCGGTGGCCCCCCTCAAGACAAATAAGACTTTTTTGTTTTGGTTTTTTTTGCCAAAATATATAATTTTTGTTGAAAGTTTCAGATTGATATCAAATCTGGGGCAGGGGTAGTTAACATTTTTACCATTTGCCCCATTATTTTGGTCATTATCTTGGATTGGGAAGCTACCTCTGACATGCAAATGCAAACACCCATTTCATTATATATTCTGTTTTAATATGAACCTGGAAAATTCAAGTCAAGGCTTGATGGTCTTATCTTTTGCTAATATGATGATTTTATTATTAAATATCTTATCTAAAATTTTTTTTTTAGATCACTAAAAAACAGCTCTGCAAACACATTTTTAGTTGTAGGGTTGATTTGCTAATAAAATTTGCTCTCTTTAAGCATGAAATAGCATGAAATAGCATTAGCATGAAAGAAATTCTTTTTTGGCAGATAAACCAAACTGAACTGAAACTGTAACAAAATCGAAAGTGAAAGAGTGTCATGACAATTAAATCTGTTGAACTGAATTCATAATGGAATTATAAATTGTCAGACATTTCTTTCCAGCAAAAAGCTAAAAGCAATCTCTTTCACAAAATCAAACTTAAGTCCTTACCTACAGCCGCGCCCATGCTTGACAACCCAGCAAGGCCAATGCGGGTGAAGACGTCCTTTTCCAAATACTGCTCGACGTGTCTATCCAGACATCCCATCTTGGCATACTTTTGCAGTTACCTGCTGGAAACTTTAAATTGGCTTTTGCATCTTCGGCGAGTCCATGTTGTGAAAAGAATTTTCTTACTAAAGATTAAATTCATTTAGTTCAAGCGACAGTGGGTCTAGAACGTCGATCTTCTCGGGTGGAACTTCGTGGCAATTCGATATTTGCTTCTTTTGTAAATGCCTTTTTCTTGTTACGTAAGGTTCAAGAGAATTTCTATTGTTTTCTTTTGTCAGGTGCAACATGTGACCATTAAATTCAATTCAATTTTCCAAAAACACGAGAGTTTTCACGTGGCTCACGTGGACAAAAACTGTGATTTAACCGCAACAAAAAGACAACAGAGAACCAGCAAAACAACATCTTTTCGCAACAATCTACGATGTTCTCAAACCAGCTGCAACCAGTTTTAACTGGGTCATCATCAAGTACCATCTTCTATCAGAAAGTGGTACCAGTTGCAACCAGTTTTAACTGGGTAAGGTACCATCTTCTACCATGACCCTCCCACTGGGTATATGTGCTAAATCAGTTGCAAAAATAACTTTCTGAGATTTATGTTGAACTTTTTGAGGAAAAACAGCAGCTTTTATTTTTAATACCATTTCTTTAAATGATATTATTTTCAACCAGGAAGATTTCGGTCTATGAAAATATACAGGTGGAGCTGGGAGTGACAAAATTTGTACCTCTCTGGGGATGGGAAAATTTTCAACCTCTCGGAGGGTGTATTGCTATTAAAAGAGAAAGGAAGAGGTCGCGAAAAAACCAGAAAAAGTGTAAAAGAGCAGCAAAAGGCTTTTAACAGCACTTACAAGCGAGATTCGGCCTCTTTACGAATGCCTAAAGATATGGTGTCAACCATGCTGAATCATATCACAAGTTTTATCGTAAGCTGTTTTAGGAAAAAAGATTCGTGGATTTCCTCAGCTGCAAGTGAGGTTTGGTTTTTGTATAACCATTTGACATTCGAACAGTTTATAGGGTCTGATCCACTGAAGTTTTTGCATAGTTCACAAATTTTAAACTGGAAATTTATGTTGATAATTTCACAGATTCACAACACTTTTAATGTTACTTGTTCTTCTCTTTCCCCTGAAATTTCGCTTCTCTTAAAACCGGATCTTTCTGTCATGTTTCCTGTTTAACACGCACAAGATGTGAAAACTTAGTGGAACACAAAAAGTTTTTTGCATCAGATATTTTCCAATATGCATGGAAGAATAATCTTTACGCTAAGAACGGTAGGCCAGCAAAAATGTAGAAGTGAATTTGAACAACATTACGCAAAGGATGCCAGAGCTGTTGAGAGAATTTGAATTTTAAGAATTTGGGTTTTTAGGTGAACACCACCTCCCTACTACACTCCAATACTCCGGCAGACTTTGCACATCATATAAAGATATTATTCTATAAATTTGACATCTTTACTACACATCTTGTATACTCTATTAATAATATACAGTGTATTTTTCCTATTTACAAACAAAGTGCTTGGATTGCGTACAGGATCGAGAATCTGTTAGAGCTTAAGAAGTGAATTACGATTTTGGATCCGTATAAATCAACTTTTGAAGACAGCTTAGTTCATATTCATAGGGTTTGAGCAAATCCTCATCTTCATTCCGGCACTGAAGCGAGGCAACCTTTGTTTAACCGCTTTTGTTACGAATTGAATTAACAGAGCTAATTGACATAGACTTTTCGATATTCATTCGTTGGCTCCAAATTCTTCCATTGACCAATAATGGTCTTAAGAAATGAAGCTGTTGGAAATGTTCATAAGGCATACTTTTAAGGAATTCCCGAGCTTTGGTAGAAAATGTTGCAAAGAGAAGGTGTTACGAACTTCCTGAATTTTATCTGTGTCAAGGTCGGATGACAAAGGACATCAAAACATGTGACCATCAGAACTCCTTCAAGACAGAGTTGTAAAAATCTTTTGTTATGATTTAAAAAAAAATTAGATCAAAGCATTCTCGTCAAATCTTAAAATCAAAAGTTATAAACGATGAAGTTTCGAGCCCACGGTATTGTGTATAGTGAAGATTTGACGTCAAGTGATTTTATGGTTATCAAGCTACTTGGTTTTGTTTACATTCACGCAGAAAAGGGAATTGGATTTTTGAAAGTCTGTGACGCATGTTTAACTTCTTTAGGCCCCAGGACCCTTACGTACACACTCTCTGTGCTAGACATCTTTAGCTCATGCTGCCATTCCTGCAAAACCTTTAATAATTTGCCTTTTTGGGAAAAGGTTGCCGAAATAGCAGGATGCAGTCACATAATCCTGAACCTGTAAATGTTCGTGCTTCTATTATCTCAGTACAATACAAGCACAATAAAGTGAATCTTTTTCTGTCCAAGATCTTGCTAGACTGAAACACTGCCTTCTTGGGTGTAACTTTTTACAAACCAAGGAAAGCAAGTGTTCATAAGAAAAACGTCTTTGTAAAATTTGGCTAGCCTGTGCTCCAGACCCCTTACTTAAAAGTAGAGGACTCATTCGATACTAGTCCTCTACTTTCAAGTTAGGGGTCTGGAACACAGGTTACATTACACGGAAATCAATATTACATTTACAGCGCCCATTGGCCGCATTCCTGTTCCCAAAATAAGTCAACATTCCCTGATCCGCGTGTCTATCTGTCCACAACTCCAAAATCTTAAGAATGCAGACCTAAATTGACGCTTGATGATAACATAGATAAGTGGGTCCACTGCAGGGCTTGACATGGTAAGGCATAACGCTGTTTTCCACATCCAAGATGGCAGCTTCAGTGATGGTATTGATATATCAATTATGTCGAGAAGAGCAATTGGAATATGCAGCAAGACAAACATTCCAACGACTATTCCAAGCATTCTAACAGCTCTGAATTCTTTCTTCACTTTGATTTTAGCAGATCCTTGCTTTTCCTTCTTCAAAACCGAGAACTTCGATATACTAGCTAAGATGGCAATGTTGCGTTTTCCTCTAGGCCCAACCTTCCCTTCTTCAACTTTTGTCTGTCCATTCACATTAAAGGACAAGAAACGTCTCAAAGTCTTCTTAGAATCAGCGTTTGGTGATTTTCTTTCCACTGGTTGAGAATATGTTCTCAGTATCTTCGTGTTGGTTCGAATGTTAGCTTCCTGAGTTGTGCAGGGTGCTACTTTGTTTTTTCTTGCTCTGTGTTTTTGACATTCTGTTTCAATAATTTCTCTGTCCTTAGGGTCCCAACTCTCCATTATTGACCCTCCTGTCAACATCGCCCTTCTCTTCCATTCCCTCAAACTTTTTCCAACTTTTGTCAAGTTCTCTGCTTGGTCAAGATTGTCAAATACTTCATCCTCGCTATCATGATTTTCTTGTTGTGACATTTTCTGCAGTTCTTCTCTTCTCTTTTGCATCCACGAGTCATAATTTCGGTATAAAATCGATCTTATTTCTTTGGATTGGTCGCAGTCTGCCGTAAGAGGCCGGTCGGACGAGCTCAACCGGTGTCTGAACGGTGATACTAAGGATTCTGTGAACCGTCTCCTTTCCAACCAATCTATTTCCACTGTTTTACTGTTCCTAAATTGCAGGGCGATTTCAACTGCATGTCGACGGGCAACAATAACTATTTTGCTATACACAAGGCAGAAAACAAATGGTGGAAATAGTTCTGTTAGAATTATAAGCACCAACACATATGAAGCTGGAAACACAGACCGGTATGTACACGGTCCACTTAGATTCTGATGAGCCGCACTTGGAAGGGCCCAAGCAGTTAACGGAATAATGGCGATAATGAAGGAAACGGCCCATGACGTCACGATCAAATAACCAATTCTGGTCGTGATGATATGCGTCCGATAGTATAAGGGTTTGCATATGAAGCACCAGCGATCGATGGCAATGAATAGGATTGCAAACACGGATGCATTGAAGAAGAATACCGACAGGAAGGTATCAATCGCACAGAAGAGATACCTAGGCTTAAATACCAGCATGTTTCTAGTGGCCAGTGTAGCAATACACTTCAAGAGATCAGCAACTGCCAGGTTCAAAATGTAGAAGTTGTTGATATTCTGTAGCTGGCGATAGGCCGCCACAACAATTATAGTCGTCACATTTCCAAGAAACGCAATTATAAAGATAGCTGTGAAGTAGACAACAACAACATCTGATCCATATTTTGATTCCATTACTGTTATGAGTTACGCTTAGGCTCTAAACCATAACATATTTATTTCTTTTGACAGTCGTTTGTTTCAGATGATGCTTCATGAGCTTTCCAAACAGGTTTGATGTTAGAATGCCTGCAACATTGAGCTAGATATCTCTTTCTATTAAAGAACAGTATATTCCTTTCATGTATATTACTGAACTAACCAAGGCATGGGCGTCTTTCATTGTGTTCAACTGCACCATTTTCCAATAAAATCCTATCGAAACAAACTGCTGACTTTCGTTTGAAAAACAGCTGCAATGTTACAAATTAGTGCACGTTTGTCCACACTCTATCTTCGATTATTTGATGCCGAATATCGAATGGGTCCTTTGTAAAACATGATGATTCATTCCCCTTTACAAGTTAGAGTAACACTGATTCTTAACAATGCATTATATGGCAAAATGCTTACTGAAGGATGCTAAGTCAAAACACGTCCACGACAAACCAGGCATTAATACGAGTCGTAAAGAATCTGTAAAACCATCATCCTTTTGGTACACTGTCGTGAATTTCTAGCGAAGATGATATGCACAGATAATTATCCTTCAACCTCTGAAGAGTGAGAGAACTACAGCTGTGTTATCAGCATTGCCTCCTAGATAAGTATCTTCGTGTTATTTGCAGCTATTAGGTTTATCACGACGAAAATATCTGTGCAAAATCCGCAAAGAATGCTTTGTAATTTACAGTTTATCCGAGGATGCAGCATTCGTTGATCGTTGACCACACATCAAGCATTGAGAGAACCAGTATAACAAAACTTGAGGACACAAGCTACTTGAAAGCGTCAAAGAGCTCCCTGCCTAGACATTTGAGCAAGAAAAATATCATAGCAGACAAAGCCTGGATGTACATACAATCGTGATAACAATCAATGTCAATGGCTTCAATAAATGATTTGATTACGTCCTTTGTAAGCAGGTTGACTCCCGTGATATATTATAAACTCTTGAAAACAGCAATCTAATAATCAAGTACCACCAACGTCGAAATATAATCAAATCCGGGGGTTTTAGCATGAAAGACTTTTTGTACAACAAAACGCTTGCGTGTTTCCTGTGAAGTACGAATGCGAAATAGCATTGCATAGTAACAAGATTTTATTAAGCTTTAAGGAAATACGTCATTTATTATGCCATCAGATGCAAGAGAACCAAGTAAAGAATCTATTCATGATATCAATCCGAAGGCAAGGCGTTTTTGCACATAAAAAGTGGACAGCTTTTTATATATTATATTGTATTCATGGTAGATAATGTTAATTATGAAAAGAAAGCCTCTATAATTCTACTATAATACGTTATCTGCAGTCGTGACAAGCCCAGTTTGAACACAGAGGACTTTGAGGAACATTAAAAATGATCGAGGAATAGATGCATGTCCCTGTTTCCCACTTTACTCTATCCAAATACAGTTTAATCCTTTGACACCCCGATAGAGAAGAGAATTACTTTTTCAGACATAATACATAAAACTTTTTTATGTTGATACGAAAAGACTCATCTCATCTTTTCATTTCAATCTCGCAAGGCTACCCGTAGACTGTAATATGAAAAACAACAGGTGTCATGTTAAGGACAGAACACCTCTTTGTAAGCCCATCGAACGTTCTTGTTTTGTAGAGAGCATGAGTCTAGAACTGTCGCAACAATGCTTTTGATAGTTGGAATCGGTCGAGCTAAAGAACCTAGAATTTAATGAATTGTTTAATGAATCTGTCAAACAAATTATCTTTAGTTTGATTAGTTGTCGTGCCTCGCTGTTATATGGGTTATTGGACTGCCTGTGTTTGAAGAATTACTACAAATGGCTAGAAAATATGCAAGTTAATGTATACAAAGATGAAAACAGTTTCTCCCGGATGATAGAAAACAAGGTGGCCTTCTCAATATTTGAACTTGGTAATGAAAGCCCAACAGGATGCTCTCTGGTTCCTAATTCTGTTGATAACACAAATAACGTAAATCAGATCTAGGTAACAAGCAGGGTGTTGAATTCAGAAATGCTAACAAAAGGATCATGAGTATAAAGACAGCTGCACATTCGATGAAGAAAAATTTATTAAAAATCTTTGATGTAGTATACCATTGTCCAATGCTGCACATCATTTTTAGCAATGACTCAAAAAGTATAAAGGTTATCCAGACCTTGCAACGACAACTGGAGAGTGGATAGATGTAGGCCGAGTACAGCCATCATTTACTCCGCAGAAGCGAGAATTTGACCAAAAGGAACAAAATGGAAATTGTGTTTTGATTTATTCAGAGGGTTTTCCGGTCTCTTTAAATTATTTTACGCGATTTCGACAGCTGAATCAAGCTGTAATAGAAAAATAAACTTTTTTAAACTTCATTAATAGTCTCAAGAAAGATTGAATGCCGGTCCCCTGGAACTACTATGAAAAAAATGTCATCGAGAAGAGCAGATTCCCTGAAACCTTTGCCTTAGAACCATTGAACGATTTTCATGATGATTAAATGAAATTAAATGCCTTTTATATTGCATTGGTATTTCATTCCCGATAAGTAAATTAACGAAGGTTTCATTTCTTGAGCGGAACAGGATATAGACTATTCTAAGCTTTTCTAGCAAGATATGCAAAAGGAAAGGAGCCAGAATAGAGTCGTGAATAACACCTTACGCATTATTCGAAAAGTTACTGGTTCCATATTGTAAATTAGTTTGTTCTTTCAGAGATTGAATTTTACTTATATACAAGTTCCTCATTTTGCAGGAGGCAAAAAATCTTAGAAATGGTATTGCGGAGAAAAGATGCATGTTAATAAGCAGTGAAATAAAAAAAAAATATTAATCTCATCCTCAATAATTTTACAAAATGTTCATACTACTCATATGAAACCGCAAATAAAAAAACGCAACAAATCAATGGAATATTGAATAAATTTTTCTCATGCATTATAAAATTCCAAAGTTATCAAAATTCTTTAGTTCAGCGAGCTTAAATCCTTAAAATTACAAAAGATTCAATTTATTCCAACTTGAAGACATCAAAATGTATGATAGGTCTCTAAATACTGTAATTCCAGTCACGACGCAGGTGTACTCATTTATCTAAGCTTATCTGTCCTAGTCATCATTTCATTATTGTGAAAACACACCCAATAACATCGGCGCTTAAGTAAAAGATAAACATATATGGAATATTTTTAGACGAAGAGCAAGTGCACGTCTATATGATGAAATAAAGGATCAAATTGTCCAAGTACTGGCTGGCCCATGAAATTGAAGTACTTTAAAAAGCAGGGGTCTGTCAAATTCGTTTTTTGAGATTCCATTACGAGAATTCTTTTAATAGAGGCCCTGCTCCAGGTTGAAAGGACTCATGGCGTATTCTGTTTATTTCAAAACGACACCACACAAACACTGTATACTTCATAATCTAAGTTGTTATTCGTTACGCAGTCAAACTGGCAGAAATATTGGTTGGACAAGCATATAAACCTGCATAGAGGCTTTCCTTTATCCCAATGCAATTACAAAATATCACTTTGAAGGCTATGATGTTTTGAACGTAAAAAACGTTTGAATGACCAGCGAAAGGGACATGCACACCAGTGTCCAGATCCAGCTCGAAACGAGGGAGGTTGCATCATAACATCTTCATAGATTTTCATTCAAAGGGTCACGAAGACCCTTAGCTCGTAGTCTGCTGAGTGACTTAGCAGTATTTATTAAAAAGTTACCAGCTTTTTCATAACTTGCTATCAAAGACTGGAAAGGGTCTTCGGAAGTTCCAGATACGTTTGCAGCTGAATCAGATCTGAGAATGGCACCCATCGCGGATTCGAGAACGGAATTCAGAGCCTTTTCCAACGAATCAACGTCAGTGATATTTGTAATAGATGGTGCCCACGAAGTGCTATAATTCTGATCCACAACTGGTTGATAAAAAAATATATCTTATATTTACTGCAGTTATACTAGCTATAGAAACTTCATATGAGACATATTTTGCTACTAAAGCAATTATTGTGATTTTTGATGCTACAGGAAACGTTTGGTTATATTGTGTCAGATACCTTGGCTAAAATGAAGCAAATTTCCAACTTCTCTTTCCTAGAAGGCCTTACAAATAAGAACTTCTTGAAAAAACAATAAACTTTTACCCACCATCTGTCTGCATTTCTTTATTTTCCTTTGCCACAAAGGTTTCTGTTTCTGCATCTCTTTTCTCTCCAATAAATTGCTCATCTGTACTCCTGAGTCTTGATAGCTTCTGCGGAGGCGGGCTTGCGAGGCTGTCCTCGATTTCTTGGAATGGAGAGCTGCAAATGGAGGGGCTTTCAGGTTCGCTTTTAATAACGCCTTCCTCTTTAGTTAGACTTGATTTGCGTTTCAATCTTGCTGCAGATCTTCCTGTCCCTCTCCTTCCTTTGCCTGGCTGTTTAACACCAATCGGAAGTAAAAAGCCTGTATAATTTTCTAAATGAAGATCTGGGTGTACAAGCTTGCTGATCTTTCCAGGAGGTACCTTCCGAACAGCTAAAATAACGGCATCACTTTTTACTGTTCTAGTTGTATCAATGACAACCTCGTTGTCTACCTGTTCTACAAGCTGGCTCCCCCGTCGAAGGTACCCTAGTATATCACGTGCTTTGTATTCATGACCACTTGCTCGAATCACAGTTCTTTCAGGTGGACAATGTGTCTCTACTGGGAACTTTTCGAGAAATTCTCCTAGAAAGAAAGAGAAGAACAAGTGTTTTGCAGTGGCGTAGAGAGGAAAATTCATAGAAGAAGCGAGAAATTCAAGTTTCCTGACAGAAATTTGATAAGCACTTTTATTTTTAACTATATTTGAACGCAACATAACGCCATCAGATCTGAAATAAACCAAGAGATAAAGTCTGTGACATTTAATAATTTATGCAAAGTTAAATGTCATAAACCATACAGCTGGCTGATCCTCTCCTCAAAAAAGCATTTTTAAGTATCATTCTTTATTAAAGAGATTGTCAGTCTGGTTCAAAACAAAGTTAGAAGTCATCATATTCAGCTATAAAATCTTCCCACTCAAATGCAATACTTAGATGTTTTCCGACAAAAAAGCAATTTAACATTGCAGGGGGTTTCTCGCCCCCTCTGAACCCTCCCCCATCTACGCCACTGATGGTTTAGGCTTGTTTCGACACAATACAGAAAAAGACGTAATTGTTGAATGAAAAAAGGAATCGTTTCTCACCTAGACTGTAGGTTTTGTTGTCCAGTATGACAGATGGCTCTTCAACTGACATCTGCGTCCAGAGAGCTTCAAAAGCTACAGAACGATTAATCTTTTTAAGCGTAGGCACATCGTTGTCACTGCCATCTTTAATTCCAAAGTGCTTGATATTAAACGGCTTTAAAGAATTTCTTATTGGAATTTTTTCAGTCTTCTTTATTTCTTCGACTTGCAGGCTTTCGGGAGGAGCTTCCTCATTTTCACTGGTCGGCCTACTGCCAACAGAAACCTCAAGTTTGCTTAGCTTTATAGCTTTGCGAAGATCACGTTCAAGCGACAGTTCGTCTGAGGCTCCAAGAAGATCAAAACGAGTCGAGTTTGTTATTCGACGTGATGTCCTTCGTCGGCTCATCAAGCTCCCGTCATTGCTATAACTGCCGTTTTCTTGATCAGAATACACTATCTGTTCATTTGCGTCAGCCACATCCAGATTCTCCTGTGGTACCGGGTCTGCGGCCGACCGCAAATATGGTGTTTGTCGGTTTTCTACTGAATCCTGTCCTAGTCCGGTTTCTAACAAACTAGTTCCTGTTTCTGGGCATCTTGTTGGCAACGTCACCGGATTTGAGTTCTTGACAACTGTATTGAGCGACAGTTTCTTATCACTGTCTAATGTAACACCAGTATTTTCAGGTACGTCCCTAGCCTCGATTCTTTGTTTAATACTGTCTCGCATCCACGCCTTTTTATTTTCACAGGCGGCAACAATGCTCTCTGCAAATCCTGCGGTTATGACCCTTTGGTGTTCCTCTCCATTTTTCGCTTCTGTGTTTTCGTGAGTCAATTCTGCACCGTTCTTTGGCATCGGGGAGATATTTCGTTCTTCTTTCAATCGAATTATCTTGTTCGCATTACTGTCAAATGTGAGACTAGTGCTTCCTTCATTTCTTTGGCTGACACCATCTCGCGATAACAGCTCACAATAATTGTTATAATCACTAAAAGGTAACTTTGTTCCACCTGATTGAGATGTGAACGCCGATTGATCTATTATATTTTCACTGTTGTGACAACTGCAATTCCCATCGTGCAAACAATTATTTCTAGGTTTCACCAACATTTTGTCTTTTTTACTAAGGCCGCCATTTTGAGATGGCTTCCCTTGGAGGTCATTTCGAACACTTCTTTGATTTTGCACAGATTCAGACACCTTTGCAGCCTCACTTTGACGGCGTGTATCTACATCATCAGCCTGACTACCGCAAGCTGCCGACGAGCTCTTGCCACTTTCCGGATCATTATTTGGCAAACCTGATTCGGTCAGATTCACGATAACAGACTTGTGCTCAAGGAGATCGCAGCCTTTAGTCTTAGAAGTCTCATAAGTAGATGACTTTGTAGCTGTTGTTATCTTAGATTGTGGCATTGATCCGGGTAAATTCTCCGACTTGATATTCCGCTGCAGGATGTCTTCTTTGCACATTTCTGCCTCCGAGGATAGTGACCGTGATTCGTCAGTAGCAGCACCTTTATCGGTTTGTGACAGTTTTTGTACGACACAGGTTGTCGGATCGGAGTAGCTTTGTCGCAAATCAAAAACTCTCGGGACAAGCAGAGCTGATTTAACCGGACTATCAAAGAATTCTTTTTGATATTCAGGAACAGCGTCCAACTCAGTGCCAAAGCGATAAACAACTTCAAAAACCTCTCTCATGACGACAGCTCGACGGTACTCGGACCAACCTACGGGAGAGGAATAACGTTACTGAAGTGACTAAGTCAGTGCAGTTCAGGGGACCTTAGGCAAAACGGCCGCCAATCTCTGAAAATAACATTGTTGATGTTTGATGCCAGGTAGAGAATAAGAAACGAACAGTGGATTAGGAAAACAAAAAAAGTGCAGAATCATCAGGTAAATGGCAACAACTGAGTTGTAATGGTCGAAACATATACATGCCAAAATTGGATTGCTATTAATATGATAAACTTTTCTGCTATGAGAATTAAAGTAGCATGCAGTATAAAGTATAAAGGTAGCATGCAATATGGTATAAAGAATGCATTAAAATTTGTTATCCTTATTCACTTTCGTACTATTTCATTCTCGTTTTTCTGGACATCATACCATTTGGGTGAAAAGCATTTTGAATCGTTGGAATTTTCAACGTGTTGGGCACACAAGGAAGTAAATGTTTTAGTCGAATGAGTTATCCCCCGTCTGTGAGTCTCTAGAGCTATCCCCCATCATTACAACCAATGATCGTATGCATTGAAACCAGCTATAAATAGGGAGTAGCTCATTCGAAAGAAGCCTTTTGCGTAACACATACAGATATGCTTATAGCTTTGCGTAACACATACACGACAATTTGTGAAACTCTCGTATGCTTAAGGTGGTGCTATCAAGGTGGCAGTGATAAAGACTTACCTGTGGGTGGTATTCCATGCCACGTGACCAGAGAGTAATCAGAAGCAGTTGGTAGGTATATAAGCATCGCAATGATAGCAACGGGGTAAACACGGTCTAAAAAACTTCAAAGGAAATTGCTTGGTTGGAAAAAGCAGCATATAGGTTTTTAATAGAGAAGTAATTTGAATATCTAAATAAATATTTGTGACATGTGATCTATGATGCAGTGTCAGTTGGTCACTGCAAATAATCTCAAAGATAAGTCTGTGTAGAAAAACGAGGCTGAATTCACAGTAACGCAAAGTAATCATTGTTTGGCGTAGAACAAGACAGTGAACTGATGATCACATTCAGTGCAAAATACCAATAGCAATTTAAAATCGCCCTAGTCTACACGCCAAAGCGCGTACACCTTTGTAAATATGACATCGATCACTATACAGCAAACAGATTAGCAGTAGTCTTCATAGAAACTGATAATAAAAACGATGATCTTCTTGTGGAAAACGACAGTGCCATAAGAGTTCAACAGTATATCAAAACCATTCCGTTACTGAAGGCAGTTCGATTAGTACAGACAATGCCTTGCCTGGCTGATTGCTTCTTGTTAGTCTAAAACAATCGGTTGGAAACTAAGATTATACATAGTGAATACAAGATGATGTAAAACAAAACAAAAAAAGGCAAAGTGAACAATACCTGTCAAACTCGTCGATGTAGTTTTTCATGTACCGATACATCGCCTTGCTGTCCTCTCCCGCAGCAACGATTTTTCGCCTAACGAAACCATAACAACGTTTGGTCACGTCTTCGACGGTATCCATATCAATAGATTCGCTTCTAATGGAGCGAAAGACGTCTTGAAGTTGACCCATTTCACATCCCCAGAAACCCCGAGTTGCCATTTTCAATAATGTATGCTCGTAGAGGCAGCAGGTGCCACTGCTTGGGGTATTTGGGGCAGGAGGTGCTTTGCATGGAACAAAGGGTGGTCCTCCGTAGCGCCGATACTGGAGATAGTTAAAACTTTTGAATTCTCTCTTCTTTCTTCGCTTTTTGCCTTGAATCACCAAACAGTTCGTGTCTGGGTTGAGGACATTTTTAGTTGGATCTCCTAAATACCGGCTGATGTGGCTAACTTTGACTTGAGATTTAGCTTGGGGACTGCAACTTATATTCTTCGAAGAGGTCTCCAAATGCACATTTGTACGCTTCGCAGCACCAGCGGGCGACGCTGCAACGCCAAGGCTGGCTGTATCGGTGTTAATAGACATTTTGATTGAAGATGAGATTGGTACTTTGGCCTGGACAGTTTTGAAATCAACTGACAATGGCGATGTAAACATTGAGTTTGTGCCCACTAGAGTAGCTCTTGCTTTGTTTGCAATGGACAAGGAATTCAATATTCTGTCCACTTTTGGGATATCTACTGAAACCTGCTTAGTGGTATTTTTAGGTATTAAAGCTAACGAAGCCATTGGTATGTTAACTGTGCTTGATGCCACCATCGAAGAAGTAAGAGCATTCGACTGCACAGTTATAGCTGTTGGCCTTGATAGCGAGGCTGTACTTACAGAGGAGGCATCTTTCTGGGTTATATCATTAGGTTTTATTTTCATGAGTTGAATTGTTTGATTGCTGTTTGGTGGCCAGACACCAAAGTTCACAGAGGCCACAGGGAACTGCGTTTCACTAAGGGCCGTCCTTGTCATATTTAGAAGATGCATAATATTAGATTGGCTGCTGCTGTGTTGTGACGTTACTTGTTTTTTGGCAAACTGCTTGGTACCAGGCTTCTGCGACGGGCTGACAATAACTTGACTACCAGGTAGAACATTTGTAACGCTGGTGACTACGCTTGTAGTTCTAAGTGTTGCCGTAGTGCTTGACATGACAGTTTGGCCCTGTGGTAAATACAAGTATCCTGGTTGCGGAGCTGTAGCTTCTGTGCTGGTTTTGATCTTCAAATTCCCTGACAGAGGCAAAATCGGGGTATGTCCTGGGGTGAAAGGTTTTGCTTTAGGTGCATGACCCACTCCAGGGCTAGCTGGTTTCGTCGTACTGCTGGGAATGAGAATAAACTTCTTTCCGTCTGGGCCTTGAAAAATAGTTTGGCCTAAAACTATACTTGGTTGAGCTGGAATGCCCTGTTGGTTTTTATTTTGCGTTGGAAGAAGGATGAGGTTATGTTGAGGAGAGGGAAGTTGTGAAGATGAAAGCCGGGGAGATGGGGCTGGAGATGAAGAGTGCTGCGCCATACTTGCTTTGACACTGGCGTTGTTCGGGTAGCTGAAAACAACCGACTTGGGCATTACTGAGGTATCCGCTTTACTTTTTGGAGGTTCAGTAGCTCGCGTTGATTTCCCTCTTTTACTTTGCTTTCCGTCTGGTGAGAAGTGGAAAATGTGCTTTCGTACAACGTTTGTCACCCTTGGCTTGCGTAACGGTCTCTTTCGAACTTTCTGCAAATTTCTTGACTGACTGGTCTTTGTATTACTTTCACTTAATCTAAGCATGATCTCATCATCTGACAGCTTTCGTAACCCCAATGCATGAATGAAGTTCTCTTTCGATTCAGATAGGTTCATAACTATACAGCAGAAGTCTTGATTTAGCGGAAAAAACCATGCAATTGCTCGTATCCTCTATTCTCTGGCCTGGGAAATAAAAGCACGAGTCAACAACAAGGCAGAAATGAGAAAGATAAATTTAACAAGAGAAAATTTTTTCAATAAATGGCATATGTCTGCCATAAGTTAAAATCAAGGGAGTGGGGGCCACAGAGGGACCCTGGTTCTGGTCAGTATTGGAAGATAATTATAATAGCTAATAAACTATTTGTTTAAAGTTGACGTCATGATAGCTGCGAAGCTAATTAAAGCACACCATTAAACCCATATTTTTCCTCTAAAGGTTACAATAAAATTAAGTGATTTCCGCTGGAAATAACCAAATAAGTTTTTGTACCGCAAAATTTGAAGAGGGCACGAAACAGCGGAAACACGGCACAGTCCGATACACTTCAGAGTAATAAACGTCGAAAAATGAATGCATACCCAAGGTTTCTTCAGGCACTTAAAGCAAGGGGAACGAAGCACAGTGGCGTAACGCTGTTTAGAAAACTTTAGTTCATATGTTCATCTATATGTTCATCTATGATTATGTCTCGTTGAATTAAATAAAATTACTTTATGGACTAAACAAGAAATTTTGCAAAGCACACTGATTTTCTAATAGTTTCTAGAAGATAATTTTTCAAATATTTTTTGAATAATAATTTAGAAGAGGTAGTTCTTATTTCTACAGGGAGATTGTTCCATAAGTTTGCCCCCTATATCGAGTTGATTTCAAGCAGTACTGTGAAGTATTTGCCATAGTAAGGACGAGATCACCACGTGTTGATTGCCTTGTGCGGTGACAGTGAAAAAGGGGTTAGCTTATTGATTGATTCATGAACAAAATATAATAGTTTCAGTTTAAAGATATCTGAGATTCTAAGTAATTTTAAGTTTTAAAAATAGGAAGAGAATGAGCAAGGAATTCTTGATGTGATATAGCTCTAACAGCTCTTTTTTGTAATTTGAATAGTGGCTCAATATGCGAATCAAACGTTTGTCCCCAAACAATAATACCATATTGTAAGAAGGACATAAACAAAGCGTTATAAATTGATATTAATGTAACTGTTGGAAGGAGGTTCCTAATCCTGAAAAGAATGCCACAGGTTCTTGCCAGTTTTTTTGAGAGTTCAGCAAGATGATCTTTCCAACGAAGGTGTTCATCCAAGAGGAGTCCTAAGAATTTGATGTATTTTACCTTGGAAATGTGCTTTTTGCCGATTTGGATTATAATGTCTAATGGTAATGAGGCTGAGGAAGAATGAAAAATTATAAAGTTAATTTTACTTATATTCAAACAGAGTTTATTCGCATCAAGCCAACGTTTGACATATTTTAGTTCTTTGTTTACCTTCTTAGTGAGCTTTTCAAGTGTTTCTGATTCCAAGTAGATATTTGTGTCATCACCAAAGAGGAAGAATTTTAAATGTTTTAAAACTATTGGTAAATCGTTGAGGTATGAAAGAAAGAGCAAGGGTCCTAGCACTGATTCCTGGGGCAAACCATATGTAACCATTAATTCTACCATTAATTGAAACAAACTGTGCTGTGTCTGTAAGATACGATTTGAACCACCCAAATGCATTCCCTCTAATTCCATAGTGCTCAAGTTTGGAAAGCAAAATTTTATGATTTACAGTATATAAGGCCTTTTGTAAGTCAAAAGTATACCACACTCATATTTTTTGTTATCAAGGCTACTTTTGATAGCTTTAGTCATACTAATTAATGCATGATCAATCAAATGATTTTCTTGAAAGCCAAACTGTAAAGGATATATGATTTTATAATGAGTAACAAAATATTGTTTTAAACAATAGGCTATTTTACTCCTCTCCATTTAAACAAAGGCTACCCCCCGCAGCTAATATCCCTTTGAATAGACTATGAACAACTGTCCTAGGAGTTGTGAAAGAATATTGTGTCGTTAGGAGATCTGGGACCTAGTTTGTTGTTACAGTAGCTTGTACAAAGAAACGGGGCGAGTCTCGGTATCGATATACTGAAATATCCAAAATATCTATACTGAAATATTTATATATTTTGTGTTTTGTAATATCAAGTCCTCGAATTAACGTACTAAAAACAATCCCCCTGGAAAAAATGTTGTCGGCGAATATGGTCTACCGTTGGCAAATCTGGTCTACCGTCGGCAAATCTGGTCTACCGTCGGCAAATCTGGTCTACCGTCGGCAAATCTGGTCTACCGTCGGCAAATCTGGTCTACCGTCGGCAAACCCGGTAGACCAGATTTGCGATATGTTGGAAAATCCTGTGATATGTCGGCGAATATTGCCATTCGTGAGCAAACATTGCAACCTGAGGTGGTCTCATGTCATATCCAGCGTATGTGTTTTTTTAATTGTTTTTTCTTGAGTGGTGTTTCCTCAGCGGCGGCGTGGTCGGGGGCAGCAGGGATGTGGGGCCATGGACCTCTCTGCTTTCAAAATTTGACGGATTTTTGAAAAATTCATCGTTTTGACGGAAATTCTCAAACTTGAGCTGTGGGTAATTCTCAAACTTTTAGCAACATAAATTTTTTGGACTAAAGTGCTTACCGTAATTTCAAGGGGCAATTCACTTTTGTAAAGAAAATACTAGATTTCCATAAATGAAAATGATTTCTCAGGATTTACCTATTCCTACCGTAGAGTGATTTGCTGGTCGGATTTTGTCAGTTAAGATCCGAATCTTCAAGGGCCAAATTTGGTTATGGAAATTGGTCAAAACCATCGCTTTCCCCCAGTGGATAATCAATTTAAGGATAAGATTTTATTATTAAAATCTGCTTCCAAGATTGCGATTTCCGGCAAATTTCAAGCATAAGATTATAAAAAATTTTCCCTTCGGCGGTAACGATGGTGCCGCCTCATGCAGTAACTTCATTCTACCCTTGTCCTTATCAACGGATGTCATGGACGTTCACTGGAAGTACGAAAAAACAGAGACAAAAGAAGTACATTTTGAATATCTTTCCAGCTATGGCAAAAGTTATGAGTTTTTCTGCCTCATTCCAGAAATTTTGATGGAAAATTTTTCTTTCTGCCCCCCCCCCTAGAATTCATTCGCCACGACGCCCCTTTGTTTCCTTGTTGGTAATTAACATCCATTCATGAAAAGATTGCCCTAGGCCATAAGCAAATATTTAAATTGATTGCAAGAGATGACTGCAAGAAATATTCTGAAATGCATTTTAAGATTTAAGACATTAAAAAGGCGAGGTCGCAAAGAATTTCTGCTCGCTCCGCTCGCAAGGGGCCTCGTCTTTCAGTTTTGCTGCAGGGCCTCCGAAGCCCCTCGGCGGTTCTGTCAGTAAGATCAACGTGCTGAACTATTTGAATTAATTAGGGTATCTCATTGCTCAAACTTGACTTCCAGGATAAAATCGAAGAAAGTACCCCCAGTTACTCGAAAATCGAAGCGATGGTTGACTAACGAAAACATACTCTTTGATAAACAAATCAATTGCGTCAAAATGCCACACCCAGAAATTGACATGTCTTTGACCACGCCCTATTTTGTCGGCAAATTGGTGACTAGCACCCCACCCCCCAAGTGAAAGTGCTTAGCGACGGCCCTGACAGCACGATACATTATTTGAGGGTAATAATTATTACACGATTGTAACAGGAAAAATTATCTTTATGACAATCTAGGTGAAATGGGAGGATTTTCCACGGTGCGCACGGCACCATGGCAATGGTCTTGTGCGAGGGGCAAATAGCCTCATGTGATATTCGTACACTTTGGGTGAAGTTCTATTGTTTTATTTGCAAATCCCTAGAAATCGTTTTGTATTGGTAGGAATCTCGTGTATGATATTTGCAAGAGTGAATCTCTCCTCGTTTTTGGGTGCTTAAAAAGGAAAACCACAATAAGTAATAAAACCTTTCCAGCCAGCTATTAAGAGCAAGATAAATTGTCTTAAACGAGAAATCCGTATAAATGGGTCAGTTGAAGGGCATCTTTTCAGTAGGGTGTCATGTGAGCAAACGAAGCCAACCTGATGCTCCTCATTGGGGAAGTAACAACAAAGGGTCAATTGAATAAGGCCGAACGGAAGTCCCTATTACAAACCAACACTTTTCGTTGGATGTTAAAATAATAGCTTTTGTTATCCAGATAGTTGCGAATTAAAGGAAGCGATTACATGCGATATGCATGAATGCACATTAATTTGAGAACAAGATTATGTTTTTGCACGTTCAGTGGATGCTGTTAACATTATAATGAGTTTCACGGGTTTGGCCACACAATTTTGTGATTTGGTATCATCCTTACCTTGCTGCTGTAGTTCGTGGGCGTAAACATTGAGTTACCTGTCCATCACCGTCTACTGTAGAAAATAAAAGCTGGATATCCAACTGTGATATTTAAATGAAACTAAGCTTTGAGCTGTAAACAAATGCGGCCTGAGAAAATTAACTATTGTATGCTCATTTGCAGCGCGGGTTGAACAATGCAGGCAACAGAATTTCCAAACACTGAAGGCCAATGCCAGGGGAAGGTCAATTTTTACAATCAAATCAGTACGACACGAACACCAAAGCAACTTGACACCCGTTATGAACATTTTACTCACCAATAAACGTTAGCAAGCACAGTCGTGGTGATTCCCTTACATTGGAATTGCTTGATTTGTTCGCGTTAACTCGCAAAATCGTCTCATCGAGTTGGTTTATAACTCAGACATAATGAGCTGATGAAACAAAGGCCATACATTAAGCACGAAACGACTGCTCCCTTCTGTGAACATAAAGTTCTTCAGTATCTTATGAAATCAAACATACTGTCAGCGAAAGAATATCCTAAGTGTTGGACTATTTTATTAAAGACAAACCCACTTATTAAGCACGTGAGTCTTTCTTCCACGCCAATCAAATCGGCTGATTCATACCCACGTGACTATAACAATGTACTCGACACAGCTGCGCATTGTCAACGATCAATTTAAACGATGCTCAAGGGATTTTGCCAACTTAGCCCAGACACAAAATCCGGACCAAATAAAACTTCGTTGAACTTTTAGATGAAATAAAAGCATCGTTGGTTTGTATGGTAACGCAGAAGGAGGGTTTTTCAAAAAATTTTTGCTAGAATTTACATTGCAGCTTTGTGCTATTGTGGAGCGAATTCTGGAAGGGGAAACTCAAGTTTCAGATATCACATTGACAGCTAGAAATAGCTTTTGCAAATCTACCTTCACCAACTCGACTGTCAATTAATTCATGTCCAACTTAGGACATTTGACGAAGAAAGTGTTATGGTTTTATGTTAGTGAGTAGCAAACAAATTTTAATTGCATTGCAAAGATTGCTCTGGAGTTCGTCAGGAATCGTTCGCGCACATTGGTCTGAATTTTATGCCAAGGTGCTTATGAAAGAGAACAATAACAATTAACGGCATAAGTCCACGTAGAGCTCAGAGAGCCACAGAAAGGTTTAGAGGTGTCGTATTTGCCACACTTTTCGGATTTCGGGAGGTTTCTGGTTGTAAAAAATTGTTTTTCGAGGAGAAATGGGGCTGATCCCTCACTTTATAACGTCCAAGTGACCTACAAGAAATGGTGTGGGGGTGGGGAAAAAGGAAAGGGGAAACTGCCACTTAAGGATTAAATGTTGTTGGAACCTCGGGCCCTGTATCAAATTATTGACAAGAAATTCTTTTGAAAAAACGTTCAACGCAATTTTTCTCTCAACGAAGTAAAATGAACCTCCAAGAATCATTTCTGGCAACAAAGGTTTGCAACGCGAAAACGTCGTTAGCAAAAGCGCATTAGAAAACGCAAGGAAATATTCCATAAATATGGCGTCCTTTTTAAAGTTGCTGCCTTGCCACGATTTGATGAAATTGACAGAACGGTGACACCAAAGCTTTTGGTTGGACAATCCACAGAGTATAAAACGTCCTTATTTTAACACCCTAGGCCCTACATCAATGACTGCCGATCGGGGGAGAACAAGACGCACGGAAGTTCAAATAGTGACTTGTTCTTCGAGTTAAATAACAACAAAGCACATTTGCACAAATGTCAGGAATGGACAAATTCCGCCGAAAAATAACTCATTTGTGGGAATTTTGGGTCTTCAGTTAGGTGCATATGGGAGGCGGGGAGGGGGTTCACGGGAAACTCATCACAAAAGATTTTGTACCCGAGTTATTTCGTTCTGCAAAAAGTGGGCCACCCCTCCTGGTCTTGGGGGCTCGTTGCGAAACCCACGCTTTCCTGGAGAGAATGTTTAACAAATAACATGCCAAATTGTGTAAACGCTATTTTACGTAAGTCTAGAAAGGTTTTTGCAAATTTGAACAAAATTGTTGCATATTTACTTTGCTATCTGATATGATAGCATGGAATCAGACAAGAGGATGGAATCGTGTTACACCCCTTGTACGGAACTTGTAGAATCGTGTTGTACCCATTTTTGGGCTCTAAAAGAGCACGGCTCATGCAAAACTTAAATGAACACTAAGGATGGAGTTCACGGCCACCTTTTCTATAAAATAAGAAACTAGTAATATGTTTTATTAGAAAATAATTTTTTTAAATGCTTTAAAAGCTACTGAGGGTAAAAAGCGTCTATCACATAAAATTCTACAAAATGCTATTCTTAGATTAGGTTTAATAAAAACCTTTTTCGGCTAGTTTTTCATGGATTGATCGTTCTAGCTGACCAAAATTCAATTCAACAGAGCTTTTTCTTATGTTTGAAGAAGCTAAGACCTTTTTTGGTCCGAAAACGAAGACTTTTTCAGAAAGGATCAGAGACGCGCACGAAATTGAACCTGGGTGGGCTATGAATCAAGTTTAGTGGCATATGAGGACCCACCATGGTTGGGTCCGACGCCAAAGAAAATTTTTTAAATTAAGCCTTCTAGAATGGCTAAAAATGCATATCCCAGTCTAAAATTTAACAAAATACTACACCACTCGGAACAGACAATTCAACGATTCTAAAAAAACATTGGTTATTGATATTAAGGAAAATTTCGGGAGGGGAGGGGTCATGTTAAAACTCTCGTGACAGAGCTATACTAGGGAAGAAAGATAAACCTTTGGCTCAGAGTGCACATCGATGTAAATAGCAAGAAGCTGTTGTATTGATTGAGAGAATTTCTTTCCTGAACCGAAATTTGCATCTTCTTAGTCTCGAGTATTTTCAGTAGATCATGTTTACACATCCAAATTGCAGACATTGAATTGATACAAAAAGTTATCTGCTGAATTTATGAAAATAAAAGACAAATTATAGAAATCTGCCTAAAAAAGTTTGTAAATAGATCAAATAAAATCAAGCAGTATATAAACAGTTTGTTCTCTTTTTATTTTATACTCTGTTTTCAAAAATTATAAAACAGACGGTCAAAAAAATTCGATCTCTTAAGAAAAAAAAAGGGGGGGGGGGACTTCAGCCCCCAAGTGGAGTCGTGCCTGAGGTTTGATATTCGTTAACAATAATGTGATGGTTATGCAGATGAAACTTCAGCAACCTTAGAAAGGATACGATACAAGAGCACAAAGTTTGCAGAAATTTCAGCAAGTTCCACAAATCCACTAAAAAGTCTTTGAAAACAGTGGGGTTCACTGTGTATTCTTTAAAAAACTGGGGGCCCACCCCATAAATCCCACCTATTGTCGACGTCCACGTGACGGAATTTCGAATCACAGGTCGAATCCTGAGGGTCTGGAAATGTAATGACATTCATATCTGGTTCATGTTCTTCATTTCCATTAATTATTTTTCACGTATAAAAAAAGGCAGGAATAACAAAGAGGAACTTCAACAGGCCCTCATTTTGGTCGATTGCCACTTTCCCTTATGTTTAGAAATTATAATCCCGAATAATTTCACTAGAATAGACTAGCAGGATATTGCTAAATAATGAGTCATTAATGTAATAGTTCTTAGCATCATCCGAATAAGAAAATCTTAAAATGTTTTATCGTGCCTCTTTGTTGAATACAAAGTCAATTACAACAGAAAATAGGATAAAAGGGTAACTTGGGACGAGTTTCCGATTAAACCAGACTGTTTAATAACAGCTGTATATTGCTTTAAGAATTCGGGGGGAAAATAATAACACAAAGGAATGTTGAAAATTATACATTCAAATGCCTCTCATAAGTGATTTCATTTCAAGTAATGCACTTTTTTAAAAAAATAGCCTGTTTGAATTTCTTATAGCAAAAGGACCCTTTCTTTATATTATCTCCTAGATCCATTTTCTCTCAGAAAATTTCCACAACTAAGACTTTTTCCGGAAACTTTGACCATTGGTTCTTTTAAATATTGTATCCCAATACGCTATCGTGAGTTACGCTAAAGGTGCAAAAAGCTGTTTGGTTATTTTTCTAAATTTGCCCACCTTAAGAGTAACTTCTGCATAGAAAGCTGTCTTCTAACGCAAGCGTGACGGAGGCTGGTGTTCAGGTTAAGAGGAGAAGTGGTTTTTCACCATGTGGTTGCAAGCGCTGTGATAGTCTTGCAAAGACTAATTTTCTACAACTGGACTGATACATCCTGCATAGTTTGAAACTAACGCACTAGTGGGAGAGCTAGGCACGAGTGACGCAACACTGGCAAAAATATAAGAAAGGATAAGAACACGCGAGACCTAACAAAAAAACAAAAATTCAGAGAAATTTCTTCATCTCTAAAGCGTTAACATTAATAATATTCCTGCTATTATTTACTTTACAACATCTGCAATAAAATCAGAGTTAATTAAATAAAGACCTCACGCTATAACACCATTGGTACTTCTAGCCTAGGCCAACATCGAGTGACATCATCACGATGAAACCGACAACTGAACCCCAACTTGCCAATGTGCCATTTCCGCTAAAAATTAAAAAAGTAATATATTTAAAGTAAGCTAACTTCAACTTGAGATTTTAGCAGCATTAAACAAACTTGGTGGATTGAATTTAGGATATCAAGGACATGGAATTCTTTAATTCCTTATTGAATTTAACGTTACCATGACCCTTGTCGGTTTCGAAGTCTGGACTTCAAATGTAGATTAATCCAATGGAAATCGAATGGTGTCCCTTATAAGAAAATTGTAGTCTGAGACCCATAATTGAGTTTGTTGTCTAGTGGACTTGTTTGGTCAAATGCAAAGAAGTCCACAGTTCAGACCATTGTTAAAATTTGAGAAACATATGCAAGAAACTTTCCTTTGTTCATCTCTACCCAACCCAAGTTACATCGAAATAATATATATACAAGCTCCCTTTTGTGATAAACATGGATTAAACAAAACAGCTTTTTAAAGGTTTGATAAACGAACAACCGAACCGTCTTAAGATAAAGGAAGATAAACAAGTTCGATAACGTAATATAAAAAACTCATTACAGAGGGAGGGGTGGGGGGGGGGGTTGGAAACTTTTCTAAGTCTAATTGTAAAAGGCTGAATTCTAGCTTAAGGCTGCTAGGCTATTTTCAAAATTTCGTGTTTCGTATTACTTCAGCTAGAACAGCTAGTAACGACGGCACAACTAGAATAGATAGTAATGCTGGCAGTTGTTAAGAACGGAAAAATAAAGAAAGGAGTGTAAGAAAGATAATGTTTTCGATGGAATCTCCACCCTATAAGAGGAGGAGTTGCCATACTACTCCTCTACCTAAAAAAAGTGGTTCTTTGATCAGTGGTTCATATCTTGGAATTATTGATCATCAGTTTTATTAAGTATGGGAATATGGAAACAACGTTCCCAGGAAATTTTGGAGAGTGCAGGATATCTTTTCTGCAGGATATCTTTTTATATATAAACTTCGGGATATCTTTTTAGGAAAGTTGCTCTACACATTTGTTTACCAGACTAAGAAAAATTATCTCCAAACTTAAGCGATTTGAATTTAGTGATTGGTTTCCATGAGTTATCTTGAAGACAGTCCAGTGTTTATGGGGTTTTTGTAGGATGCTTTGACAAGGTTTGTAGCGTTGCAAGAAAAACCTTTAATCAGCCCCTGTCATTCACTTTGCTTGTCGGTGGTTCTGATTTATTCGCTGTCAAGCGTTTATCTAAACTCATAAAAAGAGCACAAAAGATATGGTTTTCATTGGAACTGTGATACAAAAACGGATGGAGAGCGACAAAGACGGCACATTAGATTCTTTGTACAATTCATACAGAATTAATAAACCTGAATTGATTAAATAAAACTAAACAAATGCTTACGACATCTGGGCCTCTGGAATGATATCATCAACAACGACATAGATCATGGCACCAGCAGCAAATGAAAGAGCGTATGGTAGTAAAGGTTCTGCTATCTATTGGAAGAAAAAGTCTTCATGAAATCTTCAACAAAAAATAGTTTGACTGTCAAAAGTGTGGGTACCAGTGACTCCTCAGGCACCTAAAGAGGGAGGAACTAGGACTAATTAGACCATTTTTATCAATCACTTGGCAATTGGAATCCTTTTGCAGATTTAAGAGGCTGTTTCACCCCTCCCCCACTCAAAGAATTGAAACCCCACCCCCTCCCAATCAACGAACTTAAACTGATTAGCGACTGTCCATTTGCTCAAAATTTTGATCCTTTTTAAGAACAAAAATCTGATTTTTGAAAGTATTTACTAAAGGACTTCAAAAAGCTTTGAAAATGATCTCCTACGAAAAGAAAATTCTAAAAACGACGATTTTGCCTAAAAATTATCTGTTTTACACAAACACCCCATATTGGTGATGTCACTCAGCCATTTTAGTGTTTGTACTTATCCAGTTTATCAGTTGTAGGTACTGCTGTAAGTTGGCAGGAGGAAATAGAAACATCTGGTCTGAGCCCGCGTAGCATTCTCCAGTTTTATGAGGGGAACTTCAACAGCAAACCACTACTGTCCTTGAATTGCTTAACATAGGTGACTGTTTTTTTGAAAATGCTTTTACTTAACAACAAGTTATCTTGAAAAGCTTTTGGTCACACTAAAAATTGTTGCAGAGATTGACAGAAATGTTTCTAAAATTCATTGAAACGAAAACTAACAGGATGCAAGTTTCCAATCGGTTTTAAAACAATGGAAATTCTACTCTGTTCCACAAAAAAGGAAAATTAAAAACATCATACCACTACTGCAAATGCCCCAAAAATACCCGCTATAGGCTCGACCATTCCACTTAATTGTCCATACCTGAAAAATCAATAAATACAATAATTCAACCAGGGAAAAGAAAATAACGATTACAAATTTTGCTTCAAAACTTAACAACCCTTTTAATTAATAGATAAAAAAACTAGCTATAAATTTTTCTGAGAGAGCGATTCACTTCAATCTTAATACCTGCAGAAGATTGAATCTCTAGAGAATAGTAAAACTTGAAAGTCCTGATCTTAATTCCTAAGAGAATGCATAGTTGTGAGTTTGTATGCGAAAAGTAAAATGTATTTAATATTAACTTTAGCAAATTACTTTTTCTTACGTTTTTATATTTGATTATGAGAGCTGCAATAATTCGGCTTTTCTTGGAACTACAATCACTGCAGAATTTATTTCTGTGAAAGAATTAACTTCGCCGGGCGATGTTGTCATAAATCTTTGAATTTATGCCTTATCATGTCTTATCTTACGATATCTTAATTATCCTCTTTCGATAGTTTCACAACTGGATTAAGAATTTAAATTAAAAATCTATAAATTTATAAATTATTTTACACGATAAGTAAATATGAAGTGAAATGCATTGTCCGTGAAATTTCCAATTTTCGAGAGTAACAAAGCTGAAGTTTCGTAGCTTAGAAAATATCTCCTAATGCCATCTAACAAAAAGGAAAAGGTTCAAATGTTCCAATTTCTTTTAAAAATGGTGTTCCAGTCCTAAGGTTTTGTGCAATTCTAGTTTCTGTTAGGGAACTTCTAAAAAGACCCATTCCAAATTAGTGAAGGCCTTAATTGTCCCTTGTTATATTTGAAATTTCAAACTTTTTTAAATAAATTGTTTTGAGGTTACCAGAACAAATATTTGTAAGAACTAACGCTTTACAAATTCCACATCAAATCGAAAAAAAAGCCACGAAGAAAACAGTTTATGGAGCAAAATAAAGGATGCAAAGATTCTTACCAGAAGCTTCTTAGCGCGGAGTAACCGGAACCTCTAAGCGGGAGACTAACTGCCAATCCTTCTGGAAAATTCTGAATGCCAATGCCAATCGCAAGATTTCTTGAAGAAAAGAAGAAGATTATAAAACTTTATGGAAATGATTTACCATGGCAGAAATAATGGCCTTAGGCCGTTTTTGCGACATTTAAGTTTAGCAAATGTCAATTGCAATGGATCCAATGTCCTCTGATTTAGCCAACGAATGTAATAACAAGAGTAAAGGGTACAGCTTTTAAATAGTAGGGTTCGTGCATGCGTCGGTTTGTTTTGGCGATTATAGTACCATTGTTTTCATTTTTGAAATAGAAACGCAAAAGGCTGGCTCATGGTAACAAAAATGAGAGGATGAGATTACCTAGACTTTTCCAAGGTCTATTTTTATCCTATCTCTATGATTTTTATTAAATCCGTAAGACATTGGTACTACTGCGAAGGCAAATCCAAACTGCGAAGGAGACTTCTTCGCAGTTTTGTATTCTTCGCAGTAGTATGAATACCTTGCTTCTTTGATAAAAATAGACTTTGTGAAAGTCAAGAGACTACCAGGTCGAGAATACAAACAGGTATTTTTTAATACAAGCTCCCCAAATGAATTAGCCATCCACTTTGCAGCAAGACTTCAATAGTTGACTAGAAAGTTCACTAAACACAATCTCAAAGTCAACTTCAAAAACAATTTCAAAAATCATGACAATACCATAGCAGCAATAACACACCTTGCAGACTCCAGTGTGGAGAGCTTTGACTTACCAATACTTCCAAAACCAACACCGACAGCTAGTCCTTCTATAATCATAGAAATATCAAAATTTAAAATTCAGTATGTAAAATTGTTAAAAAGACAGGGTCAGATTTAGTTTGTGGGTAGGACCCAACTTAAAGGCATATGATTTAAAATACAACATTGCCAATTTTCAGATTTCAGAGACTAATGAGATTTTAAAACAGACATAATAGCAACATACATTGTATTGTATCACAGCCATAATTGTGGATGTTAAAAGGACCAAAGATAGAAATAAATGTTCTAAAACTATAACTCAGGTTGTATTGTTGGTAGAAGTAATATAATAAAATGTAAAAAAAAACAATTGCTTTTAGTGCCTTTAAGCATTCCCATCTACTCAAAAATTAAAATAGGCAATAAAAAGTAATTTATATAGATTGAAATTTGAAATAAAAGGGTCATTGTGAAAATCAGATTACTCCTCTGATGAAGTGTAAGAAAAGTGATTTTAAAGCTGGGATTGTGAAGAGTTTGAACTAGTTATCTTATCTATCATAAGATATTTAAAAAGCCTCTTAAGGATATAAAAAGCATCTCCTGAAAAGAGTGGAGCAAAAGTGCAAATATTTGATCAACATTTAACATCTAGCAAAAAGCAAAACTGACAAGGATCATATTAAAAAGACCATAAAGCGGAAATCTCCTGAAAGGGGAAATGGAAGGCCTGTGACTTCAAATCACTTTGTTTACAAAGGTCCTTTCTTGCAACCATTAATATATACATACATATACATCTGCCAGAATCTACTCACCAGGTATATTATGAACAGTTATTGCAACAATGAGCAGCAATATCCTCCTCCAGCTTCTCCTTTTTTCATCTGGTGTTATTTCGTCTGCGTAAGTGTCATCTGTTATTTGCTCATTCATTGAGCCCTCCTTGGGGTTTCTTTTCCTTGCATGCACAGTCGATTCTCCATCCTCAAATGGGGAAAAATCTTTTGCTTGTTCTATTATTATGCTTTCTGATACTAATTGATCATTTAACTGGCCATCCATACCATATAAGGAAGATTGTCCATCATTTTTAAATTCTTTATCTGATTTTTCCAAAGCCAAGGCTATGTTTGGTGACGATATACCCTATAAAGATAAAATTGAAGACAATCTTAAAATTTTGCCATTTAACAAAAAGAGCTAATGTTACAGTTGAGATGTGAAAATAAACAGGGTTGAAATGGCCAAAACTGAACAAAATATTGTGCAAAGTACAAACAGCTCCAATGCTGCATCTAAGGATATCTAACGGGATACTTAATTCAGTACCCTTAACCAGAATTGGAATATAGCTTGAACTGACAAAACCTATAAAGCATATTTAGGCAAAGATCTGTCCACATTTAGCACAGTTTTAATCCCACATCAGGCCATGCTGGGAATGGCGTGCGATCGCACGCCCACGCCTTGGCACACGCCTTCCGTTGCTCAGAAGTGCAGTTTATCGCACGCCTTAAATAATCTGAACACTTTATTCTAAAGTGACCAATATGGCCCAATGTAATTTTTTTATCATAATTCAACTATGAACGAAAGGTGATAATCACGCAATCGTTGCTATTTGATTTCTACTTGACGAAAAATTTGGCGAATATTCTAATTTGCTTAAAGTTATGGTAAATGTTTTCTGGATGAAGACATCCACTTCTCAATTTCTTCAGATTCTAGTAGCCGGACTTTCAAGGCACACTGTCACTTTCAAGGCACTGTCTAAAACTAACAGAAGTTTTGAAAGTGGCGAAAAACTCCTGTAAACGAAGGTTTCCATAATTTTTTTATCAAAGTTTTGAGTTGAGGTCTGAAGATCGCTCGACCTTTTAGGCCGATAATCCTTGCTTTGCAGTTGTGGTCGCTTGTCTCATTTGCAATAACTACAGTGGAATCACGATATAAGGAACCCCGGATATAACGAACTTCCCGGTATAACAAACTAAATGCCTGGTCCCTTGGATTCTGCGTAACAAACTCCTTACAAATTCTCTTGGTATAACAAACCCCGGATATAACGAACTCTCGTTATCACGAACCATTTTTAGGTCCCTTCATCATAATTACCCTTGATATAACGAACTTTCATAAATTTTCCATTTGTTATTTTTGTTTATTTATTTTCGGTGTTTATTAATCACTTTCTCTTGGAGAGAAATCATTTTTATAATCGGCAAAACATGCCGATGATACATTTCAAGTACTGGCTGATAGACTCAGACCACGAGATGAAAGTTTGATTGCGTCAGAAATTACTGCAAATGAGTACATTGACACTTCTGAATACCTTTTTACATATGAGACATTGGCAATGAGAGACGACAAAACTTTATTGAGAGACCCAGATGGAGAAGCAGAAAAAGACAAATAAGAATGTGAAGTAATTGAAGACATCATTCAGGCACCAACTAGGAGCGAAGTGATACCAGCTTTGCCAATCTCTTGGTCCCAAGTTATAAAAGGAACATTAAGATTTTCATTTTCAATGACCAGCCAGTTGTATTATTTGAATTCAGATTGGTTTTTTGAGTTAAATGGTACATGTATGGTTGTGCATGTGCACAGAGGTTGGAGATAGCCTAAACAAGCCCACCACAGGTTTTTTAGGCGTGAACTGCGAAAGGACCCCCAAAAAACGTTATCTCTCGGTTTAACAAACTCCCGATATACGAAATATTTTCTGGTTCCCTTCAGAGTTCGTTATATTGGGATTCCACTGTAGTTACAACCCCATGGCACATGTAAGGCTTTGTTTATTTAGACAGGCTTATTGATCTTTAAGCTTTAAATGATTTGAACCGGATTACACTGTGGTTTACGAGTGTATCTTGCAAGTGCGATCAGTAAAATCCCGTTTTATCAGGACTCACAATTCCTCTATATACAGTTTTCTTTCTGTGCATTTTTCTAATCTGTATGCAAATACAAAACATTTTAGAAACTTTTACTAATAAAATGTGGGCAAAAATGTTCCAAAATTAAGAGACTTTGAATTGTGAGGATTTAGCTACTGTAGCTTTCTTACAAAATATAAACGTGCAATTAACCATTTAATTCGTTCTAACATTAGTCAACAGATAAGTTTTCTTTATGGTGAAAACACAGTTAGAATTCTTAAATTTTGAGAACGAGATTGTCAGGAGAAGCAGACTAGAAGGGTTTATAAACTGCAGGATTACATAATAATTAACCTAACTTATTGTAAATGTTTTTCTCTTTAATATGTTGGGTTTGACGTTAATAAAGCTTGTTTGATAAAATGTATTGATTGGACTAGCCTTGCTTATGTTTTCTTATGATAAAGTTATGTAGTCTAGTCCTTATACAGCTGACTGTATTATTAAGTACTTTGGTGCAATAGCACACCATTGCACGCCTTGGCACCACAAGGAGTGCGATTCATTGCACCCCTGCCATTTTATTCCCAGCATGGCCTGCACATGCAGAAAAAATATTAATAAAATGAAGACTGGTATTCTTACCATAAATGTTAAAAATTGGTCTGAGCCATAAACAAACAAGGCACCAAGGAAAAACCCAATGCTAACTGGAACAAAAGAATATTTTCCATCAGTACCATAAGTATTTGAAGAAGATGCCATTTCAATCGCAGGAGCAAGTAAAGACCAGTATGAGGCTGCTGTCATGACCTACAAATTTTGAAAGATCAACCATGATTAATAGCTTGTCACACATACAATTAGAATCTTACTAGAAACATCTTAAGGTAATATTTTGGTTCAAATTAAACATACAAATTAGCACTTTACAATATATTTGAGATAGCACTTTAAAATATATTCAAAAAATCCCCTTGCATCACGGAGATAGCAGTGATAGCAGAGGTATTTTGAATAATTAAAAAACAGTGACTTTGGTCTTATTTGCATCAAAGAGTGATAGCATAACTTGGTCATTCAAAATCCAAGAGTTGGTGGATGCTTAATGTTGAATTTTTGATGAACAAGGTAATTGGATTATAAACACAATGCTGCCTAAAAATGTTTATCAAGCCCTCTAAAGTCTGTTTTATTTTGATTGGTTCATAAAACTGAACAAATTGGTGATTTTAGAACAGAAAACAAGTGAAAACAGTTGACAATTGAAGTCTACAACACTTGGTACTATTTATTACATTCTTAACTGATAGTTTGAAAAATTATAACAACATCTAACAACGTGCAGTTTCAAAAGGATTTAAATAGATGAAAACAGCCAAGCATGTACTATCTGTTAATGACAATATGGACAGTTAAACTCACCCCTGCAGCAAATCCTAGACTTCCATCAAGAACTTTTCTCTGAAAATAAAAGTTAGATAGTTGACAAAATATACTGACAAAACAAAAAATAATTAACACTTTCAGACTCAACTTTCAAAATATTATTTAAAAAAAATTAATTCACTAAGATAATTACTGCTTGTTAAATCGTCAAACAAAAAAATATTTTTGAAAGTTTTGAAATCAGTTACAAAAACAGAACCCAAATTGCAGCAGATTTTGATAATCTAGAATCAAACTGTGAAAGGGCTCTCCTCTTTTGTTCACTATAATTATTTAGTTCAAGGGAATACATATGCAATACACAAAAAATGTAAAAAGGGGGCAAAGCTTCCTGAGCTCTGACAAGAAAACTGATAAATCTTTTCATGTATTTAGTTTCAGTTTAGTTTCAGTTTCAACCCACATTTTAAAGTCTCAACATTCTAAGATCCAATTAGGATTAAACATCAGAAAGTAGCTTAGGATAAAACCAAGCAATAATTATAAATAAAAATTGAAAGTAGATAATAGACATAGATGTGTTGTGAATTACTGAATGGAGCAACTTGAAAATACACAATTAAAGGACAGAGCATCCCTTGTTCTACTGGATATCGATTTACTCAAATTAGCAGCGGAACTTTACACAATATCATGATCAATTCATCCTTAGCAGAACCCTTGTTCCTGCACAGAACTACAAGAGGTAAATGCAAGAGGTATTTAATTACAAGTGTGCTCAAAGGCCAGGGGAGAAGGACCTCAAAGTCAAGTAAGCAACAAGCTGTCAATGCCAAATCAACCACAACCCATGGAAGAAAATTAAAAGTGATGACAGATCTTTTGAAATCAACACAAAGAACAGGTGAAACTTCTGAAAAAAACATTTTGAGTTTCTGACAGAAGTAAAGAGTTGCCTTGGTTTAATTTAAGGATGTCACTCCATAATTTCAATAAATCATATTTTTCACATTGGCATTAGTTTCTGTCATAAAAGGTTATTCTTGAAAATTATTCATTTGCAATATGGTGTGAAAAATGCAGCCAATGCAATCATCAGCTATAAGTGAGATTTTACCTTGCTGGAAATGCTGCATGATACACTAAATTACTGAGGTCTGAAGCTTTCACACTAATGTGAATTTTTTGGGGAAATTCGAGTGCAGTTGAGTTCAAATGTGTTAAAAATAACTTAAAAACAAACTTCGATGATAAAGACAGATTTGACAATGAAACTTAATTAAAACGATAATTTTCTTACTTCCAACAAGAAGCAACAGGGACAGCATTTTACCATGGATTGCCGCATATTCTCAACTGCATGGCAAAACAGGTATCTCTAATATAGATAGGTTAGCTGCTAATCTATGATTTGGACACTAAAATCATTGAAGCAAATTTTTGTCATAAAGAAAATACTCTTTGAAACACTGATTCCAGGTACATCATAGAAAACGTTTTATATTCTTTATAGTCAGACTCCGAACTCAACATACTGACATATTGAAAAACGTCTTCTTTCACTACAATTCACGGAAATGTGCACAGCAAGATAAAAAAGTTCATTTAGAATTTGTTCATACCTGGCCACTGTTGAAAACAAACACGAGGGCGGCTCCAGCAGCAGTCAACCCCCATGTGAAAAGTGTTCCAAGAAATGCTTGAAATACTGGGTTAGCGTCGGCAATCATTCTGCTTACTGCCAATATTTGACGTGTCCGATACGATCAAAGTAAACAAGGCCAATCTACTATGTAGGGCCTATTGTCAAGCTGGACGGATGAACCAGGAAGATTCTTAGATTGTACTATGACCAGATTTTTTCCTTTTGAGGTCTTTGTATCTAAAATGAAGGTCAAGACCCGGAGGTGTACTAATCTTCGTCGAATGGACACGATCTTAAAGTTTTCAGCATGATATATGAACCTGCATTGTTCCCGCTTCTTTTCGTAGGACAACATGGACACGTCGCTGGGTTGTTGCTGTTGTATGAAACCATCTCTTGCTTGTGAAGAAACCTTGTGTTTAGTTTATCAGCATCACCAAAATTATTTTATCTGGATATCAGGTAATGATAAGTATAAATGTATTTCAATTGAAAACAAAAGAATTTATAGAAAAAGTTAGAGGGATGAGTTAGGAGATGAATTGATTAAAATTATTATCATTATGACTAAGTTTTAGTTGGGTTCCAAAAAGGTGCTAGCAGAAGCGCAGCCCCCATCCCCGAGTCTAACTGTGGGAACATTTAGGGGGTATTACTGTATTCAGGCGAGAAATCCTAAGATGACGTTTGAAAATTTATTTTGCTTGCTTGTCAAATTTAATTTATGTATCAAATCTTTGAAATCAATATAAGATTAAAATTTCCCAAAAGATTCAAATATATGATATAACTTTATCATTTCAAGACTCTGAGTGCACATACAATAGTCCCTCTACAGAAACTGCAAACTGCTTACTCCTGTGCTAAGACAGGGGAACGTTCATTGTTGGATTTATTTTGAAGTATTTCCCATGCGTCATATAAAACAGTATTTATGAGAATCCTACCACAAGACCCCAGATATTGATGTCTTCTAAAATGCTTGATGATTCGGCTGATTCGAGAAAAGAATCCTTAGTTAGCTTTAAAACATTGCTTCGAATAACTTAAAATCCGTTTTTGTTTGTACACGAATAGTTTGCGATGGATATACACAGTGCTAAGCTTTTAAGCAATTTGATGGGGGTTAATAAAAATGACAGGTTTCAGACTGAATGAACTAAAATCAGTAACAACAACACGATAAAGATTGATTCATTTCTCAACTATAATTTACTCTAAGTTAAGACAAAATTCTACGTCCTACTTGTAAAAAGCACATTTAAGAATTATCATCTATTTCCCATCAACACAACATTTGTTCCAGTTTGCGTAAGGAAGCATTCTAAAAATTGAAACTATATGAAAATGAACGAGACTACTTGAATTTAATACAAACTTATAAATTAAACTATAAATAATCTAGCTGGAATTGATTTACAAACGATGGGAAAAATAAATTGAAAGGATGCACTTTGTTGGATTTTTAACTGAATTTGTAAACAGAGAGAATTTACAACATTTGAATTAAATTCATTATTAAAAACGAAAAACAACAGAATTATCAGTTTGTTGGAAACTAGTAGCTAAATTAAATGAATATACCATTAGGATTAAGTGAGGGTACTTCTTCGATAAATGGTAAACGTTTGGTAACTGAGGTTTACTTTTAGGCCATTGTTGGAATCTCAGCTCCGTCTGAAGTGTTTCACTCTAAGTCACATTATAGTTTAGAAATGCATTCATCTAGTCATAAGGCACTACTGACTAAAGTTGAGATTCCAATAATGGGGATAAATCCCTCATGCTTCTGTTTTTTTCAATACAGCCAAGTGTACACAGGGTAGATGTGTTTGAAGAAGATGAACCTAACATAATCCTACTTTGCAAACCATAACCAGATCATAAAAACTCATTATAATTTGTCATAATCTTTCCCTTAGTTAAACCAATGCCTACTGAACTATCCTGTCTCTAAATAAATAGAAATGATACTCTGAATTTATTGCCTCGAGTCAGTGTTGGGTCTCACATAGGCATTCTGTCGACAATGGTAACAAACTGGTCGCTTAACCTCCTTGATGGATACTTCAGCAAATCTCGTTCCGAAGCGGGCCTCCAGTTCAGTAGACTTCTTGAGCATCATTTGTGATTGATGCTTCCTGCGTTAGAATAGATCATAACTGTTACAGTAAAATCTCCACAGCACTATCTTCTTGCGAAATTTTAGGCCATCTATTTCTTACATGGGTACAAAGAACAGCAAGCAACCTATTCGTAACAGAAACCCATTTGTAAATCGCACCAAACACTCTCCTAAGCTATTTTTTATCAACAATTTTCGCTCACATGTTGGTCGTTATTCGATGTTCAATACTCGGAGGATTGTCGTATTAGAAAATTACTGTCATCTGGAAAACATCAGACGGAAAATACTTCAGTAATTTTGCCGCCTCTCAGTGTAGCTTAAAGCTACAAAGTAACAAGATTTCTAAGAATGAAAATTAATTTACCTGTGTGGAAATCTCGGGAAATAACTCAACAACCAGTTCATCAAGAAGAGTATAAACCAACTGAAAGAAACGAATTGATTTAATAAAACTTGTTGTTTGGGTTCCTTCAAAGGGGATTTCCAGGCTTGAACGTAAGACAGAAAAAACGCGGATGAAATTATTGAAAGGTGGATCAAGAATAATTTAGCTAGATTAAGGAATAATCAGCTGGAGATTAAGACCTACAAAAAAGGCAAGAACAAATTGTAGAATATTTCAGGAACAGGGACGAATGCCAATGAACATGCAGCCAAAAACGAGAAAATCTTGGTTTCTGTATGATCTTGTACAACTATCCTCTTCTAAAAAAATCAACCTGAGTTACATGCACAAAAGAGTAGTTTCCTGACGATCGAAGTATGAAACTTGGATTTCCATCTTGGAGAACCGTCCTGCTCCATACATCTGCTAGAGATTTTATTTATAAAGAAGTGATGTAGACTAGGGTTTGCCTGCTTTGCTTGATTAAAAAGGAAGTTTTTTGTTTATTTATTTAGAACAGGTATAAATGAAAGGATGCCTTGGGTGAACGTCAAATAATTAAGTTCAAAAGGTGTATGTGTTATGGGGTATGTCTTCTATAAAGTAAAGAGGATGCCACAGAATTGGTTTTGACATAAAGGGGAGCTCACCTGCTTATTTAGTTTCGGATGCTGAAAAACTTCAAAGATCAACCTAATGCCATATTCATGAGTATCATTACCAATTATCTTCTTAACAATATCTAGAATGTAGATCCAGAACAAATGTATAAAGAATGTTATGTCTTAAATAGCCGAGCATATCGGTCAGAAATATAAGAGTATGGATGCCGGGGTATTTCAGTATCAGTATTCAGTATAACATCTCTTAGGACATTCTTTGCAACAACTACGGTTTATCATGAAGTTACAAGTTATATCAGCAAATTGCTTCGTGTAAAAATTATAGAAATATCGAGAATTTCGAAAAACAGGTAATTAGTGTTAGCATTATGTCTATGTTGTTTTCCTTTTGTTATTTTCTTTTCCTTGATTGAAAAATTAAACAAAAAATCATACATTAAACCAGCCATTTTGACTGAGAAAACGAAATATTGTTTCAAGGAAACAGAAAAAAAAGAAAATAATTTTAGCGGATAGGTATGAAATAGTCATACGAATTTTCTTACCAGGTAAAAATTTCATCATCTTCTCAAAAGTTTCGTCCCTCCGAGCAACTTTCTCGCTGTCTGTTCTTGGAGGATCATTGTCGAAGAAAACAACATCTTGGAGAAAAAGGATAGTCTTATATCAATACAAGGGAAAGCTTCAAACGGGTTTTTAAGGCAATAAATAACAGGCTGTGCTTTGTAAAAGGAAAAGCTGCAAGAAGTGCCTGAAGGAAGGGTTGAGTAATCTTGCCTATAATCGAATGCTTAGCCCCTAAAGCAGACAGTTATTACATTGATAAAAAAAATCCACAATTTTATGTTATTATAAATACATGTATAAATATATGCTATTTCGCTAGTTTTTGAAGTATGAAAAAAATTAAATTTCTAAACATTCCCTGTTTTCTTTGATAACTGTTTTTAAAATGACCAATTCAGTTTCATTAGCAATTGAGGATAAAAAATTCAAGGGCTGTCTTTAAAAATTCAAGTAAAAATGAAGCATTGCTCTAATAATGATACAAGGAAGCAGACAATCATCATACTATTTCCACTTTTTAATTTGGGCGTATTTGTATCTCGAGTGGTTGTTAAAAATACTCTTTGGGTATTACAGAGGAGGGGGGGGGGGGGCTGAAAAACTGTGAAGAATTTTGTAGGTGTTTTAACAATGGCTGCATGAATCCCCTACAACATATTTCTCAGATTCAAATTCTTAAGCCCCGGCAAAACGACAGGTCATTTGCTCACTTGTTCGGAGTATGTAGACAAGAAAATATTGGTGGTGGCAAAACGACTGAACATTGTCCAGTAAACTTTTTCCCTGTTGAAGAATGCGTGCGGGAAAACTGGCAACAGGGCGTCTCTTTACCTTTGAAAATACACTTTTCATAGCCCTAACCGCATCATCGTATGTATGCATCATCGCATCATCGTATCGAAAATTGGTTAGGACTGCTAGGTTCATCACAATCACCGTACTCCCGCTCTCTGCCATGGCTTTCATTATCGGAACTAAAGCTTATATCTTCAGAAAACTCGTCGTTACTAATGAAATGCCTTTTCTGCTTTTCGTCGAATTAAATGTTAATGTTGATTCCATTTCTTTGCGGGGTTTACTAGGATTGTTTGTCGAAGATCTGAATATGGGAAATAAATTGACGCTAAATCCAATCCTTCACATCAATTGCGCATGCGCGAACTGGGCAACGTTCAGTAGAGTGGCAAAACGACTGAACATTTCTCTACAACATCTATGAACAAAAAGAAATTTAAACCTGTCCAATGAACATTTTTGACAGCCTTCAAAATCGAATGAACAACACTCAACATCGCTGAACAAGACTGGACGAGGTGGCAAAACGATGCAATTTTCTACGCTGGATATTTGTCCAGTGCATGTTCAGTGAAAATGTCCAGTCGTTTTGCCGGGGCTTTAATCCATGTTGTATACAAATTGAAAGCGCACGCAGGTGGTGATTGTTAATTTGAATGCCATGCGGACTATGGGCGGCTTGTATTTTCAACCATCTATCAAACACATCTAGCAAACTTTGAAAGCCTTTGGCAAGAAAAAGACTTGACATTTTACACCTAGCTTGGAATTTTGAATAGAACTTAAGCTACATAGCGGAGATCACTAGCTACGTTGTCAATTTAATTATAGAAAACAGAAGTTTGCTAGAAAGTTGGTAAGCGAGATATACCTCGTAATAAATGAGTTAAGTCTACAATTTGATCTTCTTGGGTCGCCAGTGCAAATTTGTAGGAGACAAATCTGAAAGGTTAGAAAATTATCACATTTAAGTTACAGAAATAAATAAATTTCAAGAAGCAAAAAGAATAATTAGGAGACCAATAGCTAAGCTTGCTAAACATGGAGATTGGCAAATAAGCATGGAGTTAAGATGAAGTTGAGTTGTTACTTATAATGAAAACAGCCTTACATGAGCATTTCAAAAATGCGACAAACTTCCTCTTCTAGAATTCAAATCAGTTTGTTACCAAATAGTTTTCTTACACAATCGTTTATACCAAATACAATCGTTTGTCAAAATACAGATAATGTAGATTATAAGCATATCGAGCCAATTTAAGACATCTTCAAACCAAGACAAAGGTTGACTGAAGAGCTAAGTATAGGTTTAAATATCTCTGAACTTAAATGTAATTGAAATCAGCAAAGATCTGCAAACTCACCGTTCAATAAAATAATCTAAGGTATTTTTTGCGAGAAATCTAACAAATATTAAAACATGGTGCAAGAACGGAGAAACCTTCAGCAATGAACGGGCTGAAAATGAAAAAAAATATTATTACAATCTGTCTAAGAAAAGTGTAAAACAACTATTTGCAGGGTTCTACCATGAAAATTTAAAAAATTACAAATACTGAAAAAGATTTCTCTCAACGATAACAGTTAAGAAGGAACTCAAAAGTAAACCTTTAGATAGGCAATTTCAAAAAAATATACTCAACTTATATAATATATTTAACTAGACAGTGAAATACAGAAACAATACATGAATTTAGCCTTTGACTGAAGGATAAACTGCAGAAAAATATCACTTAAAGGAATTTGTACAAAAGGGAAGGAAATGTGTTTCACTTCACTTATATATATATATCTACTTTGATATTTTTATCAAAATTAATTTGCATTTGTAGGAAGGCATATTCGAAGAGGTTGCAAAATAATATGCTGAAATTAAGAAAAGATATGGTCCACTCAGTATATGACTAAAGAATAATATCTAACCTGAATAAATTATGTAATCAGTAATTGTCATTTCATTTGAAAGATTCTTCGTCGTATTCTCTAAACAAAATATGACATAGTATTAGGCACATTGTGATATATAATATGATTAATAAAATATGATATTTAGAAACAAAACACAACGTGATATAATATAATAAAATATGATATAATATAATAAAATATGATATAAATAATATAATAAATATAATATAATATAAATATATATAATATATATATAATATAATATATAAATATAATAAATAATAATAAATATAATATAATATAAATTTAATATAATATTATTAATATAATATAATATAAAAAATAAATATAATAATAAAATATAATAAATAAATAAAATATAATATAAATAAATAATATAATAAATTAAATATAATATATAATAAAAAATAAATATAATATAATATATATAATATACAATTCAAGATATAAATATACAACAATTGTTTTAATAACAAATTTACCAATGGCAATCTGAGAATGAAAAGTAGACAACGTTAAGAAGGGGCGCTGATCCTTAACAATTAAACATAATTAACAAACCCATTCGAGTCGAAAAAAATTCTTTTTAAATAAAGTTCTTAAACGAAATTCATTTCATGTCACAAAGTACTAAATTAGATGTAATTAATTAAGAGTCCCAAATATCGGAGAGAAAATGGTGAGAACTATAAAACAATACGATTAATTTGTACCCATGAGCTTAAAAAACATTATTGTTTGGTAAGGGTTGCTTTTTTGGAGTAGCGGTTAACAGCGCAGTTCACTCTAAAGAAAAAGGGAGCTTTCGTATGGATGTCCAAAAGCAATAGCATGCAGTAAAAATTGATCACCTGTTGTAACAACAATTGAGGGTAGAACCTCCAAAATATCCCTAGTACTAATTCCCACGAGCTGTCAAAGTAACTCCCAAAATGTTTTAACAGTTCACAGGAATAAGATGAAGAGAAATCAATCAGGAAAGGTGGTCAGAGGAAAGATAGGATTGTCATCTGACCAACAAGTAGCTTCCGTTGCTACTTACTTCTGAGATAAATTCTAGTGGGAATTCTTCTAAACGACATGATAACGTGAATTCACATGGGCATAGCAGGCTACCGCAAATCCTCGAATGAGCATCCCCTTTGAAAGAGCACCCCAAAACAGTCGAAACTTTAATGACCTCCCCCTTGAATGAACTTGAAAGTTAGAATAAAAAACTCACCAAGGTCTGGATGGTAAATAAAGCTAAAAAATAAAAAGAAGGCAAATATTTCAACTGTTTGATAGCAAACTCAAAAACACAAATTCTTTTGTTTGGGTAAGGTCGATGATATTTAATCTGCACCGTTGATTATGCTCCTTTATTTCCACATGATTTCAATAGAGTTGTTATAGATTCAAAAATTGTTATTGTTCGACAAATTACCTAGATCTTTATGCCAATAAGCCGGGTCTCTTTGTTATCAAGACAACCGTAAGCCGTTAAAAAGACGCAACTCATAGTTAAGATCCTTAAGACCCTATTTGAAACATGCAAAATAATACACTTTGATACGAATCGCCTAAACATGAAACTTGGATTAACAGCCAAATTGCCTCATATTTTATACAATAAATCCTATCTGCTATATTTGTTCCTTGTGAGATTGCGCAATCAGTATGTTCTTTCATCGTCTAGACAACATTGAAAACTGTACAATCAGGCGTTTGTAGCATTCAGAAATGCTAGTACTTGTGACGAGCACCCCAATATTAAATTTAAAGCTTTATCCATTTTGATGATTTATTTCTGTGTTATTACTTCAAAAATTTTGTAAGTGCCAACAACTTTGGACCCAGCGCAATCAAGCCTCTGACTGGATATCATCTCTAAATTGTTCTCCCATGAAACAGAAGTGCAATCCAAGTTCGACTGGCACCACTTCAATAACTGCTGAACACAGGTTTAGTAATCCAACTAAACAATATGCGACTAGCTTCAGTAGGGGGTTGAAACCTATATGTCTCCACTTACAGGGTAAATCCTATTGCTACCTGGCTACCAAAAATGCTACCTGGCTGCTAAAAACTTAACTGCTAGAATCAGTTTTGCGTAAATTTAATGCCTACCTTACTATTCTTTCTTTGTTTAGTGGGTCGCTGTATCTTTTCATTTTGTGGCCTAGAATAATATCAATTAATTTAAAAGGCAACTTTAAATAACGCATCCTTCAATTTAAATTCAACAAAAAGCTACTTTCTAGAAATACATTTAATATCTATTAGACAATATGAATTATAAAAGTATAAAAGTACAGACATTTCAAGTTTTATCTATTATCGGCAGATACAAACATCTGCTTCAAAGAGTTGAAATTTTCTTTAGTAAAATGTTTCTTCTTTGACTTTCCAAAAAGATTCAATATAATATTTAAGAGGAGACTTTTCACATCTTGACAATCAAATCTAAATCGCAACTTTTTATGCACCCTTTTCCAATCATACAAGGCACAGTTAAAAAGCACATGTAAGTTATCATAAATTACTTTTGACAATAACTATCAAAATCGGTTATTGCTATAACTTTCAATCATGGTAAGTAGATGAATCGATCTTTCCGCTTACTTTGGAGGGATCTTCTTTTTTGGTGGTTCAGCCGAAGCAAGGAAAGCTTGTAGAAACTCGTCAAGGTTCTGACCTCTCTAAAAACAAAATTAAGACTGGTTAACTTGAGCTAAAAACGTTGAACATGCAAACGTTTCCTACAAAAAAATCAGCGCTAGTAGAACCAGTAGTTTGACAGAGAATCTGATGGACTGATTTCATAGGAAGGCATATTCTAAAATAAAAGTACGTAGAGGGTGTGTAACAGGGTTTTGCACTTCAGTAATCATCTTTTGTCTTGTATTCATTTGTACCTCGTTTAGTATTATGTAAATCATGTAATTAACCTACTGTGCGCCGTTAGTATATATATCACTAGATTTTGGATTTGGAAATGCACGATTACAAGGATGTAAGCACACTATAAGATCTCGTTTCTTTTGACTCATGAAATCTCTCGCATAAGTCTGCGCAACACAGCGTAAAACCTGTACAGGGGGGGGGGGGGGGGGGGGGGGGGGGGGGGTAAAAAGAAGAGCAAAAAATCGAATCCCTTCTTTCTATTTCAAATAATGATGGACAGATGGATAGAGAAAAAATTGTACTTTGAACGATAGACGTACCTCTATGACAAGTTTGCTTTTTATTGACTGTATTTTTCGTCCTGTTAGCAGAATAAAAAACAAAAATAAACAATATATTGAACAAGGATTGAATCAATTAGCATAGAGTTGAGTACAGTTGATAACTGCATAGAAGAGTAAGTCGAGTGTGGCTATAAACAAACGTGGAGTTATCAAAGAGCTGAAAATTATTGGGATGCAAGAGGTCCGGTTTCTGTATAACTGCCGTTGTAATTAAAATGATTGTTAACCGGTTTGTCATAAAGTACTCGATACCGTATAGGCAGACCTGTACACGCTTGGTTAGGCAGCTGTTTATGTAGACATCCGACAAAAACTACCAACAAAGAAAATACTGCTAATATTCCTAAGAAAATCGTTGGTCAGCTGAGGCTTAAGAAACTCTCATTCTAAGATTGTCTTAGAACATTGCAAATATGCTTGCAGTTCGTGCTCACTTACCGGCTTCTCGCCCCATACTTTCCGGCTCGAACATTCCAGTTAGTTCCGAGCCGGGTGAAAGAAATATGTGTAGCAAACCGCTTCCACGAAGAACCGGGTTTCGAACCAGACTCTAAAATAACAAACAACAGTACCTAATATTGAAAAAATTTACAAAGAAATTTGCTAAGAGCAAGGTCATCTAAGATTTGAGTTGCCAGAAGAATCCCTACTCTTTGCTGATCTAATGAAATAAGACAAAATATTTTACGGGAAACTTATTGGAAGCTCCAGGATCAAAATATGAAAAAAACTAATTTTTTTGAAAAACTGTTCCTTGACGATTCAGCAGACATATTATATTTTAGATTAAATCGCAGAAAGTAATTGATCTAATCATAAAGAGACATGACATGACAAAAACAGTTCTTTTTGGAAGGCACCCACTGTCATAGTGTGAGGTTCTAACATGACCACGGTTCAACAGCTGAGTCCGGTAGTAATTCTGACCTAAAATTCGGATCATCTAAAAACCCGGTTTCCTGGCATATCTAATACACCTTTGACATATGTTATTTTCAAGCATCAAAAAACATCCTTTAGGACGATACTGTATGAATTATGATAGAGAAGGCAATCTCGTTAATGTTTTAAATTATTCTATTTTATACAAGTAAAACTTATTTTACTTTGACTGTGTTTTGCTTTCATTACATACCTGTAAATATTCTTGAAAGGGCAGGCGACATGTGGCTAAGAAATCAAGGTCTTTTTTCAGAATCGTTCGTTTTCCAGGAAGTTCAGCACGATGAAGAGTACCTAAAGAAAAAACATAAAATATAAAACGAAAACGTATAAATCGTTTAAACAATTTGAAATCGACTGTGAATATACTAAATTGTGCACGTAAAATGAGCTTTAAGACACAAACGATTAAATTGCATGACTAAGAATGTCAAAAGCGATAGACAATCAAGTTAAAACTAAAACATATTTCATCTTGTCAAAAAAAAATGAAAATTTGGGTCATTCAAGCAAAAGTATCTTAAAACCCTGAAGCATACAGTGAAAATCGTCTTAGTCTTCACTTTGACCATAAGCCTGCGCAATAGAAATATTGTTTAGGCAAGACAGTGATACTTTTGATTCTTTCATTCATAAAGTAGTAAGCTTATCGAACAGCATATCATTTACCAATCTTTTACCATTATTGAGTCAAACTCATCTTCTACTGAGTCTCATCCACTATTGAGTCAACCTTATGCATTCGCCGTCAGTAAATTTGCCGGAATCTACGTGTAATGGCGAGTCTTGAATTTAAACTAGAACCTAGTAGTTCCAGAAAACACACGCCAATGCTTGCAAAAGGCCATGGTCGCCAGTATTCTAAAGCTTTAGGATATACATTAGTTTAAACATCTAAAAATCTATGTTTTCCTGCTGTTGGGAAATTCATTTTCGAGAAACGGGAGCCCCTCAGACTTGATCTTGGCAAAAAATTCCAATTTCATGTTAGTGTATCTCCTGTTGAATTACAGAAACTCATATTCTGAATTGGCAAGATGGGCCACATGTTGAATTATTCAGTTCCTTGAGTTTTCGATCAGGACGAGTAGAGACCATAGAATTAAAAAATTGAGAGAGAGAAGTCTTCCAAAAGCTTATAGAAACAGTACCGTTATAGGCATCTTTTTGGAGCGGGCAAAAGGGGCATGGAGGGGCCCAAGGACAAAAAGATGGGTAATTTGCCATCTACATGATATGCTGCCAGTGCACACGTGATATGACTCTTCAGTGCACGTGATAGTCAACAAAAGTTCAGTTGATATCCAGAAAATGTTTAAATGAAAATTCTAAACTTTTAAATGAAAGACAATTCAATATCTGCAATACAGATAATAACTTGCATGAATTTCCCCTTGATCTGTGAATGATCTGCGAACTACACTCTTTTTTTTAATAAGAAAAATTTTATAAGAACACGAGCCTCAAAACTGGTCAAAAGTTAAGAGCAAATTAAGAACAAGCTGAGGCTGAGCTTCTGCAAAATGCAACTTTGAGCAACGTTTTTTCTCAAAATCGAGGATTTTTAGCGAAGTGTGCTTTTTCGGTGAAAATTCAAATTTGTCAGCAAATTAAGGCTGTCTCACTCAATCTGTTGGCAAATGAGGCCTGAACATCTCCTTAGAGCGAAAAAGCTAGCAATTGAGAACGAGCGAAAAAATTAAGAACAGCCAGCCTGAACTTAAATTTACTGGTTCTTATAAAAAAAATGTAAATGCGATTTAGGGAGTCTCATTGTGAAGGAAAGGGTAATTACAATTTAAATTATTTTCGGGGACATTGGCATGTCTTTTACGTTTCCGGCTTCGTTGAAAGGAGTTGGCCCATTTAACTGACAACGACGGTTCACATGATATTGTGCCTCGTTGCATTTAAAGATGTTTAATGACGTAATTAGGAAAACAAACATTATTTACAGTTAAACAAACACTACTATTCGTAGCCACCGATAGCTCAGTTGGTAGAGCGGAGGACTGTAGAAGAAATGTAGAAATCCTTAGGTCGCTGGTTCGAATCCGGCTCGGTGGACTCCATTTTGTTTTCTTCGTCAACCAGTCGCAAGGCGAGAAGCTCCTGCGCAGTGGCATGAAATCAACCGGGTAGCGAGGGCTGGTCGAAATATTTTATAATGGATGGACTTTTTTATCCATCCTGTTCTAGTTGGATTAAAGAATATTATACCAATATATTGAAATTTGTGAATAATTCTATTTTGCATCCAAAATTAGTGGTATAAGGTTCATTTGCAAAAGGATTTTACAGACAATCTGGTCGACAAGGTTAAGTTTATCTGCAAGCTAGGAACTCTCCTCTACAAAGTTGGACAATACCGTAAAAATCTATTTTGTTGGAGAAAATAGATTTCTCATACCAGCGCTAACCAAGGGACAAGTGGCATTCACTATTTTACATTAACTTATGTGATCTTTTCTTGGCAACATTTTCAGTCTTGTTTTTAAAACCTGCCTCACACATGTAAAGGAAATCAGATAAAGATACAAAAATACGATGATAATTACCATGAAATCGACGTAGTTTGCTATCCAGCACAAAAAATTCGTTGTATTTCCTGGAAAAGAAATCAGAAGATTTTCAAGAACTTCTTGACAGCGGAAAAAACTTAAAAAATCTTGTTAAAACTACAATTACAAATCTCACTATTACAAGGTAATTTGTAACTGGCTAGCCTGTGATTACAAAATAAAAACTATTACATCGTAGTAATGAGAAAAAAAAATGTTAAAAGGGGTGTAGCTCTGGATTAGTCCAAGTTTTGTTTCTACAGCAGAATATATAGTATGTGGTGCGAATGGAGATGCTTGTAAGTTTGGAGATGAGGTAGCGTTTCTGTTGATGATCAGTGGACAAAGAGTCACACATGTCGATGAATGAGCTGCAGGAGTCGCCAAAAATACCAAGTGAACTGATGGAAAGATTGACAAACGAGACTGACTTAAACTGACGTTTTAAGTCAGATACGAGGGTGGCATATTTCTCTGACTTTCTGACAGCATTGCAGTTGAGATTTGTTTCAAAGCCTATGGTTAGCTCTAAAACGTACAGACAGTTTTAGAGTATAATGGAAACATTTCATTTTCAATTCAACTTAAACTACAACTACAAATCTCACTATTACAAGGTAATTTGCAATTGGCTAGCCTGGTTTTACAAGAAAAAACTATAACAATCATAAGGTAAAAGGAAAAACTGAGAAAAATAAAATAAAAAAAAACTAAAGTTAAAAAGGATGTAATTCCGGATTTGTCCATGGCTTATTTTTGCAACAAAATATGTAGTACGTAGTACGGATGGCAATGTTGGAAAGTTTAGAAATGAGATACTGTTTTTGTTGCTGATCGATGGAGAGAGAGTCACACATTTTGAAGAATGAATTGCAGAAATTGCCGAAGATGCCAAGAGAGCTCATAGAAAGATTAGCAAAGGAGACACATTTGAACTGCCGCTGTAAACCAGATAAGAGAGGAGCATACTTGCTGTGTTTTCTTGTAGCATTTGTCTCAAGATTGGATTCGAAGCCAACAGTTAGCTCTAAAATGTAGAGGTAATTGTTGTTAGTCCTCAAGAGAAGATCAGGGCGAAGGTTTTCTCCAGTTATGATTGATGGTGAAAGAAAGCCAGGTATATCAGCGTAGATGGTAGATTCATTGACAGCTTTTAGTGACGTAGCTAGAAAGTTTAAGAAAAGAGTTATGTCGCCAGGTGTATCGGCCTTGTTCCAGATATGTTTTGCAGCCAGCAACAACATGAAGGAGTGTTTCTGGCAGAAAACAGAAAGAACAGTCAGAGGTCTGGCTCAAGTTCCATTTTTTCAGGTTTTTCTGTGTGGCAAGGGTATTGTTCAGGTACCTTATGGTGAAATTGAAAATATTCTGAGGCATGCTACTTTGCACCTTGGACCAAAGTTTGTTTATTTGTGGAAGATTCTGGTTAAAGAGATGTGATAATAAAGATCCTTGGGAGGTTAGGATGTTTTGCAGACGATCTTTATGCTCATGCTTGACAGCCTTTAATGCTTCTTTGGTGTTCCTATATATATCATATTGTATAGTTGTGCCACTGCTGGTATTTTTCCATAAAGAGCGAATGTTATCGTTTGTTGAAGATTTCAATGCGTTTCGTAAAACTGTTTGACACTGTAGGAATTTGGTGGATGGTAAAGTTAGGCTGAGTCCAAACTGGTTTTTAGAAAGAATAATGCTACTCAAGGTAGCACTTATTGGGAGGTCGAGCCACTGGCGGATGTATTTGGATACAAGGTTGTCAAGATTCTCGACAACCCACGTCTTTGAAAGATCTGCTACAGTAAGGTTCCAGGAAATTTTAGAAAGAACGAAGTTGTGATAAAGACGTAGCTTATTTTTTGCATGAAGAGGCTGGGAATCGATTTGTTTAAGCATGTTTGACAGTGATGATAAAAGGTCAGATTTATGTTCTTGGTTTGTCATTTCAAAGTCAAAATGACGACCGAGGTACTTGAAAGAGTTTCCATTCGAGACAGATGGGATAGGTTTGTTGTTTTTGAAAAGCTTAGGTTGATACTGAAGAGAACGTGTGGAAAATTTCTTTATTCCAAAAGTGATGCATTTATCGACACGTATGATCATGTTAGCCCATTGGCACCAGCGAGTGAAACAATTCAGTAGAAGTTGGTTTTCTTTCTCATTGCTGGTGATAACGGCAGCATCGTCTGCGAATTGAAACCAATGGACTGGTTGAAACATACGGTCGTTCTGATCAGGTAGGGAAAACCCTAACTGTTTGTATTTCTCAGCTTTTATGTACTGTATGAATGTGTTGAAGCATAGATTAAATAGTAGGGGACTGAGGCAGTCGCCTTGAAGCACACCACGACGGACTGGAATAGCAGGAGTATTATAGTGGCTTGTGATGATAGAGGTTTTAAAATCGGTGTAAAGGCTAGAGATAAGAAGCTGTATGTTGTCAGGGATATGATGATAAGACAGTATAGTGGGTATCAAATTATGATGTACTTCGCCAAAGGCATTTTTGAGATCAAGAAGAGTGACAACCAGCGAGCGCTGTTTTGTACGTGCTTTGTCGATAATGTGAGCCATCATTGAAGTATGTTCAAGAGTGCCAGAGATGTTAGACGTGAAGCCTTTTTGAATTTGATGTTCAATATGGCCATTTATTTTAAGAAAATCAAACATGAAGTCACACAAGCAAGAAGTAAATATTTTTAGTGGTACTGACTCAAGTGTTATGGGCCTGAAATTAGATGGATCTTCCACGCTATCCTTTTTGTGGATTAAGATAGTGCATGCCTTTTTCCATTCATTTGGAATATCTCCGGAAAGCCATATAACACGGAAAATTTCAGTAAGTTTACTACGTAGATAAGGACAATGTTTGAAGACAATGATAGAGATCTTATCCAAGGGGCAAGGAGAAGCAGAAGACTTCATTCGGCGAATTATTGTTGTAATTTTCTGATATGAAGGAGGCTCTGACGGAAAAGGGTGATCAGGCTCTTGAAAAGTGGGTATCCAAGATGGTATTGAAAAACATTGCGTAGGTGAAAGAGAGGAAAGAGCTTTTAGAAAGTACTGAGTGCATATATCATTAGGAAATGTTGGGAGAATGGATGAACTGGTCTTGAGGATGCGCTTAACGTAACCCCAGAAATTTTTTGAGATGAACTTATCATGATCAGCAATATGAGTAGTGTTAGAAATCATAGAACGGCCGTTGATCTTGTGACGCAATAGATGAGAGACGTATTTAATTTCTAAAAGAGTAGCATTGTTCATCTTCAGCAATTTTAAGTCCTTTTTAAGTTCCTTGGCTTTTCGATCTTGATATTTCGCGACCAGATCGTTGGAAATAATGTCGATGGTACCACAAGTTTCTTTAAAATAGTTATAAATTGAGTTATTCATTGAGGTTATTGCTTCGTTGATGGTGCACGGTTCCAATGGGAGATTTGATAAAGTAGATTTGAAATATTCGTTTGCAATGGACCATTCGTTTTTCGAATTTGGGAGACGAACACCGGGTTTAATTTCGAAAAATACATCCAAATTGACGTCATCTAGAAACCCAATGCTGCTAGTGGCTTCGTTGCTTTGAACTTCACAAACCAGGTCTTCAGAGGTATCAGGGTTTCCTATTCCGCTAATGACGCGACACCTTCTTTGATGCATCTTTAAACCTTTTGTTCCTTTACAAATTTTCCCACAACAGCATTTGATCCGATTGTCTTGCATAACAATGTCCTCATTTGTTTCCACGGAAATTAGAGGAATGTTGATAGATCCGTTGGGGCCATTTTGGTGGTTGACGTCAAGCTTCCGTTTACATCTCCAAGAATGGCGGCCTAACGTTTTGAAATCTTGACCACAGAAAGAACAAACCACAAATATTGCAACAATCCAAAGCCAATGCGAACGAATCATTTCTAAAAAAAACTCCTTGTCGTTTCAATAGTCGATTTTACTATAATATGCGAATACAAAGTAACCAGGCTATAATGATATTTGCTTTTAAACGAGAGCCGTGTACGGTAGCTCCGAACGCCACCGCTCAACGACAACAATAATAATAATAATAATAATAATGATAATAGAAATATTTATACAGGGTAAAACCTTTTTAGTGCCAAAGGCACTGTTATCAATAAGACCCCTGTTCTAAATAAAAGTATTTACATGGTTAAAAATGAAAAGTGATTATACGTTAAAAATAAAAGTTCAAAATGAAAGTAAAAAAGGGTAAAAATCGTTTTAGTGGATCTGGAGTGAACTAGTTGCTGAGGAAATGTTCTTTTAATCGATGCCTGAATTGAACGATCGATGTTAATTGGCGGATGTCAATGGGGATGTCGTTGAAGCAAGTAGGGCCTTGGAAACGAAATGACTTTTTCGCAGCCTCTGTCCTGACAAGGAATCGATTTATGTAACATCTGAAACAAGGAGCCGATTTATATGGCATGGCTTTGAGTGAGAATCGCAACAATTAAATAAAAAGAACAAAACATAATTCCAAGCAAATACGTTACCTTAAAACTTGCCACTTTGTATCTATAAATTAAAAATACGAAATCTATTAGTGGCAGCATATAAAATTTTACATAAGCATTTGAGTGTAGAGTAGATGAACATAAGTCATAGGCCAACTGTTTGTTATAATGATTTTACGGAGTTAGGTGATAAAAGCATCAAGTGTGAAAGCAGAGGTGATGAAAGCATTATGTACGAAACTCGGTGTTACAACTTAGAATCGCTTTGTTCGACTGTCTCTCTCTATGAGGCAGAGTTAACAGCACCGTAATACAGAGAGAATAATGCCATCTTTATTCAGTTATCATTTACAAAGCTTAAAGCTAGAAGCCCATTAAATAAATGGATAAATAAACAAGATAAAAAGAGACATATAAAAAATACAACAACGGCCTAAAAGTAAGCGTAGTAATAAAGTATAAACTGGATATTTTTGATAACAAGGTGTTGAGATCAAATTCCTTATTTATCAGTTTTAAGTACAGTTTCAATATTTCAAAGTAAATTACAACGATAAAGTATAATAAATACAATGATAAGTTAAAAAATATGAGTAATAATATGGATATAATATGGTCTTGATATGGATCAAAGTAACATTTTTATGAAGCCAGCACATTAATGCATTAATAACGATTGAAATAAAAACTAAACCAATAACTAAGAAAATTCATATTAGAAACTGAAGATGCAAAACGTGAAACGCGAAAAGAAATGCCAATGCAAAAAATACCTGCACGTATTCCATTTTCAGTGCCAATAGACTCGATATTTATAACAAAAACATATACCTGCGGTTAAGAAAAAGAATACTCTTAATTCAAAGAAATAAATGTGGTTTGATTCACAGCAAAAAATCAGACGAAAAGAGTTGAATTTAGTGGCTTATTTCATCCCCATGGCTGCAAAAAGAGTTCTTTCATGGAATGTGTTGAAAGATTTTCTGCTGGATAAAAGTATTGCATTGGATAAGTCCAAAAGCATTTTACACGCAGTACTAATAAGGATTTCTCGACCTGGTTTGGATTCACAACTTACTGACAGCTTCAAGGACATTTCATCTTCTGCTGTGAAAACCCAAGATAGAGTATATTTTGATTTTAAATCGTACAGTTTAGCTCAAATCATCTTTCTGGTGATCAGACTTCGGTTTCTACGAGTACGTACTTGGTACGAGGATGTGTAATAATTTAAGATGCATTCAACACTTGCAAGCAGCTTCTAAAAATTATCATCCTAGGCTTTGCCAAAAAGTCCTCTGAGAATCAAATAAATGAAATTGTCCAATAATTGTTTGCTATATGCTTCTAGACTCTAGCAAAAATATTATGGATAATAAAAATACTTTTCACATAAATTGATGATAGAAAGCTTTCAAGTAATTATTTTTTCATTTAAACCTTTAAGATAACGAATATAAATTTGTTGTTAGACTTACTCCATGAACCTCTCTTTCGCTACTGCCTCACTTTCTCTGTTGTAGCGCCTGTTAAGTGAGACAGTAGCGAAACAGAGGCTCATGGAGTGAGTTTAATCTTTGGTTTGTTACCATTTTAGCTTTTGCCGGTCTATCATTTTCTAAGGAAACATTTTTCTACCATAAAAGTTTCTTCCAGGTTTCGATCCTTTTGAAGTTCTGTTCATCCCATCCCCATTTATTACCTGATACATACAAAAGTTAATTAGTCATTTCGATAGCACAAGTTTTAAGTAAAGTCTCACTTTTTTATTTCTTTCAAATATTGATTCAATTCTGGGAATTGTAATATGCCAATAACTTAAATCTCTTTTCTCTGATACATCAACATCTTCTTCTGTGATTAAACCAGCAGAAAAATCTTCCACTTCATCTTCTTCTTCATCTAAAAGCTGCACAATCAAGCAAACAATTAATAATGAAATAGATTAATGAAAAAAAGCTAACAGACTCACTGTCAATCAAGTTAATTTTATCACTGGTGCTAGCGGGTTCTAAGATGATCACATCTCCAGAGCTCAGTAGGATTTATAAGGATGAGAATATTGAAATGAATAGAGAGTTATTAGGACGTGCGTTCAAGGCGAATAGAAATGAGCTTCATACCTCTGGAGATGATTCCGATGGTTCCATTTCATCAAGAAAAATTGCCAGAGACTTATCTTCTACAATTAAAGGTTTTCTAACATCACTGAAATTTCAAATCAAAGCGGAAGTGATATGTCTTCAACAGCCTATTATTATTCCAAAGATATTCTAAGAAAAGTGACTTCTGAGAACAAAAACATCATCTGGACTTAGTTGGCACTGACGTTCGATAAAAAAAACTGAATATCGGTCATGTAGGAAAACTTAGATATCAAAGGGTGAAAATTGGGAGATTAGCTACAAGGCTAGAAAAATAGGAAAGATCGGTTATAAATAGTAAAGCTTTGGCAGAAGGTCTGGAAAATTTCAATAGCCACACGGCGAGTAACATGGTACGATGTGTCCTCAAAAACTCAGTATATTAATTCTTCAATACAATTTAGGTTCGCTTGCCAGGGCAACTTTGAGAAGAGGAGACGGGGCACGAGTAATTTTGATCACAATCCTTTACCTTTAGCTACTCTCTTTCTCATCTTGATACGGTTCGCCAGCCTCGTTAACTCAGCCAGCGGCATAAATTTCTTTTTAGGAATTCTAGAAACAAGATGTACTTGATTCTTACAAAACATGACAGATTTCATGGTAATAAAAGTAATATTGCTTAAGGTTAAAATGAGTGCACATGGTTAGATGAAAAAATATCTACGAATCCTAGATAACTTCAAAATAGGTAGAATAAAATACTTAACGGCATAAAAGTTGGAATGACGATTTTCATCTATCATGACGATGCACTCCAAAGTAAAAAGAAAATCAAAATCAAAAGAAGTCAAGGATATCGTCAAATTACTTGATTGGTTCTTTCTTTGGCTGCTCGACTTCTCTTGGGCCACAGAGTATACGGTAAAACTTCAAAACAAATAGAAGTTTGCATTAGAAAGCTACCAAAAGATTACTTCTGCTGAAGCAAACTGCCTAGTTTCTAAACTAAGCAAAAACCGCCATTAAAAGCTGCAAAAAAAGAAAAACTTGACATGGAAGACTTTTCATGAAAGAAAGTCCAGATAATTTTCTTCTTTTATCAAACTAACAAATCAAGAATTAACAAATTTATTTAGCTTTGCATTTATTTTTAGCAAAATTTGATTTCAGAATGTATTATCCGAACTTCAAATACTCTTCAAAGACTACAATACTTTGAATTGTTGACATGCATTCATTTTGCATTTTGGAGGATTATTTTTAATTCTTTGCACATAGATAAACACACTTAAATCAATCTTGATCTAACCAATTGAGTCATAGCAGCAAATACAACAGCAATTACATGGAACTAAACAGCAGCAATGCAAGCATGAAAACTTTCATGATAATCTACCTAATAATTATTACCAAAATTCAACTTTAAATTAGTAGGAATACGTATAGTCGCAGGGCAATGTTGAAGGCTTAATTTCTTGTCTGGCTGTTACGACAGCGTTGCGGGACGAAAGGTGGTGCAAGATATGACGTATTACCCTAATGATATATACTAGTTAGGGAAATGAAACACGACATATCTCATAATTTGGCCACGGCTTGCAACATTAAACAAATAAATCACAGTTTCAAACACTAATACAGTATACAAAATTGAATTTTGCCAGAAAATTTCGATGCAAATAAAAAATATGATAGGTAAGTCTCTCACCTCATCACTTTCATGAAAAAGTGGAGCGAATTTGTATTCAATAAGGTTAAATGCATATTCGTAGGCTCTGTCAAAGGAAAACACAAATGCATTGAAAATCAACACATGATGACGACAATTTGTCCCAGTATGAAAATGCGATTTTGGCAAATAAACCCCTGGCAAACCGACTAAACATTTCACTCGAATTTTGTACGGAAAGATACTAAAGTGGCGTGAGCCACCTGTCAATCAAACCTTTGACCAATCAATGAGCCTGAGAGTGGCATCTCATTTATTGATTGGCTAATGGTGCTTATGTTGAAAATTGGAATCACTCCAAACTGAGTTGTGGATTGATACACCACGATATTGAAAAGATCTTTCTCTCCTGGCTCTTAGTTTCACCAAAGAGATACGGGAAAGATTGTCAATTTTTCGCTCAAACAAAAGCATATGTAACGATAGGGTTCTTCTTATGATGGTAAGTATCAGGTCGTTGGCTGAGCGATGGGCTAGGCCAACGGGCCTAGCCCCAAGTAGATAGCACACAAGAGATACTCGTTATCTGATGTTATCTCTATTGTCAAAACAGTAAGACTAAATTATTCTAAGTAGGATTACATTATATTAAAACACAACAAAGGAACACTGTGAAACATCACACAACACGATGACAGTGACGCACATTTCCCGGAAAGGGAGTTTCTAACACAACAGCACGACAAACAAACATGTGACATTAACACGCAACACAATCAAAGATCTAGCTAAACATAATAATAATAATTACTGAAGAATACAAGTCCTAAAACGTTACACATAAGTAAACTTCCGGTCATTCCAAAAAGCAGCAACTTTCTACACTTAGCGGTAGCTCTGCAAAGTCTTAAGCCAAGCCAAGATTTATCAAGCCCAGTATTATCTGTTATTATCTGTTGACGTGTTACCAATTTGCTGTTGCATGGATCGGAGACGAGCATCCAAATCAGGGGTCGAGCGTGGATAAGACCTCGAACAATGTAGCACTGCTGTCAGGCGCGTTAAAACTTGGTCACTTCACCTCTCACAAAGTTTAATGAAGTAATTATAGCTATAAATTCTATCATATCAAGTGTTGCCTTTTCTTATATAACAGTGTTCGATGCACAGAGGCACAAGCAATTGAAATATGAGAGGTTCAATCCAAGAGGAGACATGTTAGCTGTTACTCCGAGATTCATGCGTTAATCGGACAAACTCTAATCGATAAGGGTACCTCGAGTTAACTGTCACGTCTTTGTTTAAATCTTTAATAAAGATATCAAATAACAAAAAATTTCCCTTACTTGAAAAGAGGCTCAGCCGTTCGAAGTTTCGATGTTACGGTCCAATGAGAGGCAATACCTGGAAATCAGAAACATACCAAATTGATTCATACCCCTATCTTTGATACAGCAAAAAATACTTGCTTAAAGTTATCATACGTTGTCAAAGCACAATATAACACCAAGCTTTGACTGACTCAAAACCATACGTATATGCAATTGGTTCGACTTCTGTTGGTAACTTCAAAACACTTATTGTCTAGCAGTTATGAACACATATTCTAAACATGGTTTAAAAGAACAGTCTGCCATATCAATATATATAGTTTATTTACGCTCAATTTTCTTTCGTATATTGTGTATTGAATTGAACAGGCATTGTAAGATGAAATAATAAGATGAAACAAAAATATTCCTAAACAACTTTGATGGAACGCTGAACAATCATTTAATAACCAACCTTCTTCAAATTCTTGGACAACTTGTTCCGGGAAATCTATCCGGTCAACTGCGTCTTTTCGAAAATACGAGAAATGGATTTCTTGAGCCTGTAAACATTAATCTTAATAATTAGATAAGAAAAAATAATGGATACCTTTAGAGATAGCTGTGAAATAATCTAACAACAAACTTATGATACTTATGATACTTATGATATCTCAGTATTCATAATACTCAATTTAGGCTAGTAAAAACTAAAACATGTTGGGAAGATGGGGGTATTCTGAAAAGGAATACAAATTTCGGGACGCAAAGTACAAAACTGGGCGAGTGCTACTCTTTGGAAACCTGAAATAGGCAGATAGCCTTCTGGATCCTTCACGTAGCAGGTGTTTATGTTCCTATAAGACTGTCTCAATTAAACTTCTTATACTGGATGGGGTCTCAACAGGTAATATCACAAGAACAGGATATGAAAACTGTAAGAATTCATATACGACCAATAATTATTGTTTAGAAGCAACAGAAAAAAGTTTTCTATAAAGGATGGAATTTAATTCCAAATACTGCAAAAAGAATGCGTTCTATATCAAAAGTCAAGACAAACATTTAAATACATAGTTATCACCTGATAGATATAAATATGAAGTAAATTAAACTTAACATGAAAAGAATTTGTAATAAAAAAAGTTTCACCTCTTTGAGAATTCTTTTCTGCTCATCGTCCGAAAGTTCTGGTGCCAAGCTTCGTTTGTTAAAGTCCTCTACAACAGCGAGTTTCAAATGGTCATTGTGGAGTACAAATACTTATTCAACCCAATCCAATATTATTTTGTATACTACAATTAATGAAACTGCTGACTTTTTAAAAATTCTACAAACTATAAATTAAAGAGTTCGAAGCTGTCCTATTTATATGGCTTTTTCCATGAGTTTAAAACCCCAGTTTCTGCCCCTGATACAGGCTTTCCATTATGGCAGAATTACAGGGATCCGTCATTTTCTGATCATTTCAAGGTTTCAAAGATTTTTAATGAAAGATTTTAAGGGGCAATATTAATCCAAAGACAACTTATTGAAAAATAAAATAATCCTCCATTCATCGGAAGGGTATGCATTCGAACAGAAGGCGTCAAAAACTGTTTAGAAAACAAATGTGTTTACTTTTTGATGTTGAGCAGTGGATATCAGAACGATTCCCCGCAAAATTATTTTTTTTGACAATTTTAAGGAGGGAATTTAGAGATTGAAAGTACCTCGCTTGTTTACTGCAGTTTATTGAATGAAATGAATCCTAACAAAGGGCAGGTAAAGAGGGTGCATATATTTTACTTAGCAGGGCTAAAAGGCGTCATTAATGAGATGTGATGTTAAAAGGAGCAAGAGTGTTAAATGATTGACTTACAAAATGAGAAACCTGAATCAAAATCGCCTTCACTGATTCACGTGTATTTATTGTTGTATATTCTCGGCGTATTGCGGTGTTTCTTATTTGCTATATTTTTATCGACTTTTCGCCGCAAGGACTCCTTGGAGCCCGTCGAGCAGCCTGCTACAGTGACCTTTTCTTCATTCACACTAAATCAAATAGCCTAAGTTGCATAAATCAGCATCGCAATGTCATAAGATTGTAAAATAGACACATCATAACAGGCGTCAAATAGTTAATGACTATTTAAGGTGAAGTAGATTACATGAAATCACCTTACGTACCGATATCAAGACAGAACTGGAGGACGTTTAATGCTCCTTCCTTCCTCATGAAATGCATAAAAGGCAACAACAGTTTTGGGTCGTGGATCAAATCAAACACGGACAGATTCAGCGCCTGGTATAGAAAACATTACTAACAATCAACAAAGTTTCTAGCTGATGACGAAAAGTAGGCAGATTATAGACAGGAATGAAAGATGAAGGTTATTCGTTTTGCTTGTGCAAATATCATGAATAACTCATTTTTTTAAACACATGTCCCCACTTTTATACAAGTTGTTTCGCTACTTAAACTCACTTTTATAAGAGAGTTTATGAATCAAAACAAAGGTCTTCTTTTATTTTTCAACCTCTCCCCCTGCCCTACCCCAAACCAACATTAATGCCTGCACCAAAGATAATTAGTCATTAAGACGAAGAACAAATGTCAACCCTTGATAGCATCGTGATAGCATCGTTTTGTAGCATCCAAATGAAAAAATAGTTGTTCTATCTTCTTTAATAGACTATACGCATTCTTAGGGTATGACAATACGAGCTTTGTTTTAAAATACATTCTCGCAATGGCTTTGTTGCTCATGCAACCGAGATATTTCCCTTCTTTCGAAAAGACTTAAAAATCTTGAAAAAGTGTACTTATACACCCTGCAGGCAAGCGGAAACATTAACTAGTATGGCATTTCATATGCACGTGAAATACTAATTTCGTTGAAACATGTGTTAATAAATGAAGATGGTATCAGAAATATTTCCGCGCAAACATGCTTGCTGGGCCTAATCGAGACTTAAGAGGTTGTGCATGAATCAGTTATGTAAAAAAGGAGGCAAATTTGTGCGCATAAAGACTATTGGTGAAACAAAACTCTTGTCATTATTCATAATGTCTATTGCCAGGTCGTAGAAGCAGGATGTTCTTAAACACACAGGCATTTTATCGTTTTGCTGCAATACTTTTTAGAAAAGGAAATAAAAAGTACACTTCAGCAATAATTATTCTAGGGGGAAACATAAATTAGAGAAAAACAAATCTCGATTAGGTCTTGAGATATTTGCTAATCTAGTGGCATTTACAACTGATTTGAAACAACTAACTGCGATGTGTTAAAACATCTGAATCAAATAAATAGGGAAGATATCATAAACAGAGCGTACCGTTATGGCGGGTGTAGACCTTGCTTTGGCAAAGTTTTCGAGTATTTTAACATTTGGGCTAGGCGGTCTTGTCGGCTCTTTCAGCTAGAATGAATAGCCATGGGAAAAGAAACATAAAAACATATAATTTTGAAATTATGCTTTCACTAACACTATATTCTTTGTGATTTTCATTCGGCTGCAAAAGATGATTCGAAAATCATCAAAATGGTATATCAACAGAAACTGTAAAGGAGTGGGAAACAAGGGAAAAATGAGAATGAGGCTCTAAAAGTAAAATAAATGAAGTAAATCTAGAATTAGTTATCATACAGATTTCTAAAAGGCTATTAAATCTTCGTTTGAATGACAAATTGGGAGACATCCCATTTAGCGGAATTTGAAATATAGGACCTGAGTTGAGCTGAACGCCTAGCTCAAAAGTCAGTATGAAAAAAAACCCAAAGGCCAAGAATTAAAACAATTTTTCGGAAGAATGAGTAAGCTTTGATATGAATTTGCAAGTGAAGCGTTGAAGTGAATAAATGACTTACCGACTCGTCACTAAGCAACACAAGCAAAAGCTGGTTGACAAAGTCCTGCGTTCAAAAAAAAAACAAAAGAACAGTAGGTTTATTCTTGAAGCTTCAAGTGTTCAGGCGTAGGTTTTCTCGATGGAAAGCTTACAAATAACAGGAAACTTACAGGAAGTGTTTTTCAGATGCTATGAGAAATCAAAGAAGTTGGGATAAATGAATTTAAAGAGCCCAGGGAAAGGTCCCTGAATGACCGAAGAAAATAAAGCCTTGGCTGAAAGTGAAATGAAAATGATCACACAACAAAAGCTAACTGTTTTAAAATAGAACTTAAGAATTAAACGGCACGAAATCGCATTAAGACGAAGATAACTACAATATACCGTTTTATTTTTAATGAATTTCAATAAGAAAAATTGACAAAACTGAGCATGGGAAACAAAAACTTACCGGGTCAGCTATCTTTTCTGCAGTAGGAACAAGAATGATGTTCGTTAACAGCTCTCGTATGAATACTATTGCAGATCTTCAACAGAAAAAGGAAATCGTGGCTTTCAGACACAAACTGCCTTTTCATCAAACGTTGAACAGAGAGAGGTGCAAAGGTGAGGGTAAGGGTGAATTTTCTAATAAAAGAAGCGACTTCTGTTCTCTATTGAACACGATGAAAATAGATACTTTTATTGTGCAAATAATCTGCAAACGTCGCTACAGTATCCCTGAAGACAGGGGTATAAAGGGGTGGTCTCAGGCACTCATTTACGTTAAAACTACCAAAACTGGCAAAGCCAGAATGACAAAGTTAAACTGGTAGAGAAATCAAACATGCCAATACCTGCATCTAAGAAAATTTGGTTGTAATAGGTATGGAATAATTGTCTCTGAGAGGCATCTGACGTAATCGACCTCCGTAGCTTCATTTTCTAATGCAAAATGTTTCTGGTTTCCCAACGTGTTTAGAGTGGCCATCTGCAGGTCTTCACCGTGTAACACTGCATGAAATAAAGTCGTGAAAGTAAATTAAACAAGATTTCAATATTTGATTGGTATCATTAAAAGTTACTGTTAGAATGTATCATCTTAATTTCGTCATCCTCCTAACCTGCTAATTAACAGTCCAAATTGTTCTCACGCAGAAACTGTGCCTATATCATGGTGCAGTCATCTTCTTTAAAATACCTTACTTGTGTTTGTAATCTAAGGTGAAATCTATTCCCCCTGTTAGACGAATTTAAGACGCATTTTAGCAAACTATCAGAAGTACAAGCACATATGTAGAACAAAAATTGCAGATAGAGTACAGCATAAGGGAACATCCCGACCTACCTCGCTCTCTGGTTCGTGCATAACAGTCCAGGTGGACCATAAATCTTTTTAGACATTTTCCAAGAAGAAATTTCGGAACATCTATCTATTTGGGAGATAAAGATAGAATTGGCACTAAAAACTATCTAAACTTTCTCGTGATATTAAAATCTATATTGTGAAGGTCAAAGGCCAAATGTTCCAATTGATTGGAATAAATTCAAACTACTACACTTTCATCCAATTCTGCTGAATTTAGTAATCCACATTATGGATTAATATCTAGATGCCGTTCGAAAGTGGTGCTACATGAAAAATAGAGCGTTTGATTGGTTCCTTTTTTGCCCAATCAGCAGCAGATAACCTTTCACCTGGGTAAGAGCCCACAAGAAAAACGAACTCATTCCGTCTATTCCAAAACACGGAAATGAAAGACGACTTTGCTAGGTCGAAGTTTTTAGAATTTTTGTCAATTTATATTTTGGCGGACCCTTGAATCTGAGCAAAGACTTGGATATGGCAAAATCGCATTTTATGTGAGCATTCTGATTTTTACGAGGCCATGGCTGTTCTTTTTTCAGATCTGTCCTCCCCTCAGGGAGCAGGTGGATCAAGTCTATCTTCTAACCTCTGACTAAGGCTATTCGAAATCAGCTGCAACAGACTCCCTGTTTAATGTTTAATAACACATAAACTCATACATCTATATGTATCTTATCATTGCCAATATATTTGTACCTTTTTGATCCTATGCACGAGAACTGACACCAAAAAACGCAAATTCTTTCTCATTTCATCAACAAATCTCTGATCATGGCTAAGGTCCCTGCAAAGATAAAGATGAAAACATATTTGAATGTTGAAATGAAACAGATTTACGGCTTATCGAATTTACATGAAAATTTTAGAGAAATGAAGCAAAAGAAATATTTTAAATATCTCTTCGACATACGATGAGCTTCACTGTCAACGATGCAGGTGCAAGATTTATCAGTAAAACAGGCTTTGAAAGATGCGATCAGTTCAATTTTCTTAAGAATCACTTGCCGAGTTAATTAAATTTGCTTAACATGGAGCCTAAGCTCTTAAGCGAATTAAGATCCGGACAAATATGAAACGAAATTCGCAAAATCCTTATCTTTGCTAAATATATCTTGCTGACTTTATTTATCAAATAAAGCTTGCTATAAGTGCTAAAAAGTAGGAAAATCTATTGGACACACGCCAATGGTTATTAAATTATATAAAAAAGTATCAAAAAACACTCACCAATACCATGCATACACATGAGTTCTAAGTAATATTTCTAAAAACTAAAAAACAATACATTTTTATAATAAATAAACAAATTACTTTTTCAGAAAACATGCACTCATAAAAACAGATACTGGTACAAAATTTATTTACTCTTTCATATCTTTCATATAATTGGTTATATAAATGAAATGATTCATCTATTTATATATTTAGTATTATGTACTTTCATACAGCATCACATGGCAATATCATATAAAAAAGTTTTTCATCAGAAGAGCAGCCATGCTGCTGAAGCCAAAGGGGGTGACCTCTGGCTATCGTTTTTGATCAACAAGTGCTCAAGTTCAAGAAAACATATGACAAAAGAAATAAACATCAGCTATATGAACTATATAAGGATATCTATACTTAGGAGTGTATGTATGAAGATAGATAAAGAACAATCGACTTGTTGGCAACCAAAAAATGACACAACACCTTGTTATATTAAGTTTGACTATCTTATTTTTGCATTAACGCCTTAACTATTGATAGCATTCAACTAAGAGAATTCAGGTCAAGCTGTTGGTATAAAGTTTCCTAATTTTCTACCAAGAAAGCCCCTTTGAATAAGCAACATTTTTTTTGGTTACAAAGAGAGCATAATTCCCTAAAAAAGAAGATTTTTTGTAAGATGTGTTGGCAATTTCAAGAGGGTGCCCGGGGGCACAGCTTTTCATGGCCAGAAGGGGCCCACAGAAGAATAAAGGACCCTCGAATGTATTCAGTCCAAGGCCCCACAGAATATTTTGCCCTGTGCACCGGGAGTCCCTTAAACCCCTGCTGGTATGATGATTTACAATACTTACCTCTGTGAATGCCTTATCTACTGTTTCTGGTATCTCTAGCCCTTCCCATGGCTGAAAATTAAACAGAGAAAACATCAGCTACTCTGGATATATCATTTAACAAAGAACTTTTCTAAAATACATTGAAGAAGATGAATGAAAGCCCTTATTTCAATCTATCAATGTAAAACTTTAACTTAAAATTTCACTTTGAAAACTTCCCTTAAAGTACAAAATTTCACTGTCTTAAACATTTATAGTAATAAAACATGGCAACTTGTAAAGTCAGTTGAAAATATTATTTTCTAGCATATTCCACAAGCATAAAACATGAAAGACAAACAAGGCAAACTCACATTTAGGCTCTCAAATGAGACTTCTGGCCTACAAACAGGAAAGAAATAAAAATTATAATCTTTAAATAGGTAGAAAAAATAATATTCTTTAATGACTAGTCCAACCTGATCATTGTGGATACTATCAATCAAACTTGGATGGAGTCTAAAAGGCCATGGTACCATAAAAGCCCTGATGTGTCATAAAGGCAGAAACCATTCATTCATTATTCTTATTTTCCTTTAAAAATCTATCCTATTCACTTATTTCTACATATAAATGGATCTCTTAAATAGATATCTAGAGTTAACCAAAACAAAAAAATATATTATTGAAACTGATATGCTTCACCTAACTTTCCTATCTTCTTCAGATTACTAGATAAGAAAAAAATGTATGTACAGTTTATTTTAAGCAATATCATTAAAACTTAAATCATACCTGTGTCTAGGGCAGTTTGCTGCTCCACAAGCAGTGCAGACGGTGCCTTTAATTTCCTTCTTCTTGTCAACATTGTACTTTGAAAATGACTGCAAATGAAATGTATTTATTCTTCAAAAAATTATTTTATGATTTACCATTAGAAACAATGTTTATTGTGTACATGTGTTCATTACCTAATGCTTTGGGAAAAACATATAAACAATATGCAATTGTAACAAAGCAAGGTTTGCAATCACACCCATGTTCTATTTTTAATGGGTCTTTAATTCATATTTAAAATCTATGCCCTACCAGCTATTAGTGCCTTATGATCACTGATTGATAAACACAAAAGGTACAATGGTATGTGTTGGACAATGAAGCCCATTAGTATTAAACAATATGTTGATGATCTGGCTTTATCATCAACCACAGTTTGTTTCAGGACAATGGCAGTGATGACAATGACATCAGAACTATTTCTTTCCATAAACTTGTCTAAGGCAAATCCTAAAGACATTCATTGCTTCAGCAGGTTCAAGGATGGAAACAAGTGACAACCAACCATAAGATCTGAACAGGAAAAACATGGTTTAGTATTTAACAGCCTCTAGAAAAAGAATACCCTTTACCTCTAGGACTTTTGATGGTGACAGCAATATCAGCAAATTTGGAATTTCACGATAATTGCTACAAAAAAGTTTTATTAGATAGTTGGATGTATTTAGATAGTAAACAATTAATAATAAGTCAATTCACTTCGTATCATAATAACTCTAAGAAGATAAAGACAAAAAGTATAATATATTTGCTTCAGAATGTTCCCAGCCCTGTATAAATACTGTCAACTTTTGGAGCTGTGACAGGATGTTCCATTACAGGAATAGATTAAAAATTGATTTTGTTTCCAAAACAGAGCATGTGTATCATGTTTCTTTAAATTAAGGAAAAGGTAGAATAATTTATAAAATATTTTTCAAATAGGCTATATGCCATTGACTGATGATTGATCAGGCATGCAACAATTTGCATTCAATGTTGAAAACTCTGGCAGAGGTCCACAGAAAAATCAGACTAGAACAGAAGGATGGGCTGGGGACTACAAACCATGCTCTTAAGATTTGCGGCGATTGCTTCTTTGCAGACTACTAGACTACCAAACACAAGCCTTTCAGTTCTCCATAATAATTGGACTCATAATAGAGGAACAGTTTCAGTAAAATCTACAAATTTTCCAAATAAGTATTTCTTATTTGCATAACTTCATTAACTGCATTATACTTGCATCAATCTTTTATTAAATTCTTATAGGTATATACTATTTAAAAACAAGGATGAATTGTGCATGTCTTTGGCATTGAAAATGATAAAGATTTTGAGAGAATTATAATCTACAAAATGTAGATTATAAAAGGAATAAGTGTAATAAAATCAATAAATATAACAGGAAAAAGTTTCCAGAATCTAATTACAAATAGAAGTTTTGACTTAATCCACATTTAAGACACATTTCTTGTCAATATACCAGTTCTACTGATTTTTCAAATTAAATTTCATTCACATTTTTAACATAAGAGCTAATGAAAATGAATCAATCTTTGTTTGGAAAAAAAGCTAAAATTAATCGATAAAAAGCAAAATCAATGCATATAAGAGGTTTACAAAAAAGATAAATGAAGATGTTTTTAGTTACCTTAACAACAGAAACCCAAGAGCAACCCCTAATGCAAGTGACCAGACAGTGAACACAACAAATACATATCTGAAAAAGAGATAATTTTAGTATTGAAAATTATAATAATACCTCTGATAAGTCAATCAAAGTTTATATTGAATAAAAAAGTCAAGGACTAGGGATTGCTGAGATTGTTAGTTAAGCAAAGAGGTTGGAACAACATAAACATTTGAGGGGGTCAGGAAGAATATAAAGGGATCTGTTATCTTATATTTAATGCTCTTTTGTTGAGATAAAAGAACAGCAATGAGAAATTATTGGGTGCCTCTTTAACCTCCTACCCCCAATGCAAATAGCTGCCTATGAACAAATAAAAAATTCATATACTGTCTATTGTGCATTCCTAAACAAATCTTTTCAAGATATAAAATGGCAACAGGTAGATAAGGTAGAAAGACACAGGAATTTTGCAAACAACAATACATTGATTTTTGCATGCACCGAACAAATAACTGAGTATTTGACGACAGCACTCAGTATGCAATTACAAATTTCATCTAGAATATTTTCATGTGTACATGAAACAAAATTTGAAACAGTGATAAATGAGAATAATGAGATATATTTGTACGAGACCTAAAGATAATCGTTAACAATTCACAATTCAGAGGCGGAATTCCTCCAGCACGTCTAATATTATAAACTGCCCACCCTTGCATTATATTTCAGAAACATAATATATATCGAGCTTTTAAAGGATACTTTTAGCATAGAGACGAATGAATAAAGCCATTGTGACCAGAAGAAAAGGGACAAACAGATTAATGTCACGAATGTCGGGTCTGGACAATATCAAATCAGTCAGGATGAACTTTCTCTTTTTATCTTTATATGGATGACCTTTGGCTATTGTAATTAAACACAGTTATCTTTCTAGACAAATAATCTCGTACCTGACTAAACTCAATGTGAAAAACACAAATGACACGGCACAAAAGACTATGAAGCCATTTACGTTCCCGGTTGTATGACCGGGAGACGCCTCCGCCATCTTCTTAGTCAAGTGATTCCGACGCACAGGGAAACAGAGGGCATGTCATCAGATTGCTTCCTTTCTCTCTTCAGTGTAAAAATTCATTATATAAATAAAATAATTCTCTGAACCAAGGTTGCCAAATCTCACAGTTTGGCCGTGAGACTCACGGATATTCACCTCTTCTCACACATTCCATTGCACTAAATTGTTTATGACAATCACTTGCGCGAGAATGATTGTCAAACGCGTTAATGTGTCAGTATTATAAATTATTATTGTTCATTGCTTCGATTGTTTATTCTTACGTTTAAAAGCCTGCTCTCTGTGTTTTTCTGGAATGTTTTAAATGTGAAATAAACAAATGTTTAGGCATTCTGAATGGTCTAGTTTTAAGTCATTTGAGCACTCCAGATCTATTGAAATTCTGAATCCTTCTGCCCCCAACCCTGGACCCAGTTCCATTGTTCACTAGCTGCGCTCCTGAAATCTCACAGGTTTAATTTTCCAAAACTTGGCAACTTTGTTGAAACAATGTAATAATTTTTAGATTTACTGTATCTCTTTTTCAATAAATAAATTTATTCAATATTTGTTGCTTCATGGCCCAGGGGCTCCAACGCAAGTTGAAAAGTGGGAGAGGGCAAATGTCAAATCAAATACCCATAACCAAGTTTTTGCAAAAGGCTTTATTGTTTTGCAAACAAGTTGGGAGACCATGCCCCTTCCCGGCCCCCTGTCGTCGGAGCCCTCTGCGCTGGAAAATGAAATCCTGGGGGCCTGGGGGATATTTTGCTGATTTTGAAAAGAAAAAAGAAAATTTGAATATGGAGCAATGCGAATAATTTTCAATATATATTTTCAAAATGGATTTGTTCAAAAATCTATACAGAGCATGGGTATTCTGCACTTCTTCATGGTTCAGCAAAAAAATCAGTCTTCGAATTTGACAATGCTTTACCCTGGGTACCAGAGTCTCAATTATTCAGTCTCAGAAATATAGTTAGAAAGAAGTCACAGAAAAAAATTTTTTGAGCACCGCAGCCGTCTACAATACTTATCTCCGGATTCATGAGGCTCTGGTACCCAGGGTAACAATGCTTTATCTAGCAGGCACGAGGCCGGAAGGGTGCAAGGTGCAGTGTGTCTTTTGACCCCATCTCTAGAAATTGTAACAGGTTCACTTTGTGTTCACGTTACGCATGCGCTGTCTAGGATAGTCACATGGCGTCTAACTATAAAAAGTGTAAATATTTTGATCGGGAGTTCCGTTCACTTCAGTTCACTTTAAATTCACTACATACAATTTTAGTTAGGATAACTAAACAAACAATTAAAAATACAGCGATTTTATTTCAGGAAATTCAAATTCTATGCAAGAACATTACAAACTAAATCGCATGGAGGGAATTATCTATAAAAGGTGCTTCCTCAATAGTTTGGGACTGGGTGGGTCGAGCTCCCCAATAATTGACAAACAGTACCATTAATCTTTTATAACAGTGTACTGAATGGGGAGCAATACAATTGACAGCGCCCCCCAACGTTAATTTCGTGTCGACGGCACAATTCATGATTAGTATACAACAAGATATATCGTATTATCGGGTCTAGATTTAGCATTGGCCTCTATCTCACACGTAGTAAGCCATTCTTTCTACGAAATATTGTTGTACAACATGCATCATGCGAGTCAATAAGCAATAAAATATCGTCCAAATTCAAAAAAATTTTGTGACGTCATCACTTTGGAACTGGTAACGTCTTCACTTGATGTCAGCAAATTGTATTGAGAACAACCTTAAATGTATTGAGAACAACAAGCTAAACTAGTGGTGTAGTGCTATCAAAATGACAAGTGGGTTCTTGCACAAAATATTGCGAAAAACAATAGCAAAAGTAGAAATTTGCCAATTTTCGGCATCAGCAAAGGGGGCTCTCCCCCCTAGCTCTACACCCCTGAGCTAAACCTAGACATTTCACTGACATTTCCTGTGTGCATTAGTTGTAGTTACCTGTTTTTAGGGTCATCTTTGTCCAAAGTTTTAAAGCGGGGATTGAAAAAGAGGTTGATTTATCAAGTCACGTGGTTATTGTCACATGCAGTCCACCGTGAAAACATTTCACACTGCGAGATGTCTGGCGAGATGTAAAGAAGAGGTATTAGGCGAATGCCTAGGTGTCTGGCAAGGTTTTTTGGTGTTTATGCCACAGTTTTACTTGATTTTTAAAGTTTTCGCTGAGTGGGAAGATGTCCTTAAGGTCAAGGGTAAGTAAACAGAGTTTAATTGAAAGGCAAATTATCGACCTTGTGTGGGTAACTTTCCTATCATTTCTAAGCTGTTAGCTTATACAAAATAGAGTAAAGTATAATTACAACATCAACATCAAATTTACTGTCAAGTGTATGTATGTTATGAAATACTTTGTCGAGAAGTGCGCGTGGAAACAATCCTACAAATTAGCTTTCGAGCCATTTACTCTTGTGATATTAAGACGGGATAAATTTCGTTAGATGCTTAGCCTTTTCCTGTGTGGCTAAGCTTTCTCTAGTAAGAAAGGTAGGTTTGACTGTTTTTTGCCTCTGTGTAGTGATTTTATTCCCTAATATTCTCCACAGTTATTTAAACGAAAACTAGTTTGTTTTGAAATGTTGGTAGAAGTGTGTTCAAGAACCAAGCAATTTTTTCATTCTTTCGTTGCTGGCTGTCACTGCAATTTCTTGAGTGTATTTCTACAAAATGTAAGTCTGTTTTGCTCTTTGGTTTATGGAAACACAACAAATAAAGTTTATCAAATATGAAAACAATAACCTTTCACTCAAAGCATGTTGAAAATGTTAGTAATGACAGTGATCAATAACAATGGTATTTAATAACCAACATTATCATATGAATTGAATATAATATAAATTTATTAATTAGCTTATTCAGCCACCAAATGGTCTTAAAAAGCTCATTAAATATCACAGGCTAATGTAATGCTCTATATTGCAGGTCCTCTCTGCATACAAAGTTCTGCACAGAACAAGACAAAATGTTTTCAAAAATGACAATGTGGCACTTGAAGCTGGTAAATATAAAATAAGAGAAGAGTTTCGGAAGCACGCACAAGTGACAGATGAAAAAAAGGTGCAAGAACTTGTTAAAATTGCAGAAGAAACTGCTGTTATATTAAGAAAAACAGTGGTTCAGGCAGTTTTGAATGATAAAGGAAATTACAAACTCAATTTGACTGATGATTCATTTTTACAAAATAATGTTATGCTGGTAAAAAAGAATATGTGTGACAGAAGAGAAAAGAAACAAATTTAAATCTACACTTGCAAGCTGTTTGTTATAGTTTTGCCATACATGTAGTTCTTTTCGGACCAACTTTTATTAGAATATGCATTTAAGATTAATTGTGAATATACTCTGTTTAAATAAAGTCTTATGAATATTTAGCTTCAGAGATTTAATACAGTGTCTGTGAATGTAGAATTTTCAAATCTACTATTTCAAATGGCGAAAATGATGATGCAATTATAAAATTTCTATGCCTAGAAGCAGTAAAAAGCATAAGGTTCAAAACGAAAACCAAATACATTGTATCAATGCGAATGACTCTAAATGAATAAAAACCAACAACAAATGAATAAAAATGACAACAAATTAATAGCCAATTATTATTTGAAAAAGCAGTGAGCAAAGATAAATGAAATTTGATCATGAACAAATTAAATACAACCATATTTTATTAAGCCAAAATTTTATTGAAGAGACCCTTGCCTCATAATTACTTATTGATCCTTTACTGATTATTTTTCCTAGTGAAAAATTAAATAAACAGCCATTGAATCTCCCCTCTTCTTAGAACCAAAGGAATTTTCAAGAGAATTGAGAGAATAAAAGTAAAAGAAGGCAATTCATCTGAATTATTTTGTTATAAATGCAGATGTACACTTAAAGGTGCTACAAAGTTTTTATTGGATGTGATTCAGTTTGAAAGGTGTTTCCTCGCAGATCTCCTTGATAAAATTTCGAACAGAGTTTATAGCTCCATCATATTTCTTTCAGTAATGTAACTAAATTTGCTAATGGATTCATCAAGCAGGTACAGCTATTGCACCATTGAATCAAACATAAAAATCATACAACATAAAAAATTGACATAAAAAGTCAAGGCCTTTCTTTAAACTTGAATCAATTTCCATAAGTAAGAACCTTCCATTAAGAGCATATCCAGGGTAAAATAACTTAAGGGAGGGAAAGGCTAGCAAGCTATTCCTTTCACATATTACCCTAACTTTACAACAAATATATTACAAGATGATGCCACAAGGAGCATAAAAAACATAGCAACCCTGTAACCATATCATTAAACATAAAGATTTCAAACTAATATTACATCTAAATATTAGAAACTACATATAACAAAATATCAAGAAACTACATATACCATATTACTTTCTTTGTTCTCTAAGTTTTCTACTTTGTTTATAATAACAGCAGCAGAAACTGGCAAGTTTGACTCGTATCATAAAGATAAACATAAGATAAACACAAGTTTGGTTATCAATATTCTTGTTCATTGATGAAATCAGAACGAAAATAATTAACCATGGTGTGATTTACTTAATACAAATTACAATCTGTATTATCAGATTAAATCACAAAAGCAATACAGGCAGTGATCAATTCATTAGTTGCTCTTTATACAACATAATCTAATAAAACATAAGACTTATTATATTATTATGTGTCAAAATGCATTAAACAATACCAAAAATATATTTGCTTGACAAACAAACTTGAGTATTTCTAGATCAAAATCAAATACTATTGACAATAAATCTCAAAATAGAGATTGACCAGAAACTCTTGTACTGAGCATCAATAATCACATTAATTTTTGAAGTATTCTTACTTGTTAAACCTTTGTTTAGTCTACTTCTTATGATAGATAAGGATGGCAATTAACCACAAAATAAGGCATAATAATATTTCAGTGATCTTCAAAGGCAAAAACAAAATATTTTGATAGAAAACTCACCTTAGTTTTTTAACTGTCATTTCATAGTTGACAAGATTGTTTCACAATTGCAAAGAAGGGAGGGGAGGTAAGCTATGAAAGGTTATTCCTTTGAAAAATCCTGATTTTCCAATTACATAATAGTACCAGACTATCATAGTTGAGGCAGGAACACTTAAAGTATCCAGTCACAGGAATTTATTGATTGGGTAATGCCAATTATCTGCCTTTTGAAAAATAGTTTTTCTCAGGGTGAAGAGAACAAAAAGGATTGCTGTGTTGGCAAATTTGGAGACCAGAAAGAGTGAGTATTGAGTTTGAATATGATGCTCTAGATACTGACTTAACTTTCAAGATTGTTTAGTTGGGTGTCTTCATTATTGATTGTTTTAATACTTTTCCTCATTACAGAATTTCTTTTATAACAAATTTTCTTTCATGAATGTCAAATAACAGCTCTTTATACAAGTCACTGTACTAGCTATAGGAGAAACTGAGACAAATGGAGATGCAAAATGCTGGAGGCTGGTTGGATAACTTCTTTCTTGCAGCTACAAAATGGCAGAGGGAATCTTGAAGAGTTTTGTATTTGCTTCACCATTTAGCGATAAATGCAAATTAGAAAACATTGGTTTTGAAAAGAGCATGGGAACTACCAGTGGAAAATAAAAGATCTGTAGGAAGATAAAGATTGAGATGGAGAGTGTTTGAAGAAGATGTGAGAAAAAAAACATCAGAATAGAAGATGCTTATGATAGACCTTTTGGTGGTGAGGTACAAGAATTGCCAACCCCAGCTGGGAATAAAGCAAAGAAGAAGAAGAAGAAGAAGTAGAAGAAGAAGAAGAAGAAGAAGAAGAAGAAGGAGGAGGTCTTGAAAAGGAAAATAATTAGATGTGAGCTCCCCAAAGACGACTAATTCTTTGGTTTGATAAACATATACAGCTCAATACATTAGGGCTTTCTATTTTAGTTTCTGAGGCAAAAAACAATGAACTCTTTTTAACCCAGACTGTCTTCCCATCATGAAAACATTGCTGATTATTCAAACAATTTTCTTCAGAAAAAAGGTCCAATGGGATATTTTGTTCAATCCTTGGAGTGGGTGTATGATGCTACCTGTTTAAAAAGCACAGAAAGGGACTTTCTAAACTTTGAGTTATAGTGTAACATGACAACCTGGGTCATGTTACAGATCTCTGCAGAACCTGGATAATTGGTTCAGAACCAAAAGTGGATACAGCAGCAGCATACATATAGAAACAAGCATGCTTATTCATCAAAACACATCCTTGAATGCATCATGGTGGGAATGGGTTATTTCAAGGTAAAATTGTAGTCCCATCAAAAGTGACAATGTTTCATATTTGCATTATGATCACTGCCAATAAATTCTATAAAAATAGATAATGTGAGGTAAAATTCAAGAGTTACATATATATACATAGGTGGTATAAAGCTGATTACCCAATTGTTTTCATGAAATTAACTTGATACTCAAACAGCAAACTAGAATGGTGGTGACCCAGCTCGGATTGGTGTGCCACTGGGAGACAACTCTGCAGGCAAAGTTGAGTCAACTGTTGTTTTCATTTCTTGCCAAATCAGTGATAACTAGAGTAAAAATGAACAATTTAACATTAAGAACCAGGATTGCTACAATACCAGGCTATTAATTTGTGTTTCAGGTGACGTGTTGTAATTCATCTATAAGCAAATATAGATATAAATTAATATACTAGTTTTTTAGTATCTTTCAATTATAATGCCACTCTAGAAAAAAGCTAAGTTAGTTTCAAACACTTGTACTGCTTATTTCCAAGTATATTTTAAATGGAATGTATAGCTTTTTGATGTAAATTGATCATTTCTTGAGCTGAGCATCACTAGAAACACATTATTATACTATTAGAAGCAGCCTAAAAATTACTAGGAATTATTAGACTTTGTGCTCTATCAAGAAAATTAATCAACATATCAATAATACCTCATTATGCTTTTTGATTTGAAGGTCAGTTAAATTCCTTAACATGTTTGCTAGCATTTCCATATTGGCATGAATTAGCTGTGTCTCCATTTGCAAACAATAAAGTGAGAAATAATTTCTGTTTTCCATTGTGTGAATTGCATCCTCCTGTTCTACAATTCGGTGTTCTAGCTGGTCTGCAGCATCTTCCATTCCTTTAACAGTTGCTGACATTCTTTTTTGCTTATATTGCTGCATTCGATGTAGTGCAAGTTGGTGGTCACGCAAGACTCCTTTTTCGTGCCTTTCCAGCAACTCCTAGAAATTTGTTTTTTTGAGTTTTTTTTAATTTTTTTGCATTTGGTGCAGTAAGAGTTATATAAAATGAAAAACTTCACAAGTTCTTAAATGAATATGTTAAAAAATTTATGCACCCAAGTAATGTATTGTGTATTGTGAATTGTGTATTGTATTGTGATTGTGAGTAGTGTATTGTGAGACAAATCCAACCAGCCAACTAAAAATATTTTTGAGTCAGTCTCTTTTTGCTGAAAGGAAACTCATTCTATTTGGACCATAAACGAATTGCAATATATAGTGTTATCAACATAAACTTATTTTCTGCTGAAGAGCATAGGATTTTTTAACTCAATAATGGCATTATTCTGAAAAACAATACTAAATGTGTTTCTTTGCTGTTAACTTAAAGGAAGCTAGGCAGTCAACCATGCATGCACAATAATTTGATATGTCCAGGCACTTTGACAAATCCTTTCTGTGAGCTTGAACAATGGTCCATCTCATCAGCAAAACTTATATTTGATTGCACTCAATATTACCATTAATAGAAAGAAAACATGAAGAGCCTATGACAGAATCTTAGTATTGGAGGTAAACAACCAAACATTTGCAAGCTGCATGAAAAAGTTGCTTCTCCTGAATTTTGAAGAAAATTAGCAATAGACTGGCTAACCCAAAATAGGGAAATTTTGAAACCTCCAGGGCGATTTCAATAAATTTTTGTTGAATGAGATAGAGTTAGCCCTTAAGTAGTCTATTTTTACTTTTCTAAAGGTATTCAATTGTGTTACTCTAGTCATTTGAAAATTCTTATCTATTTAAACTCTTAGAAGTAGAGTGCTGTTGTCCCTTTTTTAGACCTTAAAAATCCCACATAAATTACTATAGTTTTGTCTGCTACAGTGTACTGGGTATGATAAAAAGCAGTTAAGCAGTAAATAGGGGTGGACCTCCACTATGATATTGTGTGGGACATTGGAAAGTTGTTAATTGCTTCTTGGAACAGGTATGGGGTCCTAGATATTTAAAACATTATTAAGTTAACCTTTAAATTATTTATTTTAATCAACCATAATAAATGAATTTCATATATTAAACTTATTTAGCCGTTTTTAATAACCTCTGATAATTGTGTATAAGATCATTTGTTTCTGTGGTATTTGGAACCAGAAATTGGAATTGCTTTAACTATCTGTTTAAAACCACTTAAAAATCCTACATAAATTACTATCGTCTGATATGCTACAGTGTACTAGATGTGGTGTAAGAGCCATACCTTATAACCAGTTGTTAGGTCTAAAAATGTTGCTAAATAGTCAGATACTTGGTCTTCTTCCTTCTCCCCCTGAAAATCGAAAGCAAAAGACAATTAGATGAAATGGTCACACAAGTTCTGTAGCAAATGCATAAAAAACTGCAGCAAAGAGATAGAGCCATAATATAAGGAAACATTGTCAGGAATTGTTTTCAATGCAGCATATAACAGTCCCTCAGGTAGTTTATATTTATTGTTGTTGGCTGCTCTGTTTCAACCATTAAAACAAATCAAGATAAAGATATCAGGAACATCAGCTTGAATAAATGATATAAATATTGACCTGATACACACAGTTTTTCAGTGAGGTATTTCATAACTATGATCGAAAATACATACATTGACTGTCACTAGGGCTGTCCATTGAAGGTCAAATAATATATCCTGTTTCACTATTTGGTTAGATGAAGCCCAAAGCAAATATTCCGTTGCAAGCAAATAGTTTCAATAGTAAAATTACTCCATTACAAACAAATAGTTCGAACAAGCTCACTGTTGGATAACATCGTGACTGAACAAATAGCGTTGACTGGTCAAAAGGCAATTATCAACTAAATAACAATGACTGATCAGAAAGCGATTTGGTGTTTAGATAGGTGTTTCATACTGACTTTAGCCCTTTTGGCCATTGAGGGCAGCTTTTATTTTTGACAAAAGAATTGTTTTTAAAATTGCTTTGCAGCACATCCTTTGAAGTAACGTGAAACATAGGAAATATTGATAGGAAAACAAAAGAATCTGATTGAGGTTCTGACTTATCAAATAGTTATGACTGATTAGCTGTTGGTTATACTTATCAAATTACAGACATTTTCAAATCGCAGCTTTTGACCCTGACCCCACCACATCCATTTGACCACACCCATATTCACTGAATAACCAAATGTTCATTAAATTTTAAACTAAATAACCAAATAGGAATATCCGAAGGTTTGGACAGCCCTAGTTTTCCTATCCATGAATTCAACATCACACCATGAAAATAAAAGGGGCATAATTAACAAAAAAGGTGCATACAAAAACTACTCCTTTCTCTGCCAAGGATCCAAAAGGTTTTGACAATGATCGAAATCCTTTTTTCAGTTTATCCCATGTGTCATTTCCACCTGTTGCCCAGCTTGTTGCTCCATGCTGATCATTGGCTAAGCACCTGAGGCACAAAAGGTAAAAGAAAACTGAAGAAAAGAATAATCAATGTTTTTGAATAATGACAAAATGGTACCTAAAAATATGGGATCAAGCTGAATACTGAATCTAGTGTGGTCATTCCCAATGCCAGGAAAAGACAAGGAGGAAATGATATGAAAGTGGTTCCCCAGTGGGATACCAGTAGCTCTACCAGTGGTCTTCCGCATATGGCCTGTGGTGCCCCAGAACAGAACTCTGATGGCAGGGGTGGATATTTCCAGTAAAAGTTTGGTTGCACAATGGTAAGCCTGTGAAACAATATGTGGTCTCCTGCAGATAAAACTGGTCGTACGTCCTTGGTGTGAAGAAGACCAAATTTTCCACCCCTGAACATGCCACTATTAAAAACCACACATTTTCAAAATGAGAAAAAGAAATATGCTTCGGCTGTTATGGCCTTATAAGAACAGAAAATGATTTAAAATAGACCATGGGCAATTAACATAGTTTACAAGTTCATAAGTTCATATGTGGTTAAAAGATGATATTTTCATAAGCCAGGCGATGTCACAAATCTATGCTAAAGAGATAGATATTTGGTAATATGAGACATTTAGTAAAGTGAAAATAATAAAAAAGTGACATCTTACACGAGTTCCTTTGAGAAGCTGTACATATCCCCTCCCATTCCTGTAAAAAGTAGAACTTTTTTAAGACAAAAGGAAGATAAGCAAAAACATAAAACTGAGTGCATTGGTAAACATTGTATTTTATTTGAGCAGAGAATAGGATTAGTTTGTATTGACTATTCAAATATATTAGAAAATTGATAGTGCTGAGGTCTGAAGTGAAAAATGTGTATAATAAAACAGTCTCTAACTAGGGGAAGTACCAAATTAGTCAATAAGAATGAATCAAAAGTTTTTTGAATGGGGATATATTTTCTGTTAGAATAGCCACTAGCTGAAATACATAATCACTCTCTTTCTAACAAAATGTTTCCCTTTTTTACAAAATGGCTAGTGTGCATCCTATTTTCAAAAAAAGGAGATGCAACTAGTAAAGAAAATTATAGACCAATAAGGGTGCTTGTCTCAGCTTCAAAATGTTTGAGAGAATCCTGTTTATCATATCTAAAATATTAATGTACAAAAATTCACTTTGCTTCGTGGGTTCTGAAAAGATTATAGCACACAGCACACCTTATTACAACTTTTTGAAAACTTGGGAAAGAGCCTGGACAAAAGGGAGTTCCCTGGTGCTGTAATGTTCTCAGAATATAAAAGTTAATGCCCACTTACAAACTAAACTTCAATGCAGCTAAGGACTGCATTGCCACACATCATGAGGGCTTTATGTCTACAAGTTTTATTACACACCTAATGATCTCAGAGACAATCGGTCCATCATTTCCTTCATTTTGTGCACACTGACATGAATATTTTGTATCTGTTGTCTGCTGGATGACAGACATACTTGGGTATCAGCAGGCACCAATTCCTACATAAAAAAAATTGACATTGGACAAAACTGGCAAAACAGGAATTACTAGAAATGGTTGCAAAGCAAAAATTGACAAGAATACAGAAAGGTGATGAAAATTGGAGATGATGATTATTTATGCTGCAGATCGTCAACAGAGAAACATCATGTTTTGCATGCTTCATAGAATCATTTTTCATTTTATTTTCATTAAAAACAGTTCAACTTAAACTGTAACAGTTATGATGCTGTTGATAAGAATCATCATCATAATTAGGTCATCAAGTCAGAGTTCCTATGATGACAAAGAAGCAAATATTGCAAGTCAACTTTGGTTCTTTATTAGCGAGTTATTATACTTGTCTCAATTGATGATAGTTATTTTATGAATCATGAGAGATATCATGTGATTTTTAATTTCAATAGTTGAGACAAACTGCAGTAGTTTTAATTTTGATTAAAATTTTAAAATTAATCTCCAAAAAATTTGCTATGATTACCTTTGCTTGTGAAGCAAGACTATTGGTAAGGAATTCGTCAGGTGCACCTTTAAAATGTTCTTTTATTTTATGTCCAACATCCTGTTAAACAAAAAAATAAAACCCTTAAGAGCATAAATTAATGAAAAGTAACCCTGAATTGTAATAATACACATAGAATTATCAATACAATTTTCCTACCTTACCCATGTGTAAAAGGGGCATTGTTTTCTTATTGGTATCTCATTTATCCCTCTGAGGAAAACAATTCAAAGCCATACAAGCAACAGCTCTATGCAAAATGGGCCAAACTCACAACACACAATAATCATGACCGGGTTCCCTCGAACTTTGGCATTACTTCATCAACACTTTTGTACAAAATGTTGTTGATTATATACATTAAGAAAATCAAAAATAAGGAGCTTATGACAAGATCCATTTTCTAATAAATTCTTAAGCCCTTGAAGGCATTTGTATATTTCTACATAAACTTAAAAAGAAGACACCTTCACCAAGCATGACACTGTATGAAGCGTGCTGTGCTTGTGGAAACCTACTTACAAAAGGGCTTATATGTTATGAGGAATAACAATGCATACAATGCTTTTAGTTTCTTTCAAAGCGACAATCTTTTAACCAATTCTAATAAAGTTTGCATTTGGTTTTCTTCAAATAACTATGCCATATAAACACAGAAAAATGGAGATAAACAAAACAATCAACCTACAGATCCTTTGAAGGTCATAAAGTATGTCACAATTGGGTCATTTGACATGACTGGGTGTCTCACAACCAGCATCATAAATCTCTTGAGGGCTCTTCGCCTTGCTTCAATGAATTCTTTACTTGCTGTAAAAAAGCAATGCATTTTAAACATAACAATGTATAAAAATTAAAAAGGTAAAAATGTTGTCATGAATATACACTTGAACATACTTACCAACTCATTATCTTAAACGCTAGAAGTTTATTGATCTATCTTCGCACCTTGGCTTTGTTTGATCATCAGCCAGCATGTCAAGCATGAAACTCAAAAAAGCAGCTCCCTGTCCTATTCTATTCAGCAAAAGCATATATCAAAGGCACTATATTTTGATGGCCATTTGAATATGTTTTTGTCTCTATCTAATCAGAAACATAAGGCTAATTTCAATGTTTTCTCAATCAAAAGCATGCTGCAGAGCCTATTGTCAACTATGACTCATGGGACACAATGCATTTGAGATACATGCAGCTTTAAAGATACAATATGGTTCATTTTCACAAGATTGAAACCTAAGGGGTAAACTTGATGGCAGGCGTAAAATGCAGGTCATGCTCGTTAATAAAACACAGGTTAAATTTGAACAATTTTTTTGCGGTACAGAATTTGAAAATGGCTTTGAAAAAAGCAAACATTTTACAACATACTTAAAGCTTTTTCGTCTGACACTCCTCAGAGCATAAAACGTCAGAATAGGTTCCGAAAAAACACGATGGAAAAATATATACCCAGTTGTGGATCGAAATAGGCCAATCAGAAAACGCAAGCACAAGACCGGTATAGTTGACCAATCAGTGCCGCGAGCCTAAAGAAAAATTACCAATGGAGTCCAAGAGAGAAAACGAACTCCTTTTGTCTACACAATGGCGGCTTTTTCGTTTTTATGTAGATTGACTCCAAAAGGATTGCGTCCCTACCAAACAAAAAAGTTCCGTCATTTATGAATTTACGTGCCAGTGTGATTCTGGCTACGTAGGGCGCACAACCCAAAGATTGGGGGATAGGATAAAACAGCATGTTCCTTCCAACATACGAAACAAAACTGCCCCTCAAAGAGAACAGCCTCCTCGATCTTGTAGGTCTAGAAACACTGTAAAAACAAGTGATTCTGCCATTGGTCAACATCTTTTAGACAACCCAGATTGTGCAAAACTCTATAATGACGACATGTTTCGGATAATTGGCAGAGCCCGGTCGTCCTTTCATCTAGCAGTTTTGGAGTCAATCTACATAAAAACGAAAAAGCCGCCATTGTGTAGACAAAAGGAGTTCGTTTTCTCTCTTGGACTCCATTGGTAATTTTTCTTTAGGCTCGCGGCACTGATTGGTCAACTATACCGGTCTTGTGCTTGCGTTTTTCTGATTGGCTTATTTCGATCCACAACTGGGTATATATTTTTCAAACGTGTTTTTTCGGAACCTATTCTGACGTTTTATGCTCTGAGGAGTGTCAGACGAAAAAGCTTTAAGTATGTTGTAAAATGTTTGCTTTTTTCAAAGCCATTTACAGGTTAAATTGTGTGGGTCAAAATTAGTGGCCATGTGCATCAGGTTTCAGGCTTATTACTGTTTATTGACCTTTCTATCATGACTTTGGTGCAACGTAATGAGGTGTTGGGTAACAACTGACACCCAATAATGTGTCGAGCATTGAGAAATTCATTCACATGAATTTAAACATCAAGAATTGTTTAATCCACAAATGAATTTCAAATTGATACAAAGATACAATTATTTATGTAGTCTCAGTTTCAGCTTGCTCTCAATTTGTTCTTAAATTTAGACCAATTTTGAGGCTTGTGTTCGTAAAAAACTGTTTTTATAAAAAAGAATGTTATAAGCTTAACCAACGTTTGCCTCCCTCCCAAAGTCCCTACCAAAAATCTGTGGATCTCTTCTGACTTTTGGGGAAACAGCTGTCAGCCGAGAACCTCAGGCATGTGGCCACTTATTTTGACCTGCACAATTTAACCTGTGTTTGGTAACATGCATTGAAATTGTACACCTGCAGTAAACTTGAAGTTCTGCACTTAAAATAAAAAAGAACTGCTAACAAGAAATGAAGAAATTAAAATTCATAAGGTGCTAATAAAATCAGATTTAGCTACTAACACATAGAAATCTTGAATAAGTCTCAATCAAGCAGCTATAGAACAAATTTGTAACTTACCTCCAATCTTTTTTGGTGGAAGTTTTGGTATAAGCCTGTACAAAAACCTGGACATCAGAAGTTCATGAAAACTGACAAAGTCATTGTATCTCCGCTGAACACTGGTATTGTGTTTCTAAACATAAAAAGAAATTAAAAAATTACATTGAACTGGAAGTAAGAAGTATTATCCACCTGTTAAAGACTGAGATTTGAGAATACACCAGCATTAAGTACAGTAGGCCTTCCTAGAAAAAAATTAGCACAAATATGGCATTTTGCAGTCCAAGACTGTGGTAGAAGTGTGATGGAGTGCTTTTGATGTGTGATGAAGTGCCTGTGATGATTTCTACAAAAGTTTCATAGTATATGGAGCCATAAAAACCTCATTTTTGAACTCATTTCTTCAGTTCTCCCACAACTTTAACAAAAATATATAAAGCAAGGTAAGCTAGAAGAAACTTTAAAATTAGTGTGTGTCAGGCTATTGTATTTCATTTATTTTTATCGGAAAGATGTGTCCAGAAAATGATCATGATATAAATTGGAAATTTATCAAGGTATGTTTTAAGTTTAATTAGAGTCTCTTTGACCACAATAGCCCTTGTTAGGCCTTTGGCAAGCAGGCCCAAAGGTTAGAGTTTATTGTGGGCACACTTCCTGCTTGACAGTTGCCATGACATTGAAAAAGCACTTTCAATATTTCCTCTTTGGACATTTTTTGCATGTTCTGTTTAAATGTTTGGTCCCAAGGACTCATCCTTATCAAATTGTTTTGTAGCTCAGATTATGGCTGCAATTCTCATGCACATCTGCATCCAGTTCTATAGCTAAGTTTTGCAAATCGGAGGACTGCAGTGGTCAATTCGAAGTGGTCAAGTCAAAGCGGTCGATTCGCTCCTCATTTCCATCAATGTTGATTAAAGGTCATCAGATTGGGTCTGTGAGATAAACTTCCTGTTAGTTCTTACAGTTTTGCTGCTTTTGATGTAGTAAAGTCTTCCACAGGCTTGCGCAGCCATTTGGCAAGCAGGGGCTATAGCCCCCACCCATTTCTTTGCAATAATAGGTAGGAAATTTCTAGAAAGTATACTCTAATGCAACTTCGAAAAGTTTACTCTAACAGATCCTAAGTAGTAGCAGTTCTTTTTTTTCTTCGCTGGATCTGATTGCTTAAATTGGAAAGAAGCAAGTATTTACTAATACAGGCGTTTTCCAGCACTCTAAAGTGTGGCTTCAAAAAATTTTGGTCACACCATTTTTACCCCACCCACTTTTAGACTGGTGCGCAGTGCCTGGGTCTTCCTCAAGCAATGTAGCTAGGTCTGCAGGAGCCATCTTGTTGCCTGCTTAGTGTTCAGTAAAGAGCTGAAAAGGTGCTTGGAAAAATTGGTGGATTAGGGCGGATTAAAATAAATGTAAATATTACTGATTACCGTCAAGAGGGAGTTGTAATAGCCATAAAGAATACATTCCATCTCTAATCAGAAAGTAAAAAGATGTGCTTTGCCGAGTGAGCCTCGATGAAGAGAGGAAATGATGAAGAGCTTTACAGCCCTCAATTCAACAGTGCTTCCACTTGGAAGAATTTATTCCTCTCTTCAGGAATTTTGGCTTATTGGAAGGAAAAGAGGATTACAAATTGGAACAAATAAAGAAGGAATTTGTAAGAAATTGGGATGAAATTTATGATATAAAAATTAGAAAATGGGCCTGTCAGTCAGTAAGCGGGCCAACTACATTCTCAACAGAGCTTCAAGGTTTATGCAAATTGTGGCCAGTAAACTGAATTTTACCATTTCTAATCTTGGTTAAATAACCTGAAAGATCTCTAATTGTGTGAAAAGTGTCAAAAAATTACAGAGATTTGGCAACTTAAGCACAGGCTCTGTCCCCATCAAATTACAGTAATTTTGTTTCTGCTCTAAATCTGATGAACCATGCAAAGATAGCAGAAATATGTAGGAAACCTAAGATCATTTATTGGCTATAGCTCTCCCAATTTGTAACATATCTGACTGATATTGCATATTTAAATATAATTTGTGATGTACAAAATTAAAGTTCTAAAAATATATTTTGGTGGCGTCACACTTTAAAACTCTGTTGTCACTACTCGCCAGTTCTAAATGCTTCAGAATTTTCGAAAAGTTTCGAAACTCAACAAGGGAAGGTTTCGAAACTAAATAAGGCTAGTTATGAAACTAGACAGAAGAAAATAACTTAATAAAGCTAGTGTGTTCAAAAGCAACGCTAGAAACAATCTCTTGAATAAGCTGAAAGTGAAAATAACGGATGAAGGCCAGGCCAACTTGCTCAGCTACTTCCCACCTGTAACTGCAAACATGTGGCAGTTTAACTGTTCAATAATTCTGCATAGCTTTGCACAGATATGCATAAAAATATTCAATTTGTCAAACAACGCTATGTTTATTTACACAGAAAACCTGTTTTGGTAAATTATTAACAAACCAACTATCATATCAATAACAATCCTGCCCAAATATTTTCTGCTTCAGCAGCTGGTTGTTTAATAAACAATATATTGATTCTGCTTTCAGTGTGTGCAACTGGAAAAACAGGATCACAAAATGATTGCTGAGGTGGTTGACATTCAAATCTAGAAATTTTCATCTTGACAAGAATAAAACCTAATTTCATCAAAAAATTAAACTCAAATGCCACAAATATGCCCTCACTAAATTCCTGATACTAAATACCCTCACAAAACCAATTTTTTCTCTCCAATCAAAACTTCATCTAAATATATATGTCAATATCTCTTTTTGTTAGCATTGATATAGCTAGCCCTTACTACAAGGAGGTTATTTACAAAATAGACAGAAGAAACCTTAGCCTTTCTACAAAGTTTTACTTATGAAATCTCAGACTTACCCTACTTGACACTGTGTACTCTCTGTGCTTTAAGATCAATCCTTTTTTGTCTGGCTCAAGCTCTACCTCTATTCTGTCCAGTTCTAGGAGCTCAGGATATGAAAAACCAAGAACATTTGGGTTTTTCGTCCTTTTCAATTTGATTTTCAAAGATTTAAGTTCGGCCAAATCCCCAAGATTTGGCTTTGGAAGATCTGAAAAACAAGATATTTAACATCAATTATCATAAATAATAAAGCAAAATTAAAGACAGAAAATCAAAGAAAAATCATACAGAAATTAAATAATAAGATTATCTTATTCTTTTAGTGTGAGGAAAACTCAGTGGTTAAGGTCACAGACCTAGAGTTAGGGGAGTTGAAGAAAACAAGATTACTGCTAGATAAAAAGACAAAAACATGTCAGGCATTTCATTCATAAGTATAAAGAAGCTAAGAAATCCTAGCTGCAGGTCTGCTAAGTTGCTATTATCCATATAAAATTTATTTTTATGCCATTATATTCTTGAGCCAGCATGCTTTGAAACATTGAAAGAACTTCTAAGCTAATGAAAAAAGGAGTCAAGTTTGTTTGAAAAACTGATGCAGTTTCCCCAAAGTTTTTATTTCTATAACTACAAATAAAATTGCAACAGAGGCGAGAGAGAATTGAAGCAATAGCCAAAAGTCAAGCGAAATCCAGTCGAGACAGCAGTAAAAGCAATCCTGCAATCTGCTTTGGGTGCAGAAATAAGAATTCAAGAATAAATGTTGGATCATGGTAGCTGCGAGTGTGACTGAAAAATAATTTCACTGAACTTGATTATCATATTTTAACAGAGGTTGAGGCACTACGGAACAACCTCCTCTTACAAAAAGACCATTCCCCCCCTTCCACTTCAAAACTGTTTGCAAAAGATAATACGCAAGTTAATATTACTAAGACATCTAAAAAGCAACTCAAATTCTTTGACTAAGAAATCAAATTCTTTGACTAAGAAATCAAATTCTTTGACTAAGAAATCAAATTCTTTGACTAAGAGCTAAGAGCCTGTAAATGGCTTTGAAAAAAGCAAACATTTAGTAAACTAGAGCTTTTCGTCTGACACTCTTCAGAGTTTAAAACGTCAGAACATAGATAAAAAACTCTACGCTAAGAAATATATATACCCAGTTGTGGATCGAAATAGGCCAATCAGAAAACACAAGCACATGACTGTATAGGTTGACCAATCAGTGCTGCTTGCCTATTGAGAATGTTACCAATGGAGTCCTAATGTGAAAACAAACTCCTTTTGTCTACACAGTAGCGGTTTTTTCTTGCTAAGAGCCTATTTTGTATCTCCAGATTTTTTGACTGCCAGGTAAGTTATCAGTTTCTCAAAACCCTTCACGCCCGGTTAAAATGGCATATAATCCGCACAAGTGCGACTTTCAACCCGCCTTTACTATTTGATATCACGATACAGTTAAGGCATTTGAAAAATTGAAAAACAATCATAGAATGTTACATTGAGCATTTCAGCCAATTAGGCCATACAGACAAAGCTGCGACTTGCATTGCTGCCTACTTTAGCAGCACCTTCTCCTGTGCTTTCTTCAAACCCTCCCATTGAGTTACACTTTTAACAGTAACTACAAAAGGCAATTTTCCTTTAACCTCCTCATTGTATTCACTTTATTGTACCAACTCTATTGTATTCATTCTATTGTATTGATTTTGTTAGCTCCATTTTATTTGTTAAGTATTACTGATGAAGACTTTGGTTGAAACGTTTAAGCGATAGTGTTTTTTCTGAATATCTATAAATGGAAATGAAATGAAAAATCCCTAACCTGAGTCGATGAGCAGTTCAAGGGACTTTTCTGACACAGTTTTTCCTTGCTGTGAAAGTGCAATCAATGCAAATGCCTTGTACAAGCCATCTCTTGTCAAATATCCATTCTTCTGGGGATCAGTTAGCTCCCAAATCTGCAGATAAAGAAGTATTTTTTTTAAATATTTTTTTCAGATAAAGAAGTATTTTTTCATTCTCAAAGTTATTTATAGTATAAGACAATTACAAAACAGCATCACAGAATTATAGTTTTGCTATTTGAAAGAAGTTTCAAGGCATATTAACATATATAAAAAAAGAAAAATTTACATGTATTAGCAGTTCTTCTTGGCATTTTTGGGCACAAATGCACAAAAGTGATTCTTAATGCAGATAATTGCAAAGACATATAATTTATTTAGATGCAGATTGATTTATTTACTCCTTATTGTTAATGTATTTTAGTTATTAATGTTGTAATATTTAAGTGTTCTGTAATGTTAAATTGTATTTAGGACTAATTGATAATAGGAATGAAATGCAAATGAAATTATAGTAATATGCTATTATCTAGCAATTACAAACAAATCAAAAATAGCTGGTGACACCAATTTAAAATCAGTCAAAATAAAAAATGAACCAGGATTCTATTGGAAGGTGTCTTAACCACAAAATAATTTTGAAGGAAGTACAGAGCATGTGTTTATATTCTAAAGAGATGATGTCGAGTAACTGCAAGTTGATGATTCCCGCAAGTAGCATGACTTTTTTAAAGACACATTAGATTAAAGTTAAAAAGAAGATGGCGATATTTTGAAAATCAAATAGCTGCTGTCTCACCGTGCTAAGATTCTGTCTGGCTAGGCCCGATTTTCCTAACAGAGTCTGGAAAGTTTCGAAGTCGATCTTCTCCTGCCCTCCGCATATCGTATCAAATAATTCACGATAGAAGGGGGGCACAGTGCCTGAAAAATAGCAAATAATTACTTGAATAAATCGAACTCCTCACTCATTTCCCTAAGATGTTAAAAGAAAAAAGCGACACTTGGCTTAAACTGACAGTAATACCCACCAAATGCGAGCTGTGCAGCCATTTTAGACGAATCGTTTCACCACTGCCCCTTTTGCGAAAATGAGTATAAGGCTCCTTCACAGCTTGGCTAGTTGGCCAACAGCTAAAAGGGGCATTGGGGGGTCGCAGATCATATACTGAAGGAGCAGTGAAAACCCCTGCTCCCTTTGCAAGCAGGTCTGTTGCAGGCACCGCGGAGAAGGGGGCTGGGGACCATAGCCCCCCCACTTATTTGTAATATAGGTACTTATTTCATTTTAGGTCAGTATTGCGTTAATGGTTATATTTGTTTAAGCTTCTCTTAGTTAGGAAATATTAGCTTGTCGCGCGTTAGTTTTTCATGTTTTACGGTAACGTAATATTTTACATGCCCTTTAACCTACAAAGTTCTCCCGCGTATCCTAATATATCTAACACCTCCTACTAGTTCATTTACGTATTGCACGATAGATACCGACAATAACACCTGCAATTATTGATGTTAGTTTGCTGTATTGTAATGCTGTTATATAAAGTAGAGTAAGGAGAAACAGAATTAGTTAGAGAGAAGCGTGGTGCTTGCGAAAGGCCACTGCTATCAAACTTGTAGACACTCACTCGCACACACACAGAACGGTCATGGGTTGAAAGGCTAAGAAAGGGCTGGACTTGCTACAAGTCTCTCTCCAAGAAAGGGCTGATGGTATTCAACCCGAGTGGCTTGTGAAAGCACTCGAGGTTTCGTTTTATGTATATATATAATTTAATGGCATAACAGTGCTTGTGAAAGGCTGTTTAGTACCTAAGTTTCAATATTGTATAAAAGAAGAAAGGTAATATGTTTTAATTTACTTAAAGGACAAGTGACACACTTTTCACCCTATCTTTTCTTTTCATTAACTTATAGATCATCTTTTAGAAGTAAGTTTTTCCTAGTTTGGAACAAAAAATTCTAATCAGGGGGCGCAGGGGGCGCGATTTTGCTTTTTATCACGTGACCCTATGACGTACATTGTGATAACTCAGAATTTTCCTGTAATTGATAGAGAGTTTACGAAACACGACGCGACAGGTCCAGACGAACTGTATTCGTTTACAAGCGTGTTGTAAACGTTAATATTGCACTGTATACCAGTAGCAGCAATAACAAATTATCACAATCTACGTCACGGTGTCACGTGATTCATTTCCCGCCATAATTTCAAATGGGTTTTTAAGTGGGAAAATGAAATCAGAAAGGAAAAATATTTCAACAACATTCTCATACAGCATTTTACTATAAGTTAAAAGAAAAAAAACATTTGGCGCCAAAAGCGTGTCACTTGTCATTTAATCGAGCTGTTGGAAATTTGCAAATTTGCATTAAATTTAGGGGTATGCATTTTATATTAAAAAAATTTTTTGGGTTGGGTTTTTGGAGAATTTTTGCTTTACTTGAAACACCACAACAGCTGGAACATTGTTCTTTATACACAGGTGGCCAAAATTAATGAGCCATGTCAAACGAAAAACAAAAATTCAATTCGTTTTTTGCTGCAGGAGACTATTTCTGCAATCCTGGACAAAATTGTTGAGACAAAATGCAATTTTTGCAACTTCCTACTAACTTTACATTGCCTCTGCAAACTCGAATCTCCTCTTTTCCCCGAATCAATTTTGGATAATTCTATTAAATATGCTTTAAAAACTTGCATTCAACATTGAATTGGGGGGAGGGGAAAAGCTTTTCTTGAAGGAAGGAGCAAGCATAAACTTACTTGAAAAGTCTCAAAAAACTTTGTCTGGAAATGCAGGTTTGGCATTTGTATTTCCCTTTACTATGGTTACTTCAAACTTCGAGCATAATCTATGCGTGAGTTCAAATCAGTAGCTTTGAGTTGCTGAACTATGAAAAAGTCATAGAACTCCTACTAACGGCCTAGAATTGCTGACAGTCGTCATACAACGTTGACAGGTTTCTAGTAAACTCAATCATTTGTAAACTTAACATCAATGACTGAATACAACAAAAATGGAAACTACATATCTTAAACTAATTACACACAAATAAACTATTGCCGAATTTGGCTGTCTCCTTCTGCTACTTGATCTCGACAATTTTTTTAATAATCATCTAAAGATTTCACACAGGTATTTAGATTTACAATCGGCTTTAAAATAGGAATATATAAAGTCTAAATAAAGAAAATAGTATCATCACACATTCCATGCATTAATAAAAAATTTGTCTGTGCATATTGTTACATAATCTTAACTTAATGTCTGAGTATTGTGTTTTAAACTAGAGTTCATGTTATTAATGTTTGTCATTAATGTTTCACCATGTACTGCAACTACGATTATTCCTGAGCTCCTGGTGGAAAAATTGTCTCGACTGTACTTCCAAGATAAATGTAAGAACTTGCATATCGTAAGAGCTAACATCCTAAATTTAAGAAGAACACCTCCTGGACTGCATTAAAAAGCCGCAGAGTTTTTTGAGTCAACAATAAGTGCTCTGTAGCTAAGATATAAATCACCTGAAAAGCTATTCACAAATTTCGGTGTCAGCATGTCTTTTAGTGGTTCGTCTAGCAAAAAAGCTTGCCAAGTGATACGATCTACCACCTGGTTATAGACGGCGACAGGCTGAACTTGGCCTTCGGGCCGGAGGTTGCCAGTACCAAATGCAGATTCAAGTTTCACGCACGATCATTAAAGCTATTGATTTTACTGACATGAATACAGCGGTTTCGTGAGTTGATTGGCGTAAACCGACTTGCACCCCCTGGAACTATGACACTTTGACAAACACACACAGCCTTTAACAAAGCTTTCAAAACGGTGAAATATAAAATTAAACCCAAAAAGTAGAAGCTGTGTGCCAATTAGAATAACCTGCCAGGGCATTTTTTAACATATAAAGTGATGGGGAAATTCCCCACCAGCCCCTTTCATTGCCCCACCAGTGGAACATGTTTGCCCCACCACTCATGTGCCCTTATGATTCGGTGACTTTTTTACTTTTTACTTTATTTGAGATATTGGTGGATGAAGTCTTCATTGAACAGGTTTCAAATCTCAATTCATTTTCCCAGGAACTGCTGCTTCTATAGGCGATTCCCCTAGAATATTTTTGAAAGCCTGTTTATCTGTAAATTCTACCTTTATCTATATGCCCTTTTCTCAAATGCCCCACCAGTGGAAAATTCTTAAAAAATGCCCTGTAACCTGCAGTATCTGTTACAGTCCTTCAACAAAAAACAATCAGACTGATGTGCGACGTCCTGCAAGGATCATATCTGCACCTTTTACTCTTTATTGGACTGGACGACTCTGTATCTGCACGCTTTTATCTTTATTACTTGAGCTAGGCCTAGTTTTATTCAAAGACGTGGGTACTAAAATCTCCCTAAATATGAAACAACCAATGGGAAGAAATGCTTAGCACAAACTTCTTAACAAACGTTTCTCAAATAAAGAGAAAGCCAATTAGCAAATATTTTTTTACAATCATTGCCAAAAGGCTTGGAACACTAATGTATGTTTCAAAGGCAATTTCAGCCACCCCCCATTATCATTTCGGAACAATGTTGATATACTATAGAAGAAAGAAAAGGATTATGGAGTATGCTTTATCTTGTGGCTTGTTTGATATCTTTCTATACTTTCAACGTTGTTTTAGGGGGAAAGGGGGACGGAAGTAGTTGAATTCAGGAAAACAAATGAAAAATAGAAAAGCACAGCGGAAAGTGTTGGGTGTTCCAAGTAATTTTGGCAGTGATTGTAGGAGCAAGAAGCAATGATGATGCTCTTTTAACAAGGTTCTAAAGCGCTCAGTCATGTACCACAAACTTACAAGAACATACTTTACTGAGCTGCTTATTCAGTTTATCGTGGCGTCTTGTATAGTAACTGTGGTTGTTCGGCTCTTAAAGCACCTTCGAACACCACCTTTAAACACTTTAAACAGGAAATAAACGCTAGGGTTTGTAACTATATTTAGCCAGTACAAATAAAACACTGTTATCCATGGACCGTCAAATCCCTTGTCTTTACCATAGATGATCGCGCTGCAAACAAATGGAAAGTAGCAAGCGACATAAAGAAGAAAAAGTATTCCTGAGTATAGAGTAACTTCTGAACCTGAGTTTGAACTTCCAGTGATGGGACGATTTCGGACCAGATACACTATCAAGGCATACAGTAAGGCAATTACAACACCAGTGGCTACAGTCAATGCATGTATGTAATCGGCCATGTTTTGTATTAAACCAGTAACAGTCAATGATATGATCCAAATCAACGCTAGAAATACACTGCATCGAAATGACGTCACGATACGCTTACAGCTGAACGGGAGCAGTACTGCAATCAGTCGCTGTATGGCTATAAATATTACGTAAAGTTGGCTTGATATTGTGCTAAAGACGACAGACAATCTGTGAACCTCAGTCAAAATTTCAGGATATGGTGGATCTAACTTCAGTACCAAGACCAAAGCATTGCTGATCGCAAGTGACAGTGATGCCAGCAAATCGGTCATTGCAAGACTGAGCACAGACATTTGAAATGGTACTCTGTATTGTCCTCCTTTCAAAATCAAGATCATTTCCAGGACATTCAAGACGGTGCCAGCCACTCCTATTGCCAGGAACGCAAAAGTATGTGTTACCTCCATTCTCAATGTTGTGTTGAAAGATCCTTCGAATGCTATTCAAAATGCAAGTACTTCACTTGCTTTGCTATTAGCTATTCCTTGTTGATAAAAGCTCTGATACGACAAGTGAAATTAGGACAAAATTCTTTTCTCGTTATCAGAAGGTATCTACTAATGAAAGATGTCTTTCCTCGAAGTAGCTCACGTTCAATTACTTTCTTTTCCCTCTAAGAATATCTAAGCCTTTAAATTTCAGAGAAGTGAATCTTGATTGATGACGAATGCTGTCAATGTTGTAGTCCATTTCTAATTGATTGCCATGCAAAGGTGAAACTCATCTGGCTCTTTGGATTTTCTACCATCTGTCTGCAAAAACATCTGTTCATGTGTGCATATCACAGCAAGATAATATTGTCAAAAATGACTAATTATAGATTAAGAACCCTTTTATGTGATCTACTATTTACTGAACAATCATAGTTAAAGGGCAATTTGGATGACTTGTTTTAATCATATATCAACACACGTTTTA